GTACTGCCATGTCTGTAAGCCTACTTTCATCGTCGCACTCGCAGATCAACTACCCGACACAGACATTGCTGATGGAGATCTTTCCCCCCTCCTCCTCCTTCCCTCTCAAGTTGCATGAATGATCGATCATAGCCTGTTCGAATTAGGTTAAGGTACGGAGAAGATAAGGGTGTGTGCCTACTGCCTAGTTACTTTTTTGACTTACAGACAAGGGACACAATCAGACTATCCGAGCTGTGCGCACTTGGTTTTCCTTTCCCCAAGACACAAGCCCCAAGCCCCAAGCCCAAGGCTGATAAGCCAAGACGAAGAAAGAATGAGCATAAATGGCTGGCTTACTTCAATAACTCCAAACCAAGCGTGCTCTAGGCGCCCACCGTTGCAGCCCTAGTCGGGCGACTATTGCTTAGTTAGTGTGAAGGTCTCTCCCCCCTCCCCCCTCCTCCTCTTCCTTGTCGCTCTCCATCCGCCACGCGAATGGAGATGAATTTCCAGATTGGGAGATTTCCATGAGCGATTTGACTAATTGGCCGCCTCCGTGGCAGCGTATCAGACCTCTGTAGCCGAGGATCGCTATCCCTGACCAGGCCCAAGCGTCAAAGCGCTGCAGAGCCAAGCCATCCCCGCTGACTACTTCGTTTTGGTCCAGCAAGTCGATGTAACACGAGTTTTCCGACTGGACCCTCGATTACAAGATAGCCAAGGCTTAGCCTGTCTGGCCCTGTGGTCTGGTCTTTAGCCTAGTGTGTCTTGTCTGGCGTGTGGTGTATGTAATTAAGTAACAATGTCCTATCTACTGAATTACCTAGTTAGTATTTTCCCGAGCACAGCAACTGATCCTTCCATCCATTCACACACACCCTTTCTCCTTCCCTCCCCCCCCAGCAGGAGTTCATCGTCTTACATACTTAGGTTACTTACTTACTTGCACACACCCCCTCCCCTCATGGGGTATTGAAAATCAGCCTAAAACTGGATGCAATTTGTAGTCTGTGTCATATCAGATATGGCAAGGGAGACTGGCGGCTGGCTCCGTCGTGGCCATCATCCATCCATCTGATGCCGCTGAGCCACTGCAAATTTACTGGGGGCTATTTTTAATGACTCTCGCATCCTTCACCCTTTTTGTCCGGGATTCGGCCATGGCAGCCGACCTGCCTTTTTTAATCTGAATCCGGTCTCCACGGAAATACCGGACCGATTATGTAATGGGCACACTCTGGTGTGCGTCGGGTTTGAGGGCGTAAAACCAAAGGAAGAGCGAAGAGCTGGAAGAAGTACAGGTGTCCTCATCTGAGTCAAGTTGCCGAGCAAGCCAGCCGATACGAGCGAAGGTCGCGTAGGCGATCCACGGTCCCCAGTCTAGGCAAGAAGGGCCATAGGATCGATCGTCAGTCGTTCCATCCATGTCAGTTTTTACGCTCATACTCCGAAATAGTGCCCTGCTGGTCTGGCGCCGGACAAAGGCCGAGAGAATATGCTTAACACCAGTAAGGTTGGCAACTTGGCATTCGCCCCCCCGCGTGGTATTCCTCCGCAGTTTGACTACAGGGAAAAATACTGCTACCTACTAAGTGCTCAGCAGGATTAAAGCCCATCAGCCATTGATTCCTTCCTCCCCGTCTCTCAACTCTTTGGTTTCCAACGCTTACTTGACCATTACTCCTTTTATTAAAGTATATTAGTAACTTTCTTCCCAAACTGGGGCACCCTTAATTCGAACGGACCCTCCCCACGATGGATGCTGACCCTGTTCAGCGCTGTCTCGTGCCGATATTAAACGACCCATCCAGTCATTTCGCCTGTTCAGCCCAATAAAGCTTCCGCCTGAAACCGCCCGACGACCCTTTTCTCTCGCAACCATCGTAAACCAAGTGGATCACTGCCATCCTGATTTGGGCAACCGGCGTAGCGAGGCTCCGCCCAGACCGCAGCTTGGAGGGAATAAAGTATCCGTTCGGTGTGGACCCCATCCAGAATCCAGCGCCCAGGTAGGTCGGTTAGTTAGGCTCCCCCCTCCTCAGTTCCCTTATGTTCCTGATCCCTGGGTACGGAGCACTAGGCAACGGATTTCGATTGAAAGGGGACCCGACTGGTGCTGAGGGTGTGGACGTGTTTCACACGCCTATCCGCAGCTCCCGAATCCTGTCATCCGCCACATCCCTGGGACGTGTGGGAATCGCGGTGACCTTCCAGAAACCGAATCATCGACGAAGAAGGAATGAACTTCTGCGCGGAAAAGAACATGTATCTTCCGGATAGTCCGATAGAGATCCACTTTGCGCAGATAATGTCGAGCTGAGCCCACCCTGTGTGCGTGTACTCACTATGTGAGAGTGTTCATGTCGGCTGCCGAAGACACAAAGTTCACCGTAGACAGAGAGATAGTCAGTCGTTCCATGATCCATCAGATGGGGCCAAGGTTGTTTGGCCCCTCTCCTTTGACGATGATGCCTGCTTTGAGCTAATTTGAGTTGCTGGGCGTTTCTTTCATTTTCTTGTCTTTGATTCCTTACACACCTGCGTAATATATGACAGTACGCGGTGGTATTGTAAGCTTGACACGTGAGATCACACCAGCCGAGCCAGCCATGGCAGTATCTCACCGCTATTACCGCCGCTTTCATGCGTAATCCAGCTCGTTCACGTGCCAATAATCTACCATTCATGCTACCTACCCACAAACAAACAATCAATCTTGGTGATACATTCCATACAAGCCATCCAATAACTTGAGAACAGTATGTGATCATTAGACTTATCACACAATTGACTAAGAGCTATCACCATGGTGGGTTATACTTAGTGCCGCCATCGTCTTAACTTTGCCAACTCCACACCAAGTCATTCGATAAATAGGTAACTAATTAAAAAGCTGGAACGCCGGTCCGCCGTTGCTGGCGCCGGAACTACTGCCCTGGATTGATGGCCTTCAAGCCACCAAATGAAGTTTCGAGCACTCCCACGAATGAGGAGTGTGTCTCCTTGGGCGCTTGGCCAAACCAAACCTCTTGCGGTGCCCGTTCTATACAATGACTCACGATGACAGGGATATACACTGATGGGCTTATCTCTACTTACTCAGTTAGTTTGTCAGGAACTACTTACACTATCTGGAGAAGTTTGGCCATGAGCCATAATGATGCTGTTCTCTACAGCCATGAAGGGACGGGACGATACGAAAAACATGCTGCTCCTCTACACTTACATATAGGATTGGTGTTGGCTGTCAGCCAGGTCAGCCATCTACCGAAAAGTCAACCCTCTTTACCTTGTTTTTCTGGCAGTGATTGAAGGGCTATTTTGCTCGATACCACGCCTCCGATGTCAACCCCTGATCTGTCGATCTTGGATTCTGAGAGACTGTTTCCAAACAAGGAAGCTAACTCGGATCGCATTGATGCCTTGTCTTTGCTGGATGCCACCACGGTAGATTTCTCGGATGCAAGTGCCGTTTGGCTCTTTGAATGTGAGCAGCAAAACCGCGGCAATCTAGTGAACCAACTTCGTCAATCTCTCAGGGTCACGCTGGATGCTTATCCACAATGGTGTGGGTTGATAAAGGCTGTTGACTCGGTGGATGGCCCTGCGTTCGCTGATCGAGATCGCCTGGCGCCTCATGCGCGCCGCTTTGGTCGGGTGTATGTCCAATATGGCACGCGAGCTGACCCAGGCGTTGAATTCGTCACTGCACGTGCATTTGATACCCTCAATGATCTCTGTCCTTCCTCTCGGACGACATCTCAGCCTCTCTGGAATCAAGAAAAGGTGGCCTTGTCGAAGTTTGTCCCGAAGACTTGCTTAGCGAATCCGCTTAAACAACCTGTTGTCGACAATGCAGATATTCCTCCGCCGGTCATGGCCGTTCAGGTCACGGAACTGGCCTGCGGAGGGTTTGCCCTTGCAGTCAAGATAGCCCACCCTTTAGCGGATGCGCAGTCGTTGGTTTACTTCGTCAAAGACTGGGCAAGTGTTAGCCGCTCTGCATTACTAAGCGAGCCTCCGCCAGTGTTGAAACCTTTATTTGAACCGGCGCGACTCGATGGCGCAGCAGCAGGGGACATCAATGCTGCTACGCCGGACGAGTCAATCATCGAACAGACAGAGAGCCTACCGTTTCATCGCTATGACTGGTGGAATGTGCCCTCTGACTCTTCTCTGAAAACACGCATCCCGGAAGCTTTCCGGAACCAGGACATTCCCCCAGCGGGGAAACCAATACCATGGTCAGAATGGGACACAAAAGCGTCTGTGTCTCATTACATCGTGCACCTGAGTCGCGAGCAGGTAAAGAAGATCTGGAAGCAAGCCAACAACGCGTCCTCCACGACCACCCAGACCAGCCAACTGAGTCGACACGATGCCATTCTGGCACATATATGGTCGAGCATCAACCGAGCTCGGAAGATGCAACACGAGCTCGGGCCGGTCCACTGCGACCTGGCGTACGGGTGCCGACCGGCGTTTCATCTGAGCGATGCTTTTATGGGGTCGCTTTCCGTGATGGTTAATGTGGAGATGGCTGGGGCGGAACTGACGACGACTGCAAACTCGGACGGCAATGAAACTGCCGTACTTCCGCCCATCGCGCACCGCATCCGCCAAACTCTTCTTCAGCTGAAGAATCATCCGGCCCGCTTGGCTGCCCATCTCCACCGTCTGGCGTACGAAACGTCTCCGCAGCGCATTTGGCAGGGATTTCTGGGTTCTCGGCACGTTATGGTGACGACGTGGGCGTGCGCAGGGCTGTATGATGTGGATTTCGGCTTGGGTCCACTTTCCTCCTCCTCGGCTCGCTACGCGGATGGTATTCTCGCCAATCTGGATGGCCTCGTCTTGATTAAAGAAGCACCGCCGCCGCCGTCGCCGTCGCCATCCGGTCGGGAGTCGGAGGTCAGGGACTGCCGTGCTCCGTCGGCTTGGACGGAACATGGCGTGGATGTGCAGATTCATCTCCGGAGTGAAGATATGCTCCGGTTGCTGCGAGATCCGTTGCTATTGCCGGACACTACATAGACCACTACTATTTACCCAACTAACTAACCCCTAGTCTAACTTTACTACGTATACTCAATCGAATCAGATAAATTACTAAGCGGGAATGATCAGATAGACTCTGCTTGGCAGCTACACTTTTCTACATGTACCCACATTGCGTATATACTTCTAACCCCTATCTACTGTCTATTGACTTGGCTACAACGGCCGTCCCTGCCATCCCCTGAATCTATAATAAGCCTCTTAAGCATCTACCTCGAACTAGTCGTATTGAGTAATGTTTCACATACTACCATCGTATCCGATGAAAGAAATACAATACATTAGATGCATGCATAACGACTAGGCACAAGCACGGTCTGGAGCCATGCATAACATAAAGCCCACTAATTTCCACACGTCCCTAGTTTATATACTAGTACTAACATTGTAGCACCTACTAGTTCTTATACTATGATACAACTTATATCTCCTGTATCAAACTACCTACCAGAAAACAAAATAAATAAAATAAAGTATTCTAAATGAAGGAGGAATATATCTTATCCGGTTCGGTCTTATGCTACCAAGTAATAATAGTAGTAGTACCATTCGTTAGTACTGATCTCACTATTCATTTCGCTACTACGTAGTACTAAACCACCTAGAACTTAGTACTACTGGTTTAATTAGTCATTCCTATTCATTCCTATATGGATAAACTGATACAGAGGAGTAGTAGTAGAGTCATTTCAATCTCGTTTGCCGATACCAAGTATATACCTACTACACACAGCAGTAGTACTACACATTCAATCAATATAAATCTCTAGCGAGCCATTTGGTTACATGATAGGTAATAATAAACCCCCGATATAAGTACTTCCCGCCCCAGGGTATGTAGTTAGTTTCCGTAGTGCTTACTCGGCCCATTTTTGTTGTGACCCCTATCTACTAGTTACTGGTAAGTAAAATATCATCATATCTTAGGTTATTGTTTACGGTTAGTCTATTGTGGCTTGGTGCTTACTTACAGTAGTATTCTAACTAATGCATGTTCTAGTTTCCGTCGTCTGTTTGAGAGGGAGGAAGGGAGGGGGCTGTGACGGAACGAAATACTTGCCCAATATGGATGGATAGTTAACTAAGTAGGTAAGTAAGTATCTTTTTGGTTGGTTGTTGTTTGGTTGGGAGGTGTGGGTGAGGTGATGATATGTGCCATTAAGTTACTTAATATCATCTAGGCTTAAAAGTATGATTGGCTGTGCTAAGTTTCTGGGAATGTGTGTGGTTTGTGGATGTTTGCTGTTTGATTGCTTAGTTGCTTACTATGCTTATGCTTATGCTTATGTGATTGTTGGTCGTTGTTCATTACTTACATTGGTTGGTAGATAGACGTTGGTGATGTATATTACAATGTGAGATTTTAGAACCTATAATACATTTTTTCGAGTTAATGGTGAGTGATAATTTACATGTGTCTCGTCTTGTCTCATCCTGATCTAGCAATCCGCCCGACCGAAGTATCTAGGGAACGCAACAATGTCTCTAACACTGGACACGCCCGCCAAATAGCCCAGGAAGCGATCGAACCCGAGTCCGAAGCCTCCGTGCGGTGCGGTACCCCATCGACGGAGGTCAGCGTACCACTGGAGATGGCCTAGGTCTTCGCCGGGAAGGAGATGAGGGTACAGCTCTTCTGCTTGTTGGAAGGTGGGCGTAGCTGGGTCAGTGCCGTCACCTGATGCGGCGAGGTTCTTAATCAAACCGTGCTGGCGCATGTTCTGGATGATCTCCGGGAGGCGGTGCTCGCGGAGTGAACCGCCTGCTACTTCGCTGACCTCTGGTAGGAGAAGGTCAAAGCAGGCGACTGTTTCACCGTGGGTGGTGGCCGCTGATGCGTGCGAAGGGGCCATGTAGAAGGGTTTGATTGGCTTGGGGTAGTCGGTTACGAAGACCGGGTGCCCGTGGTTGAGCACGTCAACGATGTATTTCTCGTGTTCGAGTTGGAGGCCGCCCTCCCACGTTGGAGGGTACTCGAAGGTGGCGGAGTCCTTGGCGACGGCGTCTTGAAGGAGCTCGATCGCTTCCGTGTACGTCATGCGTCGCCATTTGGGCCCGTCGATCATGTCCTGCCACCGTTGGCGAAGGTCAGCAGGGTCTGTTGCTGTTGCTAATTCCTCCGAGTTGGATTCGCCGGGGCGTTTTGTGGTGAGGATTTCCTGTCCGATGGGGGTGTCGTAGAGGCGACGGGTTAGGTCGCGGAGAAGGTACTCGACAAGGTCTGTGAGGGTGTCCAGGTTATCCATGAAGTTTGCCTCTGCCTCTAACATGTAAAACTCGCTGAGGTGGCGCGGTGTGTCGCTCTTCTCCGCCCGGAACATGGGTGACATGGTCCATACGTTTCCTAGCTCCGCCGCGTATGCTTCCAGATGCAGCTGTGATGATACCGTGAGGTACTTGGGTGCGCGGAAGAAGTGGTCGCCATCGGCTGGCGTCGTCCCTACTGCCTCACGCGGTAGCACTGTGAAAGTTTCTCCGGCTCCTTCGCAGTCCGACGATGTGATTAGCGGCGGGTGCACCTGAACGAAGCCGCCGTTGGGGGCGTGCCGAAACACATTTCCGAGTTGGTATAGGCATTCGGATCTGAATCGGGAGAGGAGGGAATTGAAGGGCGTGCGAATGCGTAAGTGGGGGATCTGACGGAGGAATTCGGGACTGTGGTATTTCTTTTGGATAGGGTAGGTCTAAATGATAATCGTGAGTTAGTATACGTCTGCAATTGAGGACGAGGGGTTCCTACCTCGGGGTCTGTTTTGCCCACGATGTTGACAGAGGTAGCCTGCAGCTCATGTGTCTGCTCCTTGCCTGGTGGACATGCCTTCCATACTCCCGAGATTTCGACAGCTGTTCCGGTAGATAGTCTTGAGAGCGTGCGAGTCTAAGTTAGTATCTAGGTTCCTGAGTGAAAGAATTCGGGACCGCGGAGCACGTACTCGGCAGCCTGGGAGGGGTTCAGGATAGCCTGCAAAGGCTTGACTGTCGAGCCATCGGAGATCTCTGCAAAAGCAAAACGCTTCTGCTTGCGAACTGAGCGGATGAACCCGTTCAACTGGATCTCCTGGTCCTCCAGACTAGATCCCTTCTGGCTCTGCTCGAGGACCTGAGCGCAGCGGAGAAGCGTGGAGCCGGCGCTTCTTGCTGCTGGCCTATTGTTCAGTCGCGCGACCGATGTGGCGAAGGTCCGCCGCCATGTCAGCATTTCTTCAGATCAATGGGAAGAAGTCGCGCGGGCCAGAAAGATAGATTGGAGAAAGAATCGCGGGTGTGCACCGGCGTGGAAGAAGTGCGCCGGGCCGATCGATGATTCAGCTCCGCAAAGCCGCACGCGATAAGCCGCTCAGTTATCGCAGATCTTCTGTGCTGTTACGTGCGCCGGACAGCTACGAGGAGCTCTACGTAAAGCAATGTACGAATAGATATTCTCACTTTTCTCATTTAGTGATGGAGTAGGGAATATGTAGAGTATTCCGCCCGAAGCACACGCGTTCCAGCAATATCAGTCTCAAAACAGACCGCGAAGTCCACAGCTACTTGGGATCACAACGAGTCTGGGCCATATCAAATTGTAAGAAAAAAGAGTACTATTACCACGTTGGTCATCACATCGTCGATCCTTGTTGTTCGTATGCCTTGCGTTCTTCCTCGATCATCTCAATCGCATCCGATACCCTGCCGTCCGCAGCCGCAGCATAAATCGCTATTCGTTGATGGCCACCGTCGCTGGCTCCTCCATATCCCAAGCTCACCAAGGTAGAGACGCAGTCATCAATTTCGCGTTGTCTGACATTGGGATTCGCTACTTGAGTCTCGGATAAAGGGCTTTCAAAACTGTTGCGACGTCCACCGCGGTGACGATGACGACCTTCCGGTCTCCCGCCAAACATGCCGCGAGGGGCGTCCCACCCCAAGAAATCATCTTGCCAAGCAGAGCGGGGTCGCTGGCTCTTCCAACGTCTAACATGGCGGCGAGGGCCAAAAGATGATTCCCCATTGTCATGTGCACCATGCAGATTACGGGTTCCTGAGAACTGTCCAGGTCGTGTCGACGAGTCCCCACGGACCTCCTGCGGATATGCGCCGGGAAGCCCCTGCAGCGCCGCATTGCCGTTCAGATTCTTAGCTTCTGGTGCTTTACCGACAGACCTCGTCTGTACGTTGGATGAAGCCGCTTCCTTCTGCTGCTCGGCCAAAAAGTGCGCTTCGAGCTGTGAGACTGGGGGAAAGCGGCACTCTTCCAATTCACGCGTAAGTTCGGGGATCCGATCAAACGCAGGACTAACAGGCTCAGAAGGCCCCGACTTCGGGACACCTTCAGGCAAGAGGGACGGGTAGAGTGAATTCAGCCGCGTGGAATCCCCCAACGATGAGTCTTCCAGACTATTGGCAGACGCTGCGTTGCCCGGATTGCGATTATCATTGGAACACAAGTCCGCCACGGTCAAAGGGGCGGCACGTTTACCGCTGGGCGATTTGGATCCATCTTGGCTACCAAGTGAAGCCTTCTCCAACTTGGCGGGTGTAGCTGTAGACCCTTGAAGTTCATATGGATTGGACTTCCGATCACTAACAACAGGCATGGGACTGTCTGATGTTGCTTGAGGAGAAGGTTCCTCAGGGTGCAGTTTAATGACCGGGGTCTGGTCACTGAACTCCAGGTTAATTGCGTGGCCATCAATATGCGTACCCTGCAAGGCCTCCAGGGCCGCCTTTGCCGCAGGGACAGATGGGAAGAACAAGTAGCCAAATCCAGCGTGCTTTTCGGTCCCGACATCAAGAGGCAAATGTACATCTACTAGAAAACCCCTGGAGGCGAAAACGTCGCGGATCATCTTCTCGCTAACATTGAAGCCCACATTTCCGACGAACAATGATGTGTTAGTGGGGCTTTGTGTTTCTGTCGATGTGGCATCTCGGCCAGATGATGGCACATCATTGGTTCCACCACGGCCTTGTTCATGAACATGTTGATGACTAGTGGGACCACGGCTACGACGACATTGGTTATAATGCCGGGCCGCGTGTTGGGAGGGATGTGCATGGGTACTCGTGGGTTGTGGATGATGAACCTGAGGCCCAGCAGGGAAGTGAGGATGACTCAAACTTTCGGGTGTCGGCCAGAAAGGCGGCGGATGTGGAACTGGGAAGGGCTGGTGGAAGTGATGAGGAGGCGGACCAAAGAAAGGAGGATGGTGAGGAGGTGGTGGAGGCGGAGGCGGATAATGGTGATGGGGATGAGGATGCGGTGGAGGAGGGGGTGGTGGTTGAAAGTAGGGTGTGAAAGGAAAAGGGCCGTGACGTCCACGAGGGGCATGAGGCACGTATGAAGATGCATCTGGCTGCGCCTGGTTAGGGCCGCCTGGCCGAGCCGGACCGTCCGCCTCTGCAGCTTTCTTGGTGCCATTTTTGGAGTCTGATTCCGACCCTAGCTCTTTCTCTCCGGATTGGGTCTCGTGGCTTCCAAGATCCCGATCCTGGGTTGACTGATCTACCACGTCGGGAACCACACTATTAACTGCAGTGGCATCAGACGGTCTGGGAGGTTCAGCATGGTCGGGACGGAGGCCATCTGGACATTGTTCGGAGGAAGATTGTGGTTGGCCGCCGGTTCGAGTGCACCCAAACTCCGACTCGAACGCTTCGAACAAGGTATGCCCTACATTTCCAAGTTCCGACGCCATTGCACGCAGACTGTCTACGGTGCCAGTGGCTGTGGGGATTTCACCTTGGAGAATGTTTCCTGTCGACACGCCACCAACCGTGTGGTTGATAGAGCCGGTAAGCTGTCTCAACTGGGCTTCCAAACTCGCAAGAGCACCTTGTACCGAGGACCCGACATTTCCAGGAAGGGCCCTCTGGGCGTTCTCCAGTTGCCGTTCAATCTCGGGTATACTTGATCTCACCCCAGAACTGAGCAACTCGGCTCCGCTAAGCAGGTTCTGCATCGCAAGAGTGAATGCATCCGCGGGATTTGGAGTCCTGCCCCTTGCGGTTCCCGCTGGCTCCTGAGCCGGAGCTGAAGGCTCTTCAGAAGTGCCATTTTCTTGTATATTCCTGGAAGCATCCAGAATCTTGGCCATCTCAGCCTCAAAGGCGGCCATGAGTGGCGCTGTGTCGTCGTTCCTCGTAGCCTCAACGTTCTCTTGCTCGGTCCCTGACCCTACTTCTGCTGAAGCGCTAGCAGCCGGGGCGTCCACAGTCGGTGATCCAGCCCGGGTATCCGCATCCTTGCCTTCTTGCTTTATCTGGAATTTCTTCCACAACTCGGTTATTGAGTTCGAGCGTCGAATATCGAAGAGGTGCATCGGTTCGGAGATAGCTGCCTGCGGCATCGGGTCGTGTGCAGTTGCAGGGTCAATGGGCTCATCGAGACGCTGAGAGAGTTCGAGAGACGATCCAACCTGTAAAGACCGATTAGTACCAAAAGGACGCAGTATATACAATAAGACATACAGTGATGATCTCCCCATCGTCATCATCAACATAAGTCAGCCGTGCCCGCGGGTGATTCGATGCAAGATCATCATACTGGGGAGCAGACAACTGTACGATTCCCCGACGAGCTCTAGGTGACGATGGCTCCCTTGTCAAGGGTTGAGTGGATGCCAAGGGCACCTCTGCAGGTGTATGTGACGGAGATCCATGAAGATCTCTGATTTGGAACGGTTTCAACATCTTCGGCGATAAAACAACGGTCGCGGAAGAGTAAAGTTCCGCTCCCAGACCGTTATGAAGCCAAGAGAAGACGATGGATGATTAACCACGCAGCACGCAGGCGATGCTGGTAAGAATGAAGCCAGTTAAAGGACTCAGAAGACCAGAGGAGAAGATATGCTGGCTGGCGATCACCACGAAAGAAAAGGGATCAAGCTTGACAGGAATCTAGGCCGTCAGGATAAGGGTCTGAACCCCGGGGGCGCGATAAGGAGGGGGAACACAGGCTGGCAGGCGGCGGTCGTCGTCACTATTGCTGCTGCCTATGGACGAAAGCTTTAGTTTCGGCGTTGGATCGTCTTTTCGCCTCAGTTCAGACAACAAGATTCCGCAAGAGGAAGCCGACCATCGTCATACGAAGGTCAGCTGCAGTGTAACGGGAAGGGAAGGCACAGGAAAGGAAGGGGTCCAGGCAACCAGATAAGCATGTGGTGGTGAAGGTGACTTTGACGTGATGGTGAGTGGATTCCCACGATTACTGTATGAATGAATAAGTTTGCGGATGAGGAGAAATCTAGTAGTAATCAACCCAAGTAACTAATCCGTCAATAAGAGACGATGAGAAGGTTAGTTAGTCTGGCTTCTCCAACATCCCAAGACTCTAAGACTCTCTCAGCAACGAAACTAGTTGCAGTCAAGCTTGTCTTTCTCCCCGCGCGGCAGTAACATGATTGGGTGGTGACGGAGATCAACTGACCCGGTCAATCTGGTCTGACTGGTTAGTGACGGGAAGGAATCCGCAGTCTGATGGAGGTCCTACGTATCCTCTATACCAAAAAAGTGATCTAGTGACGACCGCAGCAGTGTCCCTGCAGACTGAGAGGGAAAAGAAAGCTTGAGCGTATCATATAGTAGCTCACAAATTGATTGTATCCAATGCACCTGATAATCCCTCCGCTTTTCCATAGTAAGCAGAAAATATGCAAGTAAGCTGTACTGCCTTTCCGAACTCTTTTTAGGCTAATCCTCCCGCCCGGCCTATCCAAAGATACCAGCGTAAGGTGAAAAAAGAAATCCAGGACCTGCGACAAACCGCCGTCCCAAATGGCATCTCCGCAGAAACGCGTTCGCCCCCGGTCTCCAACAAATCATCATTAAGGGGGAAGAAATAAGCCGCGAATTGACGCCATTCGTTCCTAGTCCTATCGTTTCCCTCCCCGTCTCCAATGGCTCCCAGTGACCCTGTGTCGCGCACCGAACCATCCACCGACCGTAACGTCAAGCACGTCGTACTGGGTGACCTCCTTTTTCCAACATGGTATCAGTCTATCTATCCGGAAGATCTCGTCAATAAGGACACAGACAGGTTGTACGTCTGTCGTTGGTGCTTCCGCTACTCGTGCGACGTCCACGCCTACGCGCAACATACGCGACTCTGCCAACACCGGATAACACCTCCTGGAACGAAAGTCTACGATCATGGCGGATACTCCGTGTGGGAGCTAGACGGTGAAAGTCACAAACTATACGCGCAGAACCTTTCCTTGTTCGCCAAACTCTTCCTAGATCATAAGTCCGTCTTCTACGACGTCGTCTCCTTCCTCTACTACCTCCTCGTTTTCACCGACCCCAATGACCCCGAGAATTACTACGTCTTGGGGTTCTTCTCGAAAGAGAAGCTCTCCTGGGATGCGAACAATCTCGCATGCATCCTCGTCTTCCCGCCCTACCAACATAAGCAGCTAGGGAAACTGTTGATGGGCGTGAGTTATAAGATCAGTTCCTGGGAGAGCGATAGTGGCCTCATAGGCGGTCCGGAACGGCCGCTCAGTGAGATGGGCCACAGGAGTTATACTCGGTTCTGGCAGGAACGAATAGCCAGGTATCTATTGTTAAAGGGAGGCAAACAAAAAGAAGCAGACGCGTCTGGCTCCGTGCCACTGAAGCAGAAGTCTCCGAAGACGTCCAAACGAAAACATACCCACGAGCTCATGACAGTGCAGGACATTGGTCTGGCGACAGGGATGTTGCCCGAGGATGTTGTCACCGCTCTTCAAGGCCTGGGAGCCGTTGAGCCTGCGACGCCAGCCAAAAAGCGCAGGACAAAGGATTCATCTGGCGAGGCTGGATCGGGCGCAGACGAGGCCTTACTAATTCGGAAGTCTAAGATCCTTGAGTGGGCAAAGTCACATCATATGGCGCTCCAAGACCCTGTTAGAGATGAGGGGTTTCTTGGGAAATGGGCCGCCGTTGATTCCACTGAAGCGAGTGATGTCGACAGTGATGATGTTGACGAAGATGCTGGGTAGAAGCTCCCTGGCCAACTTCCTATTTTTGAACCCATCCTTACGTTCTACCCACTATGTTTCCTGATTGGGAAACAGCGTGTCATGTATAATTTTTTTTTGCCTCTACTTACGCTACTGACCGTATGGAGCATTATATCATTAATGAATACCTAGCAATACTATAGATAGACGGGCTAGTCCTCTGAAAGCTTTCTCTCATGGAAATAGTGGTATTTCTATGTAGGGTCTGAAACATCATCGCATCCGACGATGCTACCTTGCAACAGATGAGTAGCTTAGCGTAGGACGTGTTAGCTCTGCAAGTTACGCAACTCGCTCACTTATTGTTCGCTGGTCATTACAGCCAAGTGACAATAGTACTCTGCATGTGCTATGAGCATGCTACTTGATCTCGCTGCCTACTTTTTGACTTTCACAGGATAAAAGTCAAGACACTCACCATCCCTTAGGCAGCCATGAGCGACGCAATATTACTTTCCGTCTGGAACATTACCATACTAGCAGTCTTAGGAAACCTGATTAATTCCCTCGTGGATTAGAATCGATTAGGATACGTAAGTATGTGAAGTACAATTTTCGACGTAGGATATTTTTCTATACCAGTATTCCGAATATGGAAGAACCTGATGCTCTCGCTTTACAATAACTCGCCTTAGACGTAGCCATCACATTACTCATCCATACCGCCAGGTCCACCCTGCCGGCCCATCTGTCTGGCCTTCAGCAACTCATCGCAGAGCAGGAGGTTCGAGGCGATACCCGTGCTTGACGCGACGCAGTTACGTAGCACACGGAAAGAGTCGAAAACACCTTCCTGGATGGGGTCCATGGGCTCACCAGTCGTCAGGTCCAGGCCGACGGTGTTGCCGTTCGACTGCTCGTCTTGCAGAGCCGCCAATGAGTCCTGGACATCGTGGCCCGAGTTGGCCGCGAGGGTCTTGGGAATGACAAGAAGGGCATCAGCGAAAGCCTGAACGCCCCACTTGGCCTTGCCCTTAACAGACTTGCGGAAGGCCTCAGAAGAGAGATGTGCTGCGCAGGCCACCTGGAAGCTACCAGCACCGGGGATGACACAGTTGTCGACGATGGTGTTGTAGACGGACCGCAGACCGTCGCGAACGGCATCCTTTACCTGTGCGATGGTGTGCTGGTTGGGTCCCTTGATGAGGATGGTGACGGACTTGGGGTCCTTGACTTCCTCAACGAAAGTGAACTTCTCCTCGCCGAGCTGGTGCTCGTAAACCAGGCCAGCCCATCCAAGGACATCGGGCGTCAGGTCCTCTACACTATTCTGTGCAGTACCGCCGCAGATAAGCTGAAGACGCTCCATGTTCCTCCGCTTAGCTCTCCGGAGAGCGAGGATGCCATTCTTGACAAGAACATCCAAGCTCAGGGGGTCAATACCCTTCTGGTTAATGACAACGAAGCTCTTGTTGGGGTCGGTACCGCAAACTTGTTGCTTGAGCTCCACGATCTTCTTCAGCTTAGCATCGACGAACTTGCGTTCACTCTCCACCAACTTATCCCTCTGTTCGGCAGAAGAGTAGTAGAAGCCAGAGTTGATCTCAGACTTCTCGTACTCCAGACTCACGTTCAGGGTCAGGATGAACGCGTTCTCCACACGCTTGGGCATGTCGGGGTGTCTGGCACCGTGGTCAAGAGCAAGACCACGGATAAGTCGGGTGTCAGAGGACGTGCGATGTTGCATGGTCATGATCTCAATCATGTGTAGATCGGGCTTCTCGGGAGCTCTGTGGATGGCAAGGACGGCGTCGACGATGTCAGGCGTAAGCTTCTCGGCCAGAGCGCTGTTCAGCTTCGTGCTAAGCGATGTCCGCGCGACGGAAAGGAGGAGTTCACGGTCGATTTTCCGTTCGAGCTTGAATTGCTCGAGGAACTATATACCATCATAGCTCAGTATTGTAGATGACAAGCCATCTAAGACTCTGGTGTACTGACCTTCAGAGACTCGTTCTTCGCAATCTCATAACCATCCGTGATGACACGAGGGTGCAGGCCCTCAGAGATGTGTCGATTTGCCTGCTTCAGAAGCTCACCCACCAACAAGACAACAGATGTCGTTCCATCACCGGTAATATCATCCTGTGCCGTTGCAGCCCGGGCAATCATGACCTTTTGCCTGTATTAATAATTGCGTTTGGGGACGGAGGAGGGAGGTCAAGCTCACAGCCGTAGGGTTTTGGATTTGCTGCACCGGTTAGCATGAGGGTCGATAATTCCTAATTGTAGACATCACTCACCATCTCACGCAGCAGAACATTTCCATCTTTAGTCAACTTGATCTGTTTGCAACATTGTTAGTGAAAATGCCGAATCGTTGTACTCGAGGGAATATTTCATACTCCGCCTGCACCATCCACCAACCTAAGATCAGTCAGCTCTGCATCTGTCTAATGCTATTGGAAATTGGAACCTACATCTTCAGGGTACCCGAGGGACCCAGGTTGGACTTCAAGACATCCTGAAGACCCTCACCGGCGCTGATGTTGACTTTCAGGGCCTCCGCTCTCCGCTGCGAACTGTTAGTCTCTGCTGGGCCACTGAGGGGCTAATGTTTCGGGGGGGTAAAGGATGGAGGATAACTGCGTGCATACCCTCGACTCGGCCTTGGGATTGAGTAACTGCGTTGCAGACATTTCTGCAGCACGAAAGAGCGACAAGCAACAAAACCCAACGAAAGAATCCGGAGAAAAAGATAAGGCTGGCTGGTGCTGTAGGCCCCTAAGACGATGCCCGCGCGGCCACAAACCTGGTGGTGTTTGCCGTCGAATGCGGTGAGCTGTAGTTTTGGCAAAAAGCCCACATTCGATGTTCGCACTAGCGCCGCCGCGAAAAAAAAGAGCTCCGACGGCTCGACTCTGCAATTCTACCCTCCCAGGCTTTTCTTCAACTCCACGTCGGTCCACGGCAGGTCTACGGTCGCATAACCCCGGGAAATTGAGACGCGACCTCGATAAGTCGCACGTAAAGGACCGTTTTGTCTAATTTTTAGGGCCCTTCCCTCAATTTCGCAATGGCCGACTACCTTCTGTTCGAGGGCCCCATGGGCTACTCGCTTTTCAAGGTCGCCCACCAGGGTGACAGCGTTGGAAACCGCTTGAAGGAGGTTCAAGAAGGTGTTAACGACTTGGCCAGTTTTGGTAAAATGGTCGAACTGTCCAGTTTCCTGCCTTTCGAGTATGTGGTTCAATTTTTCCCATAGGATCACTTTCCCGCAGGAATCTGACAACTTCCAGGAACAACAAGCAGGCTCTCAGTGAAATCAACGATGTCTCCGAGGGTGTCGCTTCGGACACTCTGATCTCTTTCCTCGAATTGAACTTGCCCAAGCCTAACAAGAAGAAGAAGGTTGTTCTGGGTCTTGCCGACAAGGCCTTGGCTGGAAGTATCAAGTCTGCCTTCTCTTTCGTTGACTGCGAGACTGGAGACACCAGCGAAGTCGTCCAGGATATGCTTCGTGGAGTTAGACTGCACGCCACCAAGCTGCTGAAGCAGCTGCGTGAGGGTGATATGGACACCGCTCAGCTTGGTCTTGGTCACGCTTACTCTCGCGCCAAGGTTAAGTTTTCCGTTCAGCGCGATGACAACCACATCATCCAGGCCATTGCTATCCTCGACCAGCTCGACAAGGCCATCAACACTTTCTCCATGAGAGTCAGGGAATGGTACTCCTGGCACTTCCCCGAACTCTACAAGATTGTCTCCGACAACCAACGCTACGCGCAGATTGCCTTGTTCGTCCAGGACAAGAAGAGCTTGAACGACGAGAAGTTGCACGACATTGCTGCCCTTGTGGAGGATGATGAGGGTGTCGCCCAGAGTATCATCGACGCTGCTAAGCACAGCATGGGTCAGGAGATCTCCGAGACCGACATGGAGAACGTTATCTCTTTCGCCCAGCGCGTTGTCAGCCTGTCCAAGTACCGCAAGTCTCTCCACCAGTACCTGATTTCCAAGATGAGCGTTGTCGCCCCCAACCTTGCTGCCCTTATTGGTGAGATCGTTGGTGCTCGCTTGATCTCCCACGCTGGTAGCTTGACCAACCTGTCCAAGTACCCCGCTTCGACGGTTCAGATTCTCGGTGCTGAGAAGGCCCTCTTCAGAGCCTTGAAGACCAAGGGCAACACCCCCAAGTACGGTCTTCTGTACCACTCCTCTTTCATTGGAAGAGCTGGTCCCAAGAACAAGGGTCGCATCTCTCGCTTCCTTGCCAACAAGTGCTCCATCGCCTCCAGAATTGACAACTTCTCCGAGGAGCCCTCCACCAAGTTCGGAGAGGCCCTTAAGAAGCAGGTTGAGGAGCGTCTGGACTTCTACGCCACTGGTGCTGCCCCTACCAAGAACGAAGTCGCCATGGTAAGTCAACATAGCTAGTGTGATCGCTAGGACACTAGTGAACCACAAACCCCTTTTCTCCGTAACAATCACTGATGGTCCTTACAGAAAAACGCCATGGATGCTGTCCTTGCTGATATGGACATTGACGGCGCTGAGAGCGATGCCGAGATGCAGGATGCTGATGAGAAGGCCGAGAAGAAGGACAAGAAGGAGAAGAAGGAAAAGAAGGACAAGAAGGAAAAGAAGGAGAAGAAGGAAAAGGGCGAGAAGGAGGAGAAGAAGAAGAAGCGCAAGTCCGACGTTGGCGAGGGCGAGTCCGAGAAGAAGAAGCGGAAGCACGACAGCGATGCTGAGCCGTCCAAAAAGAAGAAGAAGGTTTAAAAGTACCGAATCTTGGGACAGGAGGGCGTCATTGTCGCGGCGTTGATGGGTTTTCTTTATTATTCTTGCCAACCATGTTCTGTTTTCTCCTTGACGACTTGATGGGCTGGGTATTTTGTAAATTATTCGATTGAGGCCTGTGTCGTGCTAAAATTTGTGTGTAGTTCTTGCTGCCAATTTGATATGGCTTTTTGGTTCTAGACTTATATGACATGGCAATTGGCTGTATGCGAGAAAGTACCAGTAGTCTAGAGGACTTCTACAGTAACCACCAAGTACTAGTAGCTATTTGCAAACCAAGGAACTAACCGTGTCCTGGATATATAATCCGACCCAACAGCGGAGGAATCCTAGCTAACTACTAAGTTAAGCAAATTACAGGGGCGACCATGCTTATTCACCGGGCGGAGGAAGGGGCCGACGACCACCCAGACCAGCTTCCCCCTCTTAACCCCCCCAGCGAGGATCCAACCGCATTGCGCTTTCCCTTCGTTCAGCCACTCCTACGGCTATATATCATGGCCCAAGCATCAGTGCTCTCCGCATTTACTTGGTTATAATGGCTTCGTTTATGACTCTGGTCCAGATACTAAGAAGCTAGCCTATTATTTAGCGCACACTTTCTGTGTCATTCTTTACCATAGCCGGCGCGGTCGATGTGATGCCCCCACCTTCGCAATGAATCCCAGCCCCGCGATGATGCCAACTACCCTGCCGACGATGTCCTCTGAATCGCCTAAGCGTAAGCGAGCATCGTCCGAAGAATCTGACTACTGCAGTCCTTCTGCTTCACCTACATCAAGCGGCTCAATCCCAAACCCTCAGGAATCCAGGATCCGGGACGCAGAGGACTGGGGTCGATACAGCCCGCGAGCGCTAGTCGCTGGTCGCTTGGGGCGATTGGCTATCCGCGGGGATCAACTTTCTACGTCACCAGTGCCGTATGGAGTAGACCAGGGCATAGTCGCACATACTGCACAGTCGGGGAACTGGTCTACCTCAGACGATGATTTCCATGAGCCTCACGCCTTATCCGAAGCGAACTCTTCGATGGAGATCAGTCCCAGCCCAGAGGAACAGTCAGAGTTTGCGGAAGCTACCCAATCTCCTGACATTGCTAGAACCGGATCACCATCTCCCAGGAAGAGACGATCGACACCCAGCCCTCGCAAGAAGAAGCTCCCTACGACTTCCTCCAAGATGCGCAGCCGCAGTGCGTCACCCCCTCTTATGACCGATACAGCTGAGAGCCCACTTACATGGCATGACTCGGAAATTACGGGTCACAACCCGACTGACCCTACTGATGATGGATATGGCTTGAATGGAATTGGCTTCAAACCGACGGCGGCAATGGCCTGGGCTAGGTCAGAGAGGAGAAAGAAACAAGTCGCAGATTGGAGGAGCCGTGAAGCCAGAGAGGCGCGCGAAAAGCGACGAGAACGCCGAGATGGTGCCGACTTTGAGAGGATACGGTCTATCCAATCTGGCGCCATTCAGAAAAGGGTCAAGTTTGACGTCTAGATGCGGGTTTCACATAAGTATGCATATGCGTATGAACCTCCTTCTCTCGAGACACACTTTCTATCCTCAACGATATCTCTAACACTTCCGGCGTTCATTTGTTATTGTGGTTTAATGAAACGGGCGTTGGATTGAAATTATCGACACGAGACATGACATCACAACTTCAAGGTTGGATAGGGCAGCAGCCCCTAACATAGAGAGGAATATGTACTTTTGCAACCAGCCCACTTTATACATAGTACTATACAATGAGATTCCATCCAACTCCAGTACTCCATGCGATGCACAAAAAGCCTACCAAAACTTGTAGTTCGATAGGTTGGTCCAGCTCTTCCGTTTCCTTTCCTCCTCTGCCAAACGTGCGGCTTCCTCGATCTTCTGTTCCTTCTCACGTTGTTTCTTGTCTTTGAGCGCCTTCATCAACTCCACTGCCTGTTTCATACCGTCTAATTCCTCCACGCGACGCCGCTGGCAGAATTCGTGGGCTGCAAGCGCTGTAATAGCGAAAGCACCGACGGCCCAGTTACAGGCGGTCCACATAGAGCGCAGTCCTAAAATTCATCCAATTCATCAGCTACCGTGTATTATACTGGATATATTATTAGGATATCCTACCTCCAACCACGCCCCTAATGCCGCCTACACCGAATCCGGCCCCGATTCCGAGCAGCAGCGAGTCACGCGCACACGGCGCTTTATGGAAACTCATGGCATTATCGAGAGACATTGTTTTCATAGCCTCAGTGACCGTGATTTCTTTAGCCTTTTGTCCAGACTTGGTGGTCGCTGTAGGCAGCATATTCACGGGCTCTTCGGGGTTTCCGAAGGCATCCCACAGCTTCCCGACCTGCGACTTGGGAAACTCATGCTTCGGCTTGCGGACACCCTGCTGCTCAGGCTCCCTCACTTCCTGAGTAGGGGTAGTTGGGTCCCGCGCATCGTCGGCCATTATGTGAGATCCAATTGTGGGTTTGAGATACCTCGGCGTCGCTCTATGTCCAATCTATGCCTTATGCGGGCATTTTCTCTACCGGGTAACTATGCGTGGTATACGGATCAACCTTTTATCCGGTACCTCCCCGGTCAGCCAGCAGAAACGGATAATTTCCCCGAGAGGCCCGCGATCATCCAATGACTACGCGTAAAGTAGAAAACGCGAACGCGTCGGAATGGCGTAGGGCAAATCTGGGCTCCGCAACATGCAAGTGGATCAACGACCAATTCAGTTACATTGGAGCGCGCTCAATTGTGTCTGTCAAGAGACGCCCAATTCACAAAGTTAAGAAACTAATATTCACCAAAAGTCAACTATGCGCAGCTTTGTCCTGTGTTAATTACACCATTGCCTTTCCATGTTACGCCTAACTCCCCATCGTCTTGCTCTGCAGTGATCTTCAGCCCCGGCCAGTGGGCGCGTCGCCGTCGCAATGCCTTCAAGAAAACCCAGCAAGTTTGGGAACAAATTCCGGTCGAGCGCGGCCTCCTTTAATCCCAAAAGAACGAAGACAATCGAGTTTTCGTCGCTCCGATCCACCGAGGCAACCTCTCAAGATGAGAAATTCGAGGCGATCCGGCTGGCCAACAGCATCGATGAATCCTTGGGTTTCCCCCGTTATGAGTCCGGCGAAAAGCGAGTTGGATGGCTCATCAACATGCACAGCACCTCCATAGAAGATCCAAACGTCCCCGGAGGACGCGCCGGCGTGGATTATTACTTTCTCGAAGACGGAGGTGGAAGTTTCAAGGCGACTGTCGAATACGACCCATATTTCTTAATTGCTGTGAAGAAGGGCCGTGAAACTGAGGTTGAGGATTGGTGTCGGAGAACGTTCGAAGGGCTCATCAAGAAGGTATTGCGGGTGGAGAAAGAGGACCTCAAGCTGCCAAACCATCTGCTTGGGTACAAACGGACCTTTCTCCAGCTCAACTTTGCGAGTGTGAGCCATTTATTGGAGGTTCGCAAAACACTACTTCCTCTGGCGGAGAAGAACAAGAAAAACGTAAATGTGATGGATACTTATATGGAGATCTCTAGGTATGTTTATTTATGTGGGGTTCTTTCCGGGGAGCTCGGGCTAACTGAGGTCTATAGCGCAAATGCTGGGTTTGATCTCTTTGATGATGAACTTATTAATGAATCACGATCTAATGCTACTATGAATGCGAGCGATTTCATTATTGATATTCGAGAATATGATGTTCCGTATCATGTTCGAGTCTCCATTGACAAAGGTATGTGCCCGCACCACATGTAGTATCTTCGGTTCGCTAACGGCTTCAAGACATTCGAATAGGAAAATGGTATACAGTAGAGGCAAAGCATGGCGTCATCTCATTGACATGTATAGAAGAACGACTCACGCGAGCCGACCCTGTCGTTCTAGCATTCGATATCGAGACAACCAAGCTACCGCTAAAATTTCCCGACTCCGTGATTGACCAAATCATGATGATATCCTACATGATCGACGGGCAAGGATTCCTGATTACCAACCGTGAGATCGTATCCGAAGACATCAATGACTTCGAATACACGCCCAAGCCAGAGTACAGTGGACCTTTCATGATCTTCAACGAACCCGACGAACGCGGCGTTCTAGAGCGATTCTTCGAACATATCAAGGAAGCGAAGCCTACTGTTATTGCTACCTATAACGGTGATTTTTTCGATTGGCCTTTCGTGGAAGCTAGGGCTAGCGTTCTCGGCATCGACATGTACAGGGAGATCGGTTTCCGCAAGAACAGCGAGGACATCTACCAAAGTGACCACTGCGTTCACATGGATTGCTTCGCCTGGGTGAATCGTGATAGTTATTTGCCCCAGGGAAGTCGTGGTCTAAAAGCTGTTACAGTCGCAAAGCTTGGATATGATCCCGATGAACTCGACCCCGAGCTAATGACTCCATACGCAAGCGAACGCCCTCAGACCCTGGCAGAATATTCCGTTTCCGATGCCGTCGCAACATACTACCTCTACATGAAATATGTCCATCCTTTCATCTTCTCGCTGTGTACAATTCTTCCTATTAACCCCGACGACACGCTGAGAAAGGGCACTGGAACTCTATGTGAGATGCTGCTCATGGTGCAGGCGTATCAAGGAAACATCGTCCTGCCGAACAAGCACAAAGACCCCCCGGAATCCTTCTATGAAGGACATCTACTCGAATCAGAAACTTATGTCGGAGGACACGTCGAGAGTATCGAAGCCGGCGTGTTTCGAAGTGACATCCCTGTTACGTTCAACGTGCAACCTGCTGCGATAGACGAGCTCCTCCGGGATCTGGATGCGGCCTTGAAGTTCAGTATCGAAGTAGAAGAGAAGAAATCAATGGACGATGTTACAAACTACGAGGAAGTCAAGAAGCAGATTGCAGACAAGTTGATTGACCTCAAAGAGAGGCCACACAGGGATGAAGTGCCGTTCATCTATCACTTGGACGTTGCATCTATGTATCCGAACATCATGATCACCAATCGACTGCAACCTGACTCCATGATTCAAGAGTCGAACTGTGCCGCTTGTGACTTCAATCGACCTGGAAAGACATGCGATAGGCGACTACCATGGGCCTGGAGAGGTGAATTCCTTCCGGCTAAGCGCGACGAATACAATATGATTCGCCAAGCGGTTGCCAACGAACGGTTCCCTGGAAAGCACAAGAATAGCCCGATGAGGTCCTTCGGTGATATGAGCATCGAAGAACAGGCCGGCATCATCAAAAAGCGACTTCAGGACTACAGCAAAAAGATTTACCACAAGATTCATGACAGTAAAACAATGGTCAGGGAGGCCATCATTTGTCAGCGAGAGAACCCATTTTATGTCGACACTGTCCGCAGTTTCCGTGACCGAAGATACGATTTCAAGGGCAAGCAGAAGGTCTGGAAAGGCAAGACCGATGCTCTCAAATCTTCAGGCGCATCAGCTGCGGAGGTGGAAGAGGCCAAAAAGATGATCGTCCTCTATGATTCCTTACAGCTTGCCCACAAAGTCATTCTTAACAGTTTCTATGGTTATGTCATGAGAAAGGGATCTCGATGGTATTCTATGGAAATGGCTGGTGTTACGTGCCTGACAGGTGCTCGCATCATTCAGATGGCAAGAGAACTAGTTGAACGCATTGGGCGACCTCTGGAACTCGACACTGACGGTATCTGGTGTATGTTGCCAGGCTCCTTCCCGGAGAACTTTTCTTTCACCTTGAAAAACGGCAAGAAGCTGGGTATCTCATATCCTTGTGTCATGCTGAACCACCTCGTCCACGGAAGCTACACAAATCATCAGTACCAGACTCTGGTCGACCAAGCCACGTTCAGATACGAGCAAAACAGTGAGAACTCTATCTTCTTCGAAGTTGATGGTCCATACAAAGCTATGATCTTGCCAACCTCTAAGGAGGAGGATAAGAACTTGAAGAAACGTTATGCAGTTTTCAACCATGACGGCTCGCTGGCGGAACTGAAGGGTTTCGAGGTCAAACGTCGTGGAGAGCTGAAACTGATCAAGATTTTCCAAACACAAATCTTCCGTTTCTTCCTGGAAGGCACTACTCTTACTGAGACGTATGCTGCAGTGGCCAAGGTAGCTGACCGATGGTTGGATGTACTTTACGAACACGGTGCAACTTTGGCCGACGAGGAACTTATCGATCTCATTTCGGAGAACAGGAGCATGACAAAGACACTTGAAGAATATGGAAATCAGAAGTCAACGTCTATCACAACTGCACGGCGTCTGGCAGAGTTCTTGGGTGAGCAGATGGTGAAGGACAAGGGCTTGAACTGCAAATACATCATTTCATCCAAACCACGAAATACGCCTGTCACTGAACGAGCCATTCCGGTGGCGATCTTCTCTGCTGAGGAAAACGTGAAGCGTTTTTTCTTGCGCAAGTGGCTTAAAGATGACCCTGGCGATATGGATCCTCGTACTGTGATCGACTGGGACTACTATCTTGAGCGCCTGGGCTCCGTTGTGCAGAAGCTCATTACTATCCCCGCTGCGTTACAGAAGATCCGTAACCCGGTTCCTCGCGTCGCTCACCCCGACTGGCTGCAACGGCGGATCAATACCAAGGATGATAGGTTTAAGCAAACGAAGATGACAGACATGTTCATCAAGTCCGATAAGCCGGAGAAGAATCCATTGACAGACATCTCGACGAATATTCTCGACCATCGCGTCCAGCATACAGGTGATCTGGATGAAGCCATTGCCAACTCTACACAGAAGCTCAAGCCATCATCCGAGACTAAGGTCTCCCAAAAGCGAAAACATCCGGAAGGTCTATCGAAAACCTCTCTTGATCCTTTCGCCACCCTTCCCGCGCAGATGCCGTCGATGGCGGATGACTATGTTGGCTTCCTGAAGTACCAGAAGCAGAAGTGGAAGATACAGAAACAAGCCCGAATCCGTCGCCGCCAACTTTTCGGTGAAAGAGCGAACGCAGGTGGCGACTCCTTGAGCAATCTTTTCAGAAACCAGGCCGAATTGCTGTACATCAACACCTGGCAGATTTTGCAGCTTTCCGAGACAGGAAGGCCTGGCATTGTGCGAGCATTTGTTCTCATCGACCGAAAGATTCATGCTCTCACTGTCAAAGTGCCTCGGCAAATTTATGTTAATCTTAAACAGGATTCCCTTCCTGATGTTGACGTGCCGGACTGCGAGGTTGAAAAGGTCACTCACACGTTGCCCAACGGGCATCCTTCGGTCCATCTATTCAAGTTAACATTGTCGGAAGAGACTTATCTTCGCGAAGCGGAGAAGATCGATGTTCTTTTTCAGCACCCTAGCGTTGAGGGTGTTTACGAGAAGAACATCCCTCTCAACATCCGAGCAGTTCTGAAGCTGGGTAGCATTTGTACGTTTGATGAGGAACAGCGAGGTGTTCTCGGAGAAGGCTTGGACCGCGGCTTTGACCTTTCGACCCTATGCCGCACGACCACAGAGCAACCGTATCTCCTTGACTCGCCACTCGCCTTCCATTATCTCTATCATGTCGCATCTGGGGACAGGCAGATTTTTGCCCTTTTCTCCAGCACAAAGAACGAGGCACATGTTGTGATCCTGAACCGCACGCGGGATGTTCAGGGTCTTCCGAATCTCGACAAGATCTACTCTGAACTCCTCGCGCGTAGAATGCAAACCATGGAAGGAGACCAGTCACAGGCTGCTTTCGAATATCAGGAGAAGATCCATTTCAGGACCACGCAAGTGACTACTAGGAGAAAGGCCCACCTGGAGGTTGGAGACCTGATTAAGAAGTTCAAGTCCGAAGAGACCATGCCTGCCGTTATGGTCATCCAGTCACAACAAAGGAAGCGCCTGTGCCATGACATTCCAATCCTTCGAGAGTACCCTACACTGCCGGTCAAACCTGAAGTGTCAGATATGGATCTCCCACCTCTGGGATGGCAGTCTTTCATTGCCAGGCGCCTGGTCACTCACTATCTCTATCTCTCTGCTTGGGTGCAGCACCTCACATTGCTCGCTAGATACGGTGACGTTCCTCTTTGCAACTTGGAGAACGATGACCCTCGCTTCCTCATTGATATCTCGTATGCAAGACGGCTCCAACAGAACAACGTTGTGCTCTGGTGGTCTTCAAACCCACGGCCTGATCATGCGGGGTATGAAAAGGACGATATCTCTGGTCCTCTTGAGAAGGTCTCTATGCCATCAGTGAATGTTCCAAGCGCGTATACCACGGTATGCATTGAGTTGGAAGTTCGCAACCTGGCAATCAACACAATCCTGACATCGTCCATCATCAATGAGATGGAGGGTGCAGATACGCTTCTGGCTTCGTCCGGTCAGTCTGCAGACCCTAACGGAGGCGGTGTCTTGTATTCCGAGAAGGCATTTGCCTCAGCCGGCGCGGTTGTGTTGCGTGAAATGGTTAAACACTGGTGGACCGAGGCTTGTGACGGAAACAGCATGGCCGATATCATGGTACAGCACTTGATTCGATGGGTAGAGAGCCCAGTTTCATGTCTCTATGATCGGTCTTTGCATCACTACGTGCGTATGCTGTCACGAAAATCGTTCCAACGCCTGATGGCTGAATTCAGGCGCGTTGGGTCAAATGTCATTTTTGCAAGCTCCACTCGTCTCTTGCTCCAGACCTCAAAGACGGAGGTGGGCAATGCCTATGCATACAGTCAGTACGTGCTCAAGTCCATCCGAGCCAATCCGTCGTTCCATTTCATCGATCTCGAAATCAAGGAGTATTGGGACTATCTGCTTTGGTACGACGAGTACAACTACGGTGGCAAAGGTTGCCAAGAAGTCGTCGAGTCTGATGAGCAGGAGTTGGAAACAGTCATGCACTGGCAGCTCAATCGTACATTGCCCACACCCATGCAGACTATTTTCCATGACTGGGTTGTGGAGTATATCGAACTCATGCACGGCCTCAAACGGCCGGATACAAACGACTCTACGCCACGATTGACGCAAATCCCAATTGGACGTCCTAGTGACGAGGATAGCCAGGAAGTTTCGGCTGCCCTTGCAGAAAAATTTTCAAAGCCATTAAAGAAGCAAATCACTGGCCTCATTCGCCGGCAGCGCGACGAGCTCCTTCACCCGGAGTTAGCCTCTGATTACATCTTTCCTGTCCTCCCTGGGGTATTGTCGGACCCTAATGAAGAGAAGCGCAATCCTGTGTTAGAACTTGTGAAACTACTCATGCAAGTCCTTAGCCTGTCGAAGATCACCACCATGGAGACGCGGTTACTGCGTCGTGAGCTGCTAGCTCTTTTCGAGGTACGAGAATTCAGCAAGGAAGGCCGCTTCGAGAATCCCGGCGCAAGTCTCAAGATTCCAGAACTTACCTGCGGCTCTTGCTGCCTGATCCGAGATCTAGATTTGTGTCGGGATGAAGATGTACTCCCCGAGCCCGGAGTTGACGCCAGCAAGACCTCGACCAAGCCATGGCGCTGTCCGTTCTGCCAAACTGAATACGACCGGTTGGCACAGGAAGAGATCTTGATTGGTCAAATCCAGGGGTACATTGTCGGGTGGCAGACACAGGACCTGAAGTGCTCGAAATGTGGAACGCTCAAGGTCAGTGATTTCATGGAGCACTGCTCTTGCAGTGGAGTGTGGGTGGAAACGATGGATCGGAAGGAGATTGAGAGGAAGCTGCACATCTTGAACAGCGTGGCCAAGTTCCACGGACTCAAGTTGTTGGAGAGCGTTGTGGGAGAAGTTCTTGCACAGATGTGAACATGTGGTTGTTCTTGCATGATTGCTTGTCATTTGAGCGTTGATGGTTGGCGGCGATACCCGCGGTAACTCTTCTACACTTCGGTTTCGGTATATACATGCGGCCGGGGCAACATTGGATAGGCGTTGCGGAAGGGATTGAATCCATTTGAATGGCGTAAATAGCATTTTTATTACCTTGCCTCCCTTCAATACATAGTGTATGCATAATAGTACCTGGTCCGTTGCTAAGAAACTCATATAGACGAGGATGTAGTAGTGCCGGTGCCTGGCCCGAGTCTCTTCTGTGGACTGTCCAATATGTCGGAAATACATCCCGGCCCCTCCACGTAGGCTCTTGACTTAGAAAGCACATATATTTACCTTTGGAAGGGTTCTGAGTCTGTTGTTTACTTCCGTAGTGGTTGTGGGTAATAATAAGTCCCTAAGCTCAATTTATATCGCAAGTCAATGATCCATCTATTAATATATGAGACAAAGTGCACACGATCCATGGATGATTCTTCGATTAGCACCTCGGCACGTGTGTGGCAGGCGCACCGCAATCCGATCTGTCACCCCAACTTACTTTCCTTCAACACGCCGATCTCCATCGATTTGATTTTCCGCATTCCACCAGAAGACAGCATTGCTGACAGCTTGTTTCTCTGTTCTGGATCCCAGGAGCATCATCCTCAGCTGGTTTGAAAACCCCCCACTCCAACAGCGTCCGCCCAACGGCGTCTGCACCGAAACCCCGCAGTCGGACTCCACCACATCGTCCCATTGCGACGAAACAACCGGTCCTTTATTCTGGCTATCTCCCTGGCACGTTTCACTTCGCCTGTGAACCCGTCACGCTTCCTGCAGGTATGTAAGCCGACTTTTGATTGGACTTGGCTTATTGGTTCAAGATCCGCTATCTTGTCTATCCATCTACTGACCGCGGGGCTGAAGACGCAGGCCCGAACCACCCTTATCCGTCTGCCTTGAACCCGGACCCTATCGACAGTCCACCCTTACCTCTCCACCCCTGAAACAGAACTCCGTCGCCTTCGGGAATTTCAATCATAAATGGCGTCGCAACCGCAAGCAGGTCAACGGCCTAAAGTCCAGCCCTGCCGATACAAGACTGGAAAGACCCTGGGAGCCGGCTCCTACTCGGTCGTCAAGGAATGTGTGCACATTGACACCGGCCGCTACTATGCGGCGAAGGTGATCAACAAGCGCTTGATGGCAGGACGTGAGCACATGGTACTTCTTCACCCAGGGGATCTAGCTGTGGCTGGCGAAACTCAGGATAAACCAGGAAGGCTAATGATAAGGATTGTGGGGTTATCGTGATAGGTTCGAAATGAGATCGCGGTGCTGAAAAGGGTGTCGATGGGACATCAGAACATATTGACCCTGGTCGATTATTTCGAGACTATGAACAACTGTATGTGTATCACCGGTGTGGAGTCTTGATATGAAAGTCGTCGAAGGCTAACTGTCCTTTCGCAATTTGACAGTGTATCTGGTTACCGATCTTGCGCTTGGTGGCGAGCTATTCGATCGCATTTGCCGTAAGGGCAGTTACTACGAATCCGACGCTGCGGACCTCATTCGTGCCATTCTTTCCGCTGTGGCATACTTGCACGACCACGGGATCGTGCATCGGGATCTGAAGCCAGAGAATCTTCTTTTCCGCACCCCAGAGGATAATGCGGATCTACTGATCGCAGACTTTGGCTTGTCGAGAATTATGGACGAGGAGCAGTTCCATGTTCTTACAACGACGTGCGGCACACCGGGATACATGGCTCCCGAGATCTTCAAGAAGAGTGGTCATGGAAAGCCAGTGTACGTTCCTCTGCCTTGACATTCTGCCAGCGCGAGTACTGTTTCTAATACTAACGACCACCCAACAGAGACATCTGGGCCATTGGTGTCATCACCTATTTCTTGCTATGCGGCTACACCCCCTTTGACCGCGACTCCAACCTGGAAGAGATGCAGGCCATCCTTGCAGCAGATTACTCCTTCACACCCATCGAGTACTGGCGCGGTGTTTCCCACGACGCACGGGACTTCATCAAGCGTTGCCTAACCATCGACCCTAGCGCTCGAATGACGGCTCACGATGCCTTGCAACACGCCTGGGTCAACCCGCCCTACGACACATCCGCAGACAAGTTCGGCTCCGGCGAAGATCTCCTCCCCACCGTCAAGAAGAACTTCAACGCTCGCCGCACCCTCCACAAGGCCATCGATACCGTTCGCGCCATCAACAAGCTTCGCGAAGGCGGCGGCCTAATGATGGACGGTATGATGAGCGTCGACCCCAAGCCCGAACGAGTCAACGGCAACGACGTCATCGAAGAACGACGCGACCACGATGGAGATATGGAAATCGATGGTCGTGCCAATGCTCGTGGTCAGACAGAAGAGCAGATCCGCGCTCAGGAGCGGAAAGTCCAAGAAATGGTCGCAGGCCTGTGGAGTCGGACTGGAAAGAAATAAAGGATGGTAATAAGTATATATCGTATCATTATTTTCCTGGGATCATTTATACCAAGCTTAAGCTTATATACCTTTTGTTCCCCTTCACACTGTCACCACTTCCTTATCTTGATATCTGTAAACCCTTGATGGGAATAAATTTTTTCTGATCATTATCTGGTGTGGCTTTTGTGGCAAAAGAAACATATTTCGGTCTCGGTTCTATCCTCTTTCATACGTACTAGTAACTATAGCATACGATACGATGTAATAGATATCGATACTTCTATATTAGACGTATATACGCGGGTTAAGATGAAGTATAACTGGATTTATAGATCAGGTGATTGGAGGAAAGGGTGGAAAGATATGATAGTATGATAGTATGGTGCAACTTAGATGTTGGAATTGTTTCTTCCCTCCCCCCCTTTCTTTTTGAGTTGGTGGAGGGAAGGGGAGAGGTTAGTTTAGCCTGATAGGCTTGTTCTTTTTGCACTCACGAGGTCTACGTACTAGATTGTAAGGTGTGGGTATGCACCGGTTTTGCTGTTTAAACGTTTCTTGTATAAACAATGTGTTCGGAGTTATGGTGCAGTGTATTTGTGGCTCGGAATGTTGTAGGAAGTAATAAAAATATATAATCTAACGTTGGAATGGGCGTTATAGCAAAACGAGGAGGCTTTCCCGAAAGATGGAGTTGTCCCGATTAGTATGTCCTTATAAACGGATTGTGTAGTACGTTGGATGTCTGTTTACATGACATGTGGTAGATATGTCCCAAATGCATAAAATAACCAAAGAATAAAACGCCTCTCGTCTCACTGACGCCATCGCATCATTAAACATCCAGGTTGAATGGGATCATTGGTTGGCTGTCAGCTCAAGAGCTGCTGGCTCCCATCGTCCAGCGAGAGGACCCACTGCCGCCATTCTTGCCATTCCGCATAGCTGCTGCTGGCCTTGAGGCCCTGATACTTGACGGCTCGGAAATCGGAGACCTGCTCCCATGGCTTGGTTGCGCCGGCAGTCCCATGACCAGCATTGCTGCTGCCTCGCAAAAACCGTCTCGCCACGCTCTCGGAAGGCCCATCCCAGCCTGCTTTGTGCATCAGGCTGTTGACGGTCTCTTCTTTAGTCCATCCTTGCTCGACCGCGACATCAGGGAGGTAGGTTGCGCCATAGCGTCTGCCGCGATGAATGAAGGAGATGCGAAGGCCATGCACCCCAAGGATCCAGTCCAGAGCGTTGGTGCATGGCTCGAAAGACCCGAGAAGTGTCAATGAGCAAGAGAGAGAGGGCAGAAGAGACTCCGGGATCGGGGAAAACCGAGTATCATCAAATGCGCTGTGGGCGGTTAGCATGCGCGAGCCTTGCCAAGGTGTAGGTGGAAGGCCCGGTCTCATGGATGGTGAAAGGGATATACGTACGACGTGAGAGCGTAAGATTTCAGGCCCTCGGCAAGCTCCTGCGCCTCAAATGTGCCAATGCAACCCCGGAGTGACTTGTGACCGTGTTTCGAAACGGTATTCCATGTTACAAAGAGAGGATATTTGTCTTCTCTCGGCTTGCCACCGGCCGTGTCCGAGGAGGAGCTGGGTGTCGTGACTGTGGTTGAGCTTGACAAGACAGATTGCGATGAGTTGGTAGACGCAAGGGATTGTGTTGTAGAAGAGCTCGAGCCAGACTGAAGTCGGCTGACTCGGGGCACTTTGATCTTCTGAGAGCGACTGCTCTTTCCAGAAAGCGGCGCGGTGTTCTCGTCCTCGTCTACAAATTGCGAATCGTCGTCCTCATCTAACGCGGCGAGCTTTTTATACTGTTCGTGCTGTTCCCAGAGCTCTTCCACAGACGCAAGACTGATGGGTTCCCTGCGCCTATAGGAGGCAGCAAGGGTCTCGAAACAGTAGTAACATTGAGCCGGGGTGGCCATTCTTTAAATCCAGATGTATATTTGCTTAAAAGAAAGAATCACGATGTCAGGTCTCCCAATGAGTATGTATAGAAACAGCGACGGTGATCTTGATCTGTTCGTCACAGCCTAGGGGTTCTGTCTCGAGGCAAACACCCGGTTGCTCCGCTTGACCGGGGGAATCCGGCACCAGAAGGCTACTTGCAGCACAACAGGTACGACGGGACCTGAGATGAGATGGACTGGATCTTAACTAAAGAAACCAGCAGCAACGTACAGTCCAGTGCCAGGGATCCGCCCAGAAGGTGAGAGTCCACGGAAAAGGCAGCAACTGAGAGAGGCAAAGCAGGGAGGGGAAGAAAGAGGGGAAGAAAGCCCAACGAGGGGAAGTACGAGCCAGGCCGGCCGATAACGCCGCCACGTGATCGACACGGGGCTTATCGGCTTGTCTGCAGACTCTTATCGGGGCTTATCACGGGGGACCAAGCATACAGCATCATGATGATGGTGATGGCTACATCAGGAGGTAACAACTACTAGTAGTAGTAGTTATGACATTAGTTTTTGCATAAAGTGTTAGACACTAGTATGGTTGTGAAATAAGTATATAATCTTCTTTGTACGTTCATTATTCACTAGTAGTACCTAATTATGCACAAAGTGTCTCGTATATATATTACGCGGCGTTCGGACTAGGAGACCCAATCTTCATTTAAGTTGTCTTCAGATCATCATGATACTAGGATATGATACCCCATTAGGTCTAGGATTCTGATATATTTCATCACAATCGATATACGGTCGATACAGCTCCATGGAAGCAGCCAGTCCCAGAGAAAATGAGGAGCGGTTTCTCGAAGATTTTCCAATGGTCATCTCTCCCCGGTCAGTGTGGGCATGCACTTCCAGGTAGAAAATATTCAGGTCGCAATAGACCTTTCTCTTTGCACATCGACTGAGCCTTCATTATAGACGTGTTGGCAGTCTGAAGTATATATAGGGCTCAATCCGAGCTCCTGGCAGCAAGTCTTTGACTCCCATAGGCCGCAAGCATAGAACAGCGGCAGCGAATCACCTGACCTCTTGTCTATCCGACAGAGGTATGCAAGGTCATATCGTCTGGTGACGAGCCATTGATGGCCTGAATGTTAGCGACTGGCTATACATCATATTTTCGTTGACAGTCAACCCGGGACAATGTTGATACTCGTCATTCATAGTCGCAGTGTCAGCGATGACGATCGTCTTTGGGCATAGCTAGATTCATCATAGAAAGCATATTTCCTGCAGGGCCAGCCGCGCCACATTGGCCCTGAAGACTTTCAAGAAGGTTTTTTGCGAAGTTGATGTCAATGTCGTCCTCATCCAGTTCAGGTAGATCATCGTCTTCCGCTTCACCTGACTTGGTATCAGCCAAAGCCTGCTTGTCACCGGCTGTCTTGGGCTTGCGATTGAGGTCGAGCACTCCCGTGCCTTTCAATTCTGCCTCCATTTGCTTCGAAAGTTCCTTAATCTGCTCGGTGTCATCCTCGGATTCGCTATCCAGTTCCTCCACTCGCCCCCGCGGCTTCGAAGGCCGAGACGAGCCCGGCAGGCCAGAGCCGCCTGATGGCATTCCCATCATTTCCTTCATCATCCTCGAAAATTCCTCTTCATCAAACGAAGCCTCTTTATCTTCACCATCACTGCTCATCTCATCCTCATCCTCATCCTCATCCTCATTGTCAGTATCAGTGCCATAGTCATCGAAGAATTCTGCTCCTTCGAAGCCAGCCGAATCATCATTCAGGAACTTCTCGAATTGCGCCACAATACGCTGAAGATTTTCTTGCGCGTTCGCATCACCAAAGGTACCCTCGGCGAGCGGTCTACCGTCTTTGTCTTTCCCCTTGCCTTTGAGCTCCCGATCTAAGTCTTCAAAGCTGATGTCGAGCCATTTCTCGTCATCTTGCCGCTTGTCCCAGGCTTCGATGTCTTTGTCCGTGGGCAGTTGTTCATCACCAGTATCCAGGTCTTCCAAAATAAGCTTCATTTCCCTGACTGCTGTCTTGTCTTGATTTTGAGGATCCGTGAGAAGCATCTCAAATCCACAAGCCAATTTCATGCCTATCTCGGCCCGATCATATGCTTTCTGATCATCTGTTGTGGGTAGTTTATCGTTCCATGACTTCGGTACTGGAAAGTCCTGGCTTTTGAGTTGAGCATATCCAACCCGCGTGAAGCGGACGCTCACGGTGACGAAATCTTCAGGCTTGAAGATGAAGCTGTCGGCATCCTTGGATCGAAGAGGTCGCAGTGCAATCGGGTCGCGCAGATAGAAGGCTTCGACAGCGGCAGAGATATATGCGGGCTTCTGATGAAGTAGGAAGGCAATTTTGCGAGGGATGGTCACGAACGCGGAGTGAAGGTTTTCGTTGATCTGTTGGGGATAGTTACGCAAGCGGTAGAACGCCTCCTCCTGAATCATGGTAGATCTCATAAGACGCCCCGGCTCCTCCATGATGATCTTCTTTGCATCCGACAGCGATATCTTCTCTGTCACTCTATCTTTCTTATCGTTCTTGGGCTTAATTATGACAAGTTGACCTTGGTTAATCCAGACCTGGGAGGAAGTTAGCCTGCGACATAACAGACACTACAACGAATACGCCACTAACTCTGTTATCTGCTACCTCAGGTTCCAGCCAAGCAGGTAGCGTGGCGGCAGCTTCCACCAAAAGGAACTGACCATCACCATCCACAGCTTTCGCCCAGACATTTTTGTGCTTCTTAGTCAACTCGCGCAACAGATATACGATCACCCACTCGTCCTCAATTGAATCTCCGAAGTTGGTGCGGCCATGCAAAGAGGTGACTCCTAGGTATCCGTCAGTGGCTGAAACAAGCAATTAGTATACATGAAAGAACGCGGCGCACCATTATCTTTCGTGATCTCCAGCCGAAAGCTTTCACGTTGCCAGATATAATCCTTTAGAAGGTCTTTTACCAATTCTGCAGAGGTACGTTGCACCTCTACCAATCTCGCACGCGTTTCAGCGACTTCGTCGACCACCGCGGGGGCGGGGCTGGAAGGAATATAGTAAAGAGAATAATCGACGCTATCGTCAGGGATCTCCGGCTTGGGGATGGGGTGGAAAGTCGACTTGAACCACTCCAGGTCCTCCTCGGACATGGGCGCCATGATGCGAATGATCTGCAGCAGGCACACTTCCCTGCCTTGAATGTAGTTTCAGGCTGCTGTGTGCAGCAGTTCAACTCAAACCAACTTCAATAATCAGAAACTGGAAAATAAATTACGGCATGACTTCATACCGGACGAGACGCGGCGAATTGCTTGGCCCGGGCCCCGTGACCCGGGCGCTAGGTCGCGTTGGGCCAGATGTCAACAAGAACGAGGGCTTGAGGCCTCACCGCCCAAAACACGTCCCGTATCGCATCGCATTTCCAGTACTACCTTAGATTGTCAGTCCCCTCCGCCGCGTTCCCCGATTTCCAGTGGTGTTGTCGGCGATGGTTTCCCATTGAATGGCATTCGCACCTTCCCCTACACTGTTCACACCAACCTTCAGCACTATAACCCCGCGTTTTACCCGTCGACCATGGCGTATCCGTACATCGACACGCCGCGCACCGAAGTCGACGGAAACGCGACTTATATGACCGGCTATCGCAGCGTGGGACGACCCAATTTGACAGCACTTGACTCGGTGGAAAATTCGTTTGCTACACCTTCCAAGGATGATGACCTCCTCAAAGGTCTTGGTGACGGTCGAAGGCGGACTTCTGGGAGTTTCAAGATCAACACGCCGCGTGCAGGCGCAGCTTCCAAATCGGCAAGAAGCGCGTTAAATAGTCGACATCAGCTTCCCACAGCAGCGCCTCCCAAGGGTGAATTTACGCCCCTCATGAGGAGTGCCACGAAGAACAATTACTTGCGAAATATGTCTACGACGCGCGGACCAAAGACCCCGGGACATATCGGCAGGAGTTATTTGAGCAATGGCAACACGCCGGGCTTGCCTGGGATGGAAATGACCGACATTGATGAGGAAGACGCGACCGACGATCAGCCCACTCCTATCCCGCAGGTTGCAAGCAGCAGCGTGCAGAGCACACCGCTTCCAGGGTTGTCCAGGAACGGTGGTGTACTCAATGAGGGCAATAATATGACATTGAAGGAACAGGAGAAGGTAAAGATATGGTTTATAGCGTTGGAGAACGTTACTAACAAGTATAGATGATCGATCAATTAGACAAGGATAATTTTGGTCTGAAATTGAAAATTCATTTCTTGCAGGAGCAACTGGAGAAGGCCGGACCCGCCTACAACCAAGCAGCGCTGAAGGAAAACACAGAGCTAAAGGTCTCGAAATTAACGATGCAACGCGACATCTCACGCTACAAGAAGAGCCTCCAACAGGCTGAACGCGACCTCGAATCCTACCGCATACAATTTCAGGAGCTGAGGGAGAAGGCACGGGGAAGACCATCCGATGATACGATACAGCGCGAAATGGATTTGATGCGGGAAGAGATCGAAGCGAGAGACAACCAAATCAGGGAGCTCCAGGAAGATTTGAGGGATGCCAAGGACAGCCAAACTGAAGAAATGGAGAAACTCCGTGACGAAGTTGAAGATCTCGAGGCGTCGGTAAGGGAGCGGGACCGGGTAATCGAGGAACGCGAAGAGGAGATCGAAGAATTGAAGGACAGAGACGGCAAGGAACGCGATGCACTTACTGAGCTGGAATCAGAACTGCAACGTGCGAAAGAGCAGATGGAAGAGTTACAAGAGTCGCTGGATCAGGCGAAGTCGGATGCCAGAGAGGCGAGGGATGCTGCAAGTCAAGCAGTCATGGAGAAGGACCAGGCTCAGAAAGATCTACAGGAGTTGCACGATGAGATGGCAAACAAATCTATCAGTACAAGTGGACTGACGCGTCAGCTGGAGGAGAAGGCCAGTAAGTTGGAGGAGGAACTTCGTGAGCTCCAACAAGAAAACAGCGCATTGAAGAAAGATATCGAAACACGATCCGATCACGAAGCCCGGATTGAGGAGCGATATCGGGAATCCCAGCAACAGATGAACGACAAGGAGCGGAAGCTGCAGGATGAGGCTGCGCAGGCTAGGCGGGAACGAGACTTGACCCAGCAGGAATATGACAGGATCTCTGCCCAGTTGCAGGAAGCGCTCGACGAAGTCCAACGCAAAGCGGACGAGAAAGAACTATTACAAACCCGACACCATGCATTGACGGACGAGTCCGGAAGCCTGCAGCAGGAGCTGGCGAGAGCGCAGTCTAAGATTAAGGAGCTACAACAAACCTTGGAGGAAGAGCATCACCATGCGCTGGATAATACGAATACTGTCCGTACTCACTACAAGGAAGAAGTCGAGAGGCTACAAGAAGAGATTGAGGCTCTCCACCATGAAATCGAAGATAAGGAGGGCCAGTTTGCTCTCGAGCAAGACAGGTGGGAGAGCGCCAGGCGTGCCTTGCAATTGCAGAAGGACAGAGCTGAAGATCAGGCAGCTGGTTTCAAGCGCACGATAGAAAAGCTTGAGCAAGTTGAACATACTCTGTCTGGAAAAGAGATGAAACTACAAGAAGTCATCGATAGCGAGAAGACGCGCCACTTTAACTCAGAGGCTGTTTTGAGCCGGCAGGTCAAAGAACTGAACGACGACCTCACATCAAAACGGGAGATAATCGATGAACAGCGTAATGAAATCCTTTCCCTGAAAGAGGATTTGAGGATTGTTAGACGTTCAGAGGCAGCGCTTCAAGAGAAGATCCAGGCTCTGGAGGACGAGATTGTCGTCTTACAATCGAGCTTGGAGGAAGAACAGGAGTATACCAAGGGCCGAACACAGAAAGGATCTGCAGAACATGACAGTCAAATCCAGAAGCTCATCAACGAGAAACAGAGACTCCGTGATCAGCTGGCTAATGCCCATGTCGAATTACACGATTTGCGGACGTCTGCTGCTGAAATTGAGACAGAACGCGATGAGCTTCAGGTCCAACTGGATCAGGCCCAGAATCAAGTTGACGACACGACGCGTTTCGATAAAGAAAAGGTCGATCTCCGAAAATCCGTTCTACGGCTTGAAGGCGAGGTTAGACGCCTCAAGGAGGACAGATCCTCATTGTTGGAAGCCAAGGAGACGCTAGAAAAGCAGCTGAGCGCCGAGATCGAGCGGGCTGCCCTGGAAGAGAACCGTCTGTCTGCCGAAATCGACCAACTTCACGATAAGCTGCACACGACTTCGGGTGGAAGGGATCGCGAGCTGGCGTTGACAAAGAGTAAGGCGCAACGTTACGAAAGACGCATACAAGAGCTTGAGAACCTCCTTCAGCAGCAGCCACATGCTGAGAACGAACATTCGACTGCAAATGGAGACCTCTCGATGCTTCGTCATAGCCTGGATGAGGCTCGGAAGCGTGAAAAGACGTTGCTTCAGCGCGAAGCCGACCAGAAGTCGTCCGTCCGAAATTACAAAGCACGGCTTGCTGAATTGGAAAGAGAACTGCACGATGCTATGATGAAGAAATACGAATCCCACTCACCGTCCTCTTCACCCTCCAACAAACTCCATGATGAGCTCCGGAATCTACGAAAACAGCTGTCTGAGGCCCACCGAACGCTACGGGAAGTGAAATCGAAGAATCGCGATCTTGAAAGAGCTGCAATGAGAGAAGAAGACCAGCGTGATCTTCATGAGCTACTCAAATCATCCACTCTGGAGGCGGAATCGCTCGCGCTCAAGGTGTCAGAACGAGAGGCCCGTATGAACGAGCTCAAGGCGCAAATGCGCAGGATCCGTGATGAGCGTTCATTCTGTGCTAGAAAGGCTGAATCGGCCTTGAAGGAGCTCGAATCCCTGCAAGAGCGATATGACCATCTCGTGGAGAAGATGGGGACGAAGAGCGAGAGCAGTAAGACAAGACATGAGAAGGAGATTCTCGGTCTGGGCAAGGAAATTATCTGGCTTCGTGCGCGACTGAAGCGTGAGGAGAAGTTCCGCCGTGACCTGGCCTGGAGTAAGGGCTTGATGGAACTTGGCGAGCGTGTTCGGGTTGCCTGGTTAGTCCCCTCATTTCTACGACTACCCTATCTTTATTATCGTTTAACTAACATACTCCCTCCAACAGCAACGAAGCCGATCTCCGCATGATCTCCGACATGGGTGTCAAATCCCGTGACCGTAACAAGACCCGCACTCCCCAGTCCAAGCTGAAGACTGCCGTCTCCATGGTCAGAGCCGTCGTCCGTATGCAACGGATGTGCCAAGACTGGAAGAAGACGAAGAAGCTTGGTGAGGGACTCCGACGGGCAAAGAATGAGGTTCTGAAGAGGCGAGACGCTTCTTACAGCAAAGCCTGATCGCTGCCTTTATATGACCTCTCGAACCGTCTGATGTCGAGCCTCTCTTCCTTCCTTTCCCGCTAAATGGGGTTACCCCCCATTGATTTCCAATGATTTTGCATTTTCTTTTGGCTTTGTTGAGAAGATTCCCCGGCGTTTTTGATGGATCTGTCTTAAGGCGTTGTCCTCTCCTAGGTTGGATTGTGAAAGGAATTGTCGTTGGTATTGTACCTACTACTTTGTTTGTGTAGTTTCTCCCCAGGGATAATGGTTCCCTCACACATATACTCTTTATTTTTAGTATTGTTGGTCTGGGTGGTTAGATTGAATGGTTAATGAGATATGTCTGAACCCAAATTTGAATTCATGGTTGTATACCAGTAGTGGATGTGTTTTCAATATCTGGCCTACAAAAAAATAATGAACTAAGACCACCACAAAGGCCAGTGTATACGCACATAAAGTGAGAATTGAATTTCAACCGACGACGTTCATCCATTCCACACCGAGTCATGTAGTTGAGTAAACAGAAGGAGAAACAAAACAGTGACTTTAGATCAACGCCTCGCCTTGCTGCACAATGATAAAGACATGAGTCTGCCTAACACCGAGATGGAAGGTGTGAGAGAAAACAGGAAAGTCGAAAAGAAATAAAGAAAAGAGAAGAAGTAATGGGGAAAAAAGTCGTAGGGAGCATTTCGAATGGTGTACGTATATGTAGTAAAGCACATGGAAGCGTGTGTGGTCGTGGATTTTCTTTTCTTTCGTTCGTTCGTTCGTTCGTCCCTTCATTCCAATTGAGCGTTTAATATCCATGCATGCCAAATCATGTCGACCGAGTCAATATCGGGAGGGGGAAAAAGGATATCCGAATAATGGGGACGGATGGGAAAGAAAGCTTGACTTTATGAAGCCTGGTTGATTCTATCGGGTCGTGATGAGGCAAACGAGAGGATGATGGATGGACTCGTTTGTCTTCTTCTAAATGTGAGAAGATGGATGTGGTTAAGTTTGGGATGGATCTTGAATTAAGCACCCTCGCTGCCGAATTCCTTGGTCCATTCGGAGTTTCGTTGCAGGTCTTCTTGACTGACGGTTGGTCGGGAGTTACGAACCGCCTTGATGAAGTCTTTCAGGACGAGCGGGGGTTCCAGGAGTTGGTCGGCTTCTACGGTGGTCCATGACATTTCCATTGCGCCTTGGTCGCCCGGTGAGCAGGGGGTTAGCTTTTCGGCACCGTCGAGGATGACCTGGATTTGTGGTTAGTGTTGTCTTCCCTAGGAATATGCATGACTGGAGGGCTTACCTTCTTGTAGTGCGTTGCTGTTTGGATCTTGCGGATTGGCTGCATCAGCGCATCCTGCACAGCAATGCTAATATCGCTACCGGAGTAGCCCTCGCTCATCTCTGCCAGGGTTCGGTAGTCGGCTTGCGTCAACTCGCAGGGCGTGGAGCCGACAGCCAGCATGAACATCTTCATTCGTGCGTTGATATCGGGGAGACTGATGTGGACTCGACGCTGGAATCGACGACGAATGGCTGCATCCAGTTGCCAGGGAATGTTCGTTGCGCCGAGGATCAGAACGCCCTTTGAGTCTTTGCCAACACCGTCCATCTGAACGAGCAATTCCGTCTTGATACGACGAGATGCCTCTGATTCACCTTCGCCACGAGGGCCGCAAAGAGCGTCGACTTCGTCAATGAAGATAATCGCCGGCTTGTTTTCTCGCGCCATGTTGAAGAGCTGCTTCACAAGCCTGTAGAGGCATGTTAGCTCTGGGAACCGACATGTGGCAACATAAGATCACCGATTGATCCATACCTTTCACTCTCACCCATCCACTTCGACACCAAGTCACTACTACTAACACTGAAGAATGTGCTGTTCGCCTCCGTCGCAACAGCCTTGGCGAGATATGACTTTCCCGTACCCGGGGGCCCATACAGCAAGATACCCTTCCACGGTTGGCGCTTCCCCGTAAAGAGGTGTGGGAACTTGATCGGTAGAATGACCGCTTCCTTCAATGCCTCCTTTGCGCTCTCCAGACCGGCAACATCCTCCCACTGCACGTTGGGTTTATCCGACAAGATCGCCCCAGCAAGGGCGGACCGTAGCTTCTTCGAGTCGGCGTCCTCGCCATCTTCGTCCTGGTTTCTAATTCACCAAGGAGTGTTAGCATACAATGCTCTCTGGGCCAAAAGTGATCGGATGCCGGGAGACATGTACATACCCTCCCTTCCCACTTCCTTGCGCCACCTTGCCGTTAGCGCCCACCGCACTCGGCTTTTTTCGATTATCTAGAGTAGCCAGGTGATTCTTGAGTTTCTCCGCACGATCCATGTACTCGCCGGCCTTTGCGCGGATCATCTCCTTGGACTTGGGGTTCTTCTCCCATTTCAGTGCCAGCATGAACAGCTCCAGTGCCGAGTAATACAGCTGATAAGCCTTCTCGTATTCGCCCTCATTGTCGTGCTCGATGGCCTTTTTGACGGTGTCAATCGCCCTCCCTAGGAAGTCGGTATTACTCATGGCTGAAGTGAAAAAGGATCGAAGTATTGTTCACGGAATGATCGTAAGGGGGAGCAAGCAAGCAGGGCTGGCTGGGCTGGTTCAAGGCGGGGAGCGAATGACGACGGAAGCCTGCCTGGTTTCGTCCGGCCGTCTGTACTGTTTGTCTCTGCGGGCGCAAGAAGGGGACTCGATTGCACCGGAACACGGAACAAACAATGACGTATAGGATTGATTCTTACCGAATCTACACCTCTTTCCAAAAGGGGGTTTTAAGTAGGGGTTTAATCAGGAGAGCTCAATCATGTAGGAAGTGCAAGAAGAGAAGATACTTGGGAATGGAGGAATGGCACGAGCAACAGAGAGACACTGGCCGAAAAGGCGGGCAGACGGCCTTGTTTACCGTCTTTGGTTGGTTTTCTGCCGCTCCGCTTCCCATTTTGCCCCTCCGAGATAGATAAACTAATCCCATTTCCCCGACGACCATTCCACCACACCTCATTATCCATAGAGATTATCACACGGCATCATGGCGGACGCACAGAAGCAAATGCAGGCGCTTACGGAAGAGTTCCAGACGTTGCAGACTGGTATGTTGCTATTCTCGACTTGTTTGCTTCCCATTTGAGGGGGGGCATGCAAGCGTCATCTATCTATTCTGTCTCCGTCAACCGGACTATCTTGACATGATGCTATGCGCACCATTACTTGAAAGCATGAAACAAATACTAATACTTGATTGTAATAGAGCTCGACGGTCTAGTCGAAGCGCGCCAGAAGCTCGAATCCCAGCAGCAGGAGAACGTCGGCGTTCAGAAGGAGTTCAATTCCCTTGATGACGAGTCGAACATCTACAAGTTGATCGGACCGGTTCTGCTGAAGCAGGATAAAAATGAGGCTATGATGGCTGTCAATGGACGTCTTGAGTTCATTGAGAAGGAAATGTGCGTATCAGTTACCCTCCTCTCTCCCACCCCTAATTGGGTGTTGAAGTGAGAGCTGTGACTGACATGATCTATCTATAGCAAGCGCATTGAGGGACAGATTCAGGAGAACCAGGACAAGGCTGACAAGAAGCGCGCTGAGGTGAGTTTTATGGTCATTGTAGTAGGCATGCTATCGGTAATCGGGACTGACAATTCGTGATACAGATCGTTCAGTTCCAGACTCAGATGCAACAAGCGGCGGCGGCTGCTTCTGCTTGAAAATAGACGGATCATTGTTACCAGTACTATAGGTAGAAGACACTGGCTATCTTATCACACGATGATAACGAGGAGATATAATTGTTGGTGATGGCGGATGAGAAAGAGCAGCCAAGGTACCTGACCGGTTCAAAGGCGATGATGCACGTCGCCTCGGAGGTCCTGCGAAATAAAGAAGCACCGACAGCAGAGCTACTTTTGGGTGCGATGGCCAATGATGGCCCAGCACAACGAGGTTGAGAGGTTCTATATACCCTTGTTAATGATCGTTGCGTTCAGAAGACTATATGGGTGCGTAGTCAATCGGGCCGTCTGTCGACCGAAGGGTGGCACCTACCCTGTGTGGGTGCTATGGTTGATTGGTATCATGATGGATACGATGTACCCCTCAAGGCACAATTAGAAGTACATTTGTATAAGAGCATGGAAGAGATTCAAAATAAACAAAATTCTGTTCTATCTCGCTCCAAAGCTAAACCCCAGTATAGACACCGTAATAATTCATTTCTTCATCAATGGAATCGTATCCAGACAATACATGACATCTACTCTATACGCTAAATCTATGCCTTAACCAAAAGGCTGCGGCCGGACATCTCCTCGGGCTGCTCGATGCCCATGGCAGCCAGGACGGTGGGAGCAACATCTCCCAGAACACCCTCCTCCTTCTTGAGGCTCCAGCCCTCGGGGGCGTTGGCCATGACGAAGGGGACCTTGTTGGTGGTGTGGGAAGTCTTGGGGGTGCCCTTCTCGGTAAGCATCTCCTCGGCATTTCTATCGGGCAGAGGAAATGAATGTCAGCGAGTCATCTTTGCCTAAACGTGTCGGAGGCGAGACTTACCCATGGTCGGCGGTGATGAACAGGATGTAGCCGTGCTTCTTGCAGGCCTCATAAATGACGCCGATGGCCTTGTCGGTGGCAGCAACACCCTGGATGGCAGCCTCGTAGACACCGGTGTGACCAACCATGTCGGGGGGAGCAAAGTTGTTCATGACAAACTCGAAGTTGCCCTCACCAAGGCGCTCGGCCATCTTGTCACCCACAGCGGCAGCGCTCATCTTAGGCTCGAGGTCATAGGTGGCGACCTTGGGAGACGGGATCATATCGCGGACCTCGCCGGGGAACTGCTTCTCAACACCACCGTTGAAGAAGAAAGTAACGTGAGCGTACTTCTCAGTCTCGGCAACGTGGCACTGCTTAACATCCTTCTTGCCCAGCCACTCGGCCAACACGTTACCCATGTGCTGGGGAGGGAAGGCAACAGGGAAGGTGTAGTCGGTCTTGTACCGGGTCATGGTGGTGATGTGGATGTCCTTGGGGTAAGGGAATTCGGGCTTGGGAGAGCGGTCGTAGTCACCCAGCAGCTGAGTGATCTCACGAACACGGTCGGAACGGTAGTTGAAGAAGAAGAGGGTGTCGCCATCTGTCATCGCTAGTGAGCACCTCCATTTATCATAAGCAAAGGAAACACAACATACCCTGCACACGTCTGTCCTTGCCACCAACAATGATGGGCTTCAAGAACTCATCAGTCTCCTTGTTCTCATAGCGCTCGTTGATGGTCTTGACGGGATCAGAGCTCTCCTCGCCCTCACCCGTGACGATACCCTTCATGGCGATCTCAACCCGGTCCCAGCGCTTGTCGCGGTCCATGGCCCAGTAACGTCCGACAACGGTAGCGATCTCACCAACGCCAATCTCCTTGGCCTGGTCGAGCAGTTGCTGCATGTACTTGGTAGCGCTCTTGGGCTCGGTGTCACGGCCATCACCAAAGAAGTGGATGAAGACCTGAGGGATCTCCATCTCCTTGGCGACCTTCAGCAGGCCGACCAGGTGAGTGATGTTGGAGTGGACACCACCATCCGAAACCAGACCCAACAGGTGCAGACGGCCGTTGCCCTCCTTGGCGCGCTTGAAGGAAGCGACGATGTTGTCCACCTTGCCCAGCTCGCCCTTCTTGAGGGTCTGGTCAATGCGGACACTGTCCTGCCAGACGACACGGCCAGCTCCAATGTTCAAGTGACCGACCTCACTGTTGCCCATGAGACCCTCCGGCAGACCGACAGCGAGGGAGGAAGCATCGAGTTCGGTGTAACCCTGAGCAGTCTTCGAATCGGCCTCGGCGAAGCCGGACATGAAGGGGGTCTCAGCGGCAGCGATAGCATCACCGTCCTTGGGGGAGTTGGGACCGGCGACACCCCAGCCATCGATGACGACTAGACAGCAGGCTATTAGTGGATTGCTGGGCAACAGAAGAAAGGATTGGACATATTTAACTTACTGAGGGCGACTTTCTGATCAACCTTGGCCATTTTTGCTATATACTCTGTGCTCTAAGTTGTTGGAGTGCATATGTTAGCCAAAGCAATTTAATTGCCTGCGCAAAATGTAGTCCGGGGATAGAGCGGGATGGGCTCGGGAAGCACTCACCAAAAGTGGGGATGAAATACAAGAAGAGCAAAAGAATGGGTGGGAAAAAGGAGGTGTAAGAAGGAAGAAGAAAGATAGAAGAGAATTAGGATAGAAGAAGGAGAAGGAGGAGAATTGATAGGTGGAGCACGAAAAGGCTGGCCGGTGAAGACAATCAATGGCAAGACCAGCGTAGTAACAGTAATAGTAATAGAGGAGGGGGAGGGGCACACACTTTGGCTTTCGGTGACGCTTTGGGACTTGTTTTGTTTTCGCTCCGCCCCGACGTCACCTTCCACTCCCTTCTTTAGTGTCTTTTTCTCCGACTTTCCTCTCCCTCCCGTTCTCGTCCGGCTTCCCCGGCTCTTCCCTAAACAATTACCCAGCTTCCCCCGCGAAACGAGGCTATTCCCTTTCCCCACGTGAGCCCTCTGCTCTGGTCTCTCGACCGTTTCTCTTGTCTTCTTCTTTCTTTTCGTTGTGTCTGGTCCACGCGCTGCTGCCCTTCCCGCGATGGCGTCCCGATCCCCCACGGCGGTCACTCCCCTACCAAAATCATCCGTCGCGCCCGAGACTCCGATGGTCAAGGACGCCCCCGCAACCCCCCAGGCCGTTCCTTTTCCTTCTCCACAGACATTCGACATAGTCCCGCCGTTGCATGGCCTCCTTTCGCGTCTTCTATCGCCGCCAACGAACGCTGCTGGAGTCTCCAATGGCGTGAGAGCGGCCGATGACCCTACCGGCGCTGCTGCTCCTACCGGTCCGCCTTCAGGCACCCCTGGCCAACCTCAATCGCAGCAACAAGCCGGGTCCGAGAACACCAACAATGCTGGAGTCCTGGGGACAGTGACTTCAGCTGGTCCAGGCGGTGCAGAAATATCCGGCTTGGGCTCGAGTACCTCTCCAGCGCTCGATATCAAGGACCTTCCGACAGAGGTCAGCTCGATCAAGATTCGGATTCAGAAGGCACAGGCCGTGGTGGAAAACTTACCAGACGTTGATCGGTCGGTTGCTGATCAGGAAGAAGAAATCCAGGAGCTGGAGGACCGAATTGCAAAGCTCAAATCGGTCATCTCCGACTTTGGCCAGATGGCAAGCTCAGGAGGTGCTAGGAAGCACAAGTCCCAGGGACCTTGAGGGTGTGCATAGAAGGAGATGTGAATGTATATGTGCAAGTGTTGATGTCAACTGCTCTTGGTCGAGCACACCGAGCACGTCAAGCCCACGACAAGTATCCGAGAACAACCTCCCTGGCAATTTTCCGCAACCCTGATGGTGAAGAGCAACTTATTCCGAGCTTGGAACGGAATCAAAAATTGAGGTTCTGCCGGGGATAGGGGTTTAGAGAATAGAGCCCCGGGTTAGATCCAGTTGAGCAAGTCACTAGCTTCGTCCGACTCGTCTTCACTCAGGATGCAGATGACCATGGTATGGATAAGCCATGGGTTGGTCAGTGTATGCAGCTCCTGGTATCGCAAAGATGGTCGTAATGCTCAGCGACACACAGGTGCTTTTATGGAGTAAGTCTTGTTGGGACTTATGCTGTCTTGCCATTGCCTGTGCTATTGAGGTTGTGGGTTATGGCTTGTCCGAATTGCCATGTGATCATTAAAAGGAAACGTCTTGATATTCGCATAACCACCAAGTTGCTCAGCAGAACTTCTATGAAGGCGTCTGTCGGGCGGGGGATATTCGCAACCTGCTTTGACCCCTCCAGCGCCACCACGGTCCCCATTACAAGGTGCAAGCATCCCGAGAGGCTATGTTTGCTATGGGAACTGGAAGATCTATGGTGGAGCAGACTTGTTAAGGCCGCACCATGATACGCATGGTGATCTAGAAGCTACGCAATAATAGTGGAGTGGATGCATGCTATGACTCATTATAGCAGAGTTAGTTACCAGTTTAGAATTAGATGAAGCTCTCATTCTGTATGATGACTGCCACATTCGCGTTCTACGTACGTCGCATAAGCATGAATAAATCCAGCTGTACTTCACACAATCTCTGTCCTCGTTGAAAAAGATTCACAACTCATCAGCTATCCGGGAAGATGTAGATCAACGGTAGGGTTGGGAGGACGCCCCCTCGTGTTTCATGGGTGGGTGGTGGTAGCTTCAGTTGGCCGATGCTGATCGTTCCAGCGGCACCAATCGGAGCCGGGCTGGTAGGCTAGCGGATTGACTTTTTCCTGCCTTTCTTTCGCCTTCAGCCACTTGGTGGCATCCCGGTCGGGTTTCCGAGATTAAGAGAAAATTTACCAGATTAATTCTTGTCATAATGTATCCTAGCCCGCCCTGACATCTGATATATCCCTTAAATCAATTGCTTCTTGCATAGGCTGGCCTGTTGCTGGATGGTCACTGTAGTTACTTAGTAGTTACTTAGTAGTAGTCATTGAGTAATCGAGACGAGTAAGCGTCCAATGGTTTCCCCGAGCCGGTGAAGGAATGACGGGCTCCGATGTCGTCCCCCCGGGGCCCGATGGGGCTTAGCTCGGGTTTAGAAGCACAGGCGGCGGGGTGTAAGACTCACCTTCCGTCTTTTTGGGTCCTGAGGCAATCTTTTTTTCCCTCCCCCACCCCATCCCTAGCTTTTCCTCTTCTTCCCTCTTAATCCTCCTCTCCTTCCCTCTTCCTTCCTCCTTTTCTTCATCCTCAAACCATCATCTCATTTTTCTTCTCTTTCCCTCCCTCACCTAACTCTCTTTCTCTCACACATCCCTCTTCACAATGGCTACCTACGCTCTCTCTCCGGCTCACCGGAACGTATGTACCCCACTGAACTTTTTTTCCTACCTGGGGTGTCCCTCACAGCAGCACTCACTGACTCATCGATGTAGCAAATGGAGGTGTCCCTCGTGGACAGCGATCCTGAGATCGCTCAGATCATGGTACGTTTTGCACTACACATTGTGTTCTCTTCAAATATGTAGTGTCATGGTACTAACTGCCCGACTACAGGAGAAGGAAATCCAACGTCAGCGCGAATCCATCGTCCTGATCGCCTCGGAGAACTTCACCTCCCACGCTGTCTTCGATGCTCTGGGTTCCCCCATGAGCAACAAGTACTCCGAGGGTTACCCCGGCGCTCGCTACTACGGTGGCAACCAGCACATCGATGCCATCGAGCTTACCTGCCAGGCTCGTGCCCTCAAGGCTTTCAACCTGGACCCCGCCAAGTGGGGCGTCAACGTTCAGTGCCTCAGTGGTAGCCCTGCCAACCTGCAGGTCTACCAGGCCCTCATGCGCCCTCACGACCGTCTCATGGGTCTTGACCTCCCCCACGGTGGTCACTTGAGTCACGGTTACCAGACTCCCGCCAGAAAGTAAGTTCTGCGGATTCGTCTCCCGACACAAGACACGTCGTGTAAGGGTACATTGAATGCTAACTGTTCGCTCCGCAGGATCTCTGCTGTCTCTACCTACTTCGAGACCTTCCCCTACCGTGTCAACCTTGAGACCGGTATCATTGACTACGATCAACTCGAGGCCAACGCTGAGCTCTACCGCCCCAAGTGCTTGGTCGCTGGTACCTCCGCCTACTGCCGCCTGATCGACTACGCTCGCATGCGCAAGATCGCTGACAAGGTCGGCGCCTACCTCATTGTCGACATGGCTCACATCTCTGGTCTGATTGCCGCCGGTGTCATCCCCTCCCCCTTCGAGTACGCCGATGTTGTCACCACCACCACCCACAAGTCCCTCCGTGGTCCCCGTGGTGCCATGATCTTCTTCCGCAAGGGTGTCCGCAGCACTGACCCCAAGACCGGCAAGGACATCATGTATGACCTTGAGGGCCCCATCAACTTCTCTGTCTTCCCTGGTCACCAGGGTGGTCCCCACAACCACACCATCACTGCTCTGGCTGTTGCCCTTAAGCAGGTTGATACCCCCGAGTTCAAGCAGTACCAGCAGCAGGTCATCAAGAACGCCAAGGCCCTCGAGGAGGAGTTCAAGGCTCTCGGTCACAAGCTCGTCTCTGACGGCACTGACAGCCACATGGTCCTTGTCGACCTCCGCAACAAGAGCCTGGACGGTGCTCGTGTCGAGGCTGTCCTCGAGCAGATCAACATTGCTTGCAACAAGAACTCCATCCCCGGTGACAAGTCTGCTCTGACCCCCTGCGGTATCCGTATCGGTGCCCCCGCCATGACCACCCGTGGTATGGGTGAGGAGGACTTCAAGCGCATTGCCCGCTACATCGACCAGTCCATCAACCTCTGCAAGAAGGTCCAGAGCGAGCTTCCCAAGGAGGCCAACAAGCTCAAGGACTTCAAGGCTAAGGTTGCCTCCGAGACCGTCCCTGAGATCCTCAGCCTCCGCAAGGAGGTCGCTGAGTGGGCCAGCACCTTCCCCCTCCCCGTCTAAGCTAGTCATAGCCGGGTGACTTTTGATATGATACCATAACATTCTATCTTCTTCTATTTTTATTTTTCTTTCCTTTGTTTTTTATCTTGTTAGGTTACGAGTTCAACATCATTGCGAGCAAAAACGGATTGTGGGCTGTGCGTTCTAAGGGGTTTTATACAGGTCTGCTTTTTCAACCTTACGCGGGTCATGGGATATGGATATGCATGAGCATGTGAATGAACAAATAGCACCGGGATGACTTCTTCAACACTTCTTCAACAGGGCAGGAAAAGTTCGTGGTTGCATGGAGGCTTGGTACGCCTGGTTGAGTCTATTTCTACCTAGTAATTAGGTATTATGAACTGAAATAGAAAGATAATAAGTTCCATGAGACAAGCCAGACCCTTGACTGTGTATCTTGTAGCTTTCTGTAAACATTCCCGGAGTTGCAATCTCAAGGCATTAGTGAATACTACTAGTGATAACTAACTATACTCTAGGCATTTATATAATATGGTCTTAAGTACCGTATCGTCATGCCGTCCGTACCTGCACCGACACAAGATCCGACGACGTAAAGGAAAGTCATACCAATTTTCCCATTCCTTACCGTTCCCTTTATAGCTCATGACGAACCGCATACGCTGCTGACTCCGCCTCCCTCCCGTCAGCCTGGGCCTGCCACTCTCGAGACATCAAAGCAGCTACATTCCTCCCCATCAATGCACTCGTCTCCATCGTAGAGATGAAGCTTTCAATCCCGCCCGTATACCAGACATGGGGGGCAAGGAGTGGCTCTTCGAACGTGACACGCGGATACTCGAACGGATACGGCCGCCAGATCTTCTCATGGAACCAGCTGATGTCTCCCTTGGAGAGATCGCCGATGGTAGTGTCGGTGTCGATGTCGGTGTTCGAGGACGATTTGTGCTCGAGGCCGAGAATCGATTCGATGAATTCGGCTGTTGGCCGTTCCGGGGAGAAGATCTTATAGACGTAGTGTTTCCCTTCTGACGGGTCTGGGGCGTCCACGGTCCGGAGAGTGCTGATGCTCCAGAAGCCGGCTGGACCGACCCCGGCTTCGCTTTTGCCGATGTCGGTCTCTGGAGGGAGGGTGGTGAGGATCGTCTCGGGAGTGTAGGCATTGGGTTCTGTGAGGCCGAAATACTTGGGTGAGAGACGGTGCGGAGTGGCGAAGAGAGTGACGTAGAGGGTCACGAAAGGGATTTCGTCCGGCGTCTTCTTTAGTGGTGGTGTAACGGTGATGTTGGAGAATTGCCACGGACCGGCGATGACAACCTCGTCAAACTCGAGCTTCTCTTCTGAGTTGGTGGCTGTGGTGAAGGTTAGGGTCGAGGGGCCGTTCGCGTCCCAATCGAGGGATGTCACTGTGTGGTTTAAGCGGAGGTCGGCGTGGGATAGTTTGAGCATCCCGTCGAAGATCAGCCAGTTGCCTCCCTCCACGGCCATGGCACCCTCAGTCGCCATGCAGACCATAGTCTCAAGGCCATGAATCAGGGCAAGGTTTTGTCCGTAGTTGACACGGGTGCTAGCTTGGATGACTTCGCGGGAGAATTTGGCGGATACCTGGTTCTGCTGGAGGAAGGCCTCTCCAGGAACGGCAGTCACATTGACCAGCCCTACTGCTTCTGACGCCGATGTAAGGGATGAAAAGGGGAATATAGGCTCGTCGTAGAGTTTGAGGAAGTTGTTGACGGTCGACTTCATCAAGCGATAGGTCCTCACGGGTGTCCATCCATACCTCCAAACCAGCTTCGCAATATTCCACCAGGAAGATGCTTCCTTCATCACAAAGACGAACTGCTCCCCGTCCCAGACGCCAAGGGTGTCTTCAGTCTCTCTAGGTCGGTCATGATTGGCGCTATTAACATGGAGTCCGAGCTCTTTGGATGCATTGACAAGGTGATGATTAACCTCCACGAATATCGAGGCACCTAGCTCTACGGGCGTAGCTGGATTGTCATGGACATTCACTGTTGTGGAACGCCCGCCAACATAGGGAGAACGTTCGAAGACGGTTATATTGAGAGGAATGTCCAAGGCATCCGCATACTTGCGTAGTGAATAAGCAGTGCTAGACCCGGCAGCCCCAGCTCCTATTGAAGGGTTAATTGTTGAAATTAGCACATGAGGGGACTATGGGATTGATCTCACCGATCACGGCGACCCGTTTGGGTGGTGTGACTCCAAAGGAGCCTAGAGGTTGCTGTTCGGTGGCATTGGCGTGTGGGGAAAGGCATAAAGCTAAGACGTAGTATACTACATGAATATGAAGAATGAAGCGAAGGAAGTATGGAAGAGATGAGCGATGCATGAATGATTAAAGTGACGAATTGCTTATTTAGTGAATCAATGCCTCCACACTAGTGGACGTTACGATCGTCAGATGCAGGAGCTTGAAAAAGCAACGGTGCTCATGCTCAGTAGCTCGTGTGTACAAAAAGCTTGCTCTATAACCTCTTTTATAGAGGTCTCCCAGATGAAGCAGGTCTATAATTAGCCGAGAAAGGGAAAAGTGAAGATGAAATCAAGAATAGGAAGTGACGGTGGATGGCGAGATGTTGGAGATGTATTGACTGACGTATCACACGGGTATGTATCGATACCACAATTACTGCACTAGTCCCAATACAGACTAATGCATTCTGGGGCTATCGCCGATGGGGCTTTCCCCGTTTGGGCCATTCACTCTTTTTTTGCGCCAGAATTTCGGGCAGAAAAGAAAGAGGCGCTCTTCTTGTGATTTCCATCGCAACCTCTGCTGCGTCTGGAGAAGGGTCTCATTGTTCTCGGTCTCACGGAATCTTCCATTGACTATACTACATTAAGTTTCTCGACCATACCTGCACCAGCACCATGGATCCCTACGACAGCGACTCCTCCTTCGACGATGAGGGGGACTTCAGCGAGACCAACGTGCTGCTGGGCTACGCAGCCGACGAGATTGTAGAAGACACCATCAGTCATCTGGGAGGCTGGCCAGTACGTACAATATTCAATTCCACCTCTTCATCCTCCTTCCTCACCCCGACTAACCAATACCCCCCCTCACAGACCTGGCTCGACGACGCTACCCCGCCTCCCGGCGACTTCGCCAAATGCAAAGTCTGCAACCAGCCCATGCTCCTCCTCCTCGAACTGCACGGCGACCTCCCCAACGACTTCCCTGACGATGAGCGCCGCCTCTACATCTTCTCCTGCCCCCGCAAAGCCTGCAACCGCAAACCAGGCAGTATCCGGGCTCTGCGCGCCACCAGAAAGCTGAAGATCGAGCCCCAACAACAGCCTCCCCGCCAGAGGGAAGAACAAAAGCCAGAGCCCCCGAAAGAAGAAGAAGAGAAGAAGCCCGCCGCAGCAAAGCCAGACCTCGGAGCCAGCCTATTCGGCTCCTCCACTCTCACCGGCAGCGTCTCCGCCAGCGCAAACCCCTTCTCCTCCGGCGCTTCCTCCACTAGCAACAACAACAACCCATTCGCAGCCCCAGCACCCTCCCCCGGCCTCGCCGCCAAACCGACCCCCTCCCCAGCACCTACCCTCTCCGAATCCTTTGCCGACAAAGTCCGCATCTCCTCTCCTCAACAACAACAACAACCCAAAACCAACCTCATCCCACCCCCCGAAGCCTCCACCGGCCCCAGGACCCCCTGGCCCGCCCAATCCGACTTCCCAGCCCCTTACACGAACTTCTATCTCGATGCCGAATACGAAACCATGTCTCGTCCCTCCACGCCCACTATCCCTGCCGACGTGACAATTGACAACACAGAAGAAGAAGGTCCCAACGGCGGCGCAGCGGAGCTGAAGGACACCTTTGAATCCGAGCTCGATAAGGCCTTCATCCGCTTCTCTACTCGTCTAGGCCATAACCCTGAACAAGTGTTGAGATATGAATTCCGTGGTTCACCATTGCTCTATTCCCATGCTGATGCGGTGGGCAAGCGGCTTCATGATCCGTCGAAGACAGCGAACCCCAGTGCCAAGGTTACGACGGTTGGTGGAGGGAGTCGCATGCCTCGCTGTGAGTATTGTGGTAGCGAGCGCGTGTTTGAGTTGCAGCTTGTGCCGCATGCTATTAGCGTGTTGGAGGAAGGGAGGGAGGGGGTTGGGCTTGGACCCAAGGATGATGCTGGTATGGAGTGGGGGACGATTATCTTGGGAGTTTGTGGGAAGGATTGCGGTCCTAACCAGGTTGGGGTTGTTGGGTATAGAGAGGAGTGGGCTGGTGTGCAGTGGGAGGAACCGACGAAGTAAAAGTGGTGATGACGATGATGGGTTACGGATTTGGGTGAAGCGTAATGCCGTTCAAGACTTTGATGTTGATGACATATATTATATCATATATAGACTTGTGTTTTTTTGGTTCAGATTTAGGATATCAAAAGTACATACAATACTACGACTGATTATCTATGCATTGCTGGTCATGATCTTTGAAATGTTGTACTGTACTGGTACTGATCGCTTTTTGTATACGCACACTATGGATATCTTCGGTGAAATTGCGTTATCTTTTCACGTAGAGAGAATATGGTGAGAGGATAATCAAGGAGAAAATGATATATGAGGGTGGAAGAAGAAAGAAAGATGATGATGATGATAAAACACAACCTAGTCATGCAGAAGCAAAACTCGAAACGCCAATTGCGCCAGGTCCGGACTTCCCAACCCTCTCCCATGCTGGTCTATCCCCGTCATCATCATTTTTTTTTGGTTATAAGAGGCTTCGAGCTCGTGTCATGGGGGGTATCCGAAGCAGACACTTCGTCCCGTGTTCTTCTTTTGAATTTTCTTTTCGGGTGGTCATTCTTCCAACAAGACAGACCGAGATCGAGACCTGGGGGAAGGTCTGATCTTCGATTCGAGGCAAAATATTAGCAAGAATAGAAAGGGAATCTAGAACGAGAAAGGCTGCGTTCGATGCGGATATCTTTTATCGATCCGCTCATGCAGCCTGCTCGAACCACGGCGGATGACACGGCCGAACATGTCGACGCCGACGCGCTCGCTCTTGACCTCGCTGCGGGCCTCGTTCTCCTTGTTGGTGGGCACCTTGATCACGGTGTTGGCGCCAGACTTGTCAACCTCCCAGCTGCAGACCTCGGCGACGAACTTCTCGAGAGCCTCGCGGCTGCGCAGGTCGAGCCACTGCTCCAGAACCTCGGCAGGGATCTCACGGAAGGTCTTGCCGACCTCGACGGCAATGCGGATGCGCACGAGCTCCTCGAATCCGGCAACGTCGGCAACAAGGTCAGCGTACAGGTCGTCCGAGTTCAGGGTGGACCAGAACTGGGTGTACTGGGCAGACTCGAGGAGGGTGGAGAGGCGGGCGAGCTTCTGGATCGACTCGACGAAGTCGGAGGTCTGGGCGGCGGCCTGGGCCTCAGCGTCGGAGGCCTGGAAGGGCTGAGTGTGGGCGGGGAGAAGAGCAAGGCAGAGGGAGAAAGCGGGAGAGGGGAAGACAGTCAGGGCCTTGACGAGGACGTTGGTGACGGTCTCCGCCTGGAGAAGGTGGGGGTTGAACTGGTACCTGTCAGAGGGCGTGAAGGGGTTAGCATCGCTATTCAGGTATGATGTACATGCGATAGAATAAAAGTTGAGATCATGGTTTTGTTTCAGGAGAATTGGAGTCTCGACATCCCCCAAAGTAGGGTGTCAGGTAATAGGAAACGTGATAATGATATAAGATTCTTCATCACATAAAACCAAAATGGTTCCCCGCGTCGGAGCTCTTTATGTTTCGGCTGAAAGTGTTTTGAACTGGATAGAAAGGCGCATGAACTCACAACTTCAGCAAGGCCAGGTTGGCGTAGCAGTCGAAGGTGCGGTCCTCGCACTGCTGGGCGACATAGTCCTGGAAGACAGTGGTGGTCTCGGGGTTGTAGCGGTCGAGGCCATTGAGGATGGCGTCAATGTTGGCCGGGCGGGTCTCGCACTTGTCGAAGGTGACACCCATCTTGACGGAGATACGGAGAATGGACGAGTCGGGGGGAAGAAGAGGGGAAAGCGTGGGTGGAGGAGGAGGAGAGGGAGGGAAGCAGAACGAGGGGATAGGAAGAGAGCAGCGGAATGGATGGACTCGAGGTTTGGTTGGCCGGACTTGCTTTTGGTGGGATTTTTCGATTGTCTCGCTGTGCGGCTGCCCGGCCGTCGGAGCCAACCCCAACTCGGTTAATTTGTCCGATGCATCTGCATTGGCATTATTTTTATTTTATTCCTTTCTATTCTAGTCAGTCAGTCAGTCAGTCATCACTCTTTACTAAACTTCACTCAATACTACTCTAAATTAGGCACTAGTGGCTGATCTGGTAAATCGTATGATATACTTTGTAACTTTGAGATGAACCAAATTCCACGTGCCCCCGGAATCGGTCTCGCCGGGGGCAAAGGATCTCCCTGTCCCGTGGTGGGATCATGTCGGTGCTGGTAGGGATAGCCCGTGTCGCCAGTGTATTTGGTTAGTAGGGACTCGCCCCCGTGTAGGTTTACCCCGTGGTAGGTATATCCCGCGGTAGGGATTCGCCGCATATATAAGATGACGGGGATAACAACTCCAACACAGCAGTAGCTTCTGCGCCTGACTTCTATACATTCAATAAATTGACCGCGTATTTCCCTTAGCCTTTGTCCGAAGCACGCAGTTCTGATCGCAACCGGGATCCCCTCAACAACCCTAACGATATCCCCGGGCTATACTATACACCTTAAATCGCGATGGATGTCGTGCTCGATGTCCTCGACACATTCGTCCTCGATCGAGTGTACGCCTCAGTCTTGCCAGGTGGAAATAATAGTACCTCGGATTTCGATACTTCGTTTCTTCTGAACCAACATGTTGGCCGTTACTACCCTCTTCAACCCTCACAATGGGCGACCGCCAGTCGCTGGAAGCGCGATGACCTGCCGAGACAAGCTACCTCGCTGTTGTTTATCACATGGTAAGACAGTTCATACTCTTCTCTCATGCCGATCGAGCATGGTTCAGCTGACAGCAAGTCCGTTACACAACTAGGCTCTTCGGTCTAGCCATATACTTCATCGGCAGCACCATCTTTTACCACACATGGTGGGACAAATCCCTGCTCAAACATCCACGGTTCCTGAAGAACCAAGTCCGTCTGGAAATCGAGCAAGCCCTATTCTCCATTCCGATAATGGCTATCCTCACGGTTCCGTTCTTCCTAACCGAGATTCGCGGCTGGTCCAAGCTGTACGATTTCGCCAGTGAAGCTCCGTTCCCTGCATACAACTGGCTTCAGTACCCACTGTTCGTGGCATTTACAGATTCCGGGATCTATTGGATTCATAGAGCGGAGCATCATCCTCTGGTATATCGGTGGTTGCATAAGAGACATCACAAGTGGCTGGTGCCGACACCTTTTGCAAGTTTCGCGTTCAATCCACTGGACGGGTGGGCGCAGAGTCTCCCGTACCACGTCTATCCGATACTGTTCCCATTGCAGAAGGGTGCATATCTGGGATTGTTTGTTTTCGTCACACTGTGGACGGTTCTGATCCGTAAGTGCCCTTCTGTTCTTGTCCAGTCTCTCACTAATCGCATCTAGACGACGCCGACTGTCTTTCCCATTCTGCTGTCATCAATGGCCCTGAATGCCACACCCTGCACCACTTGTACTTCAACTATAACTATGGGCAGTTCACAACGTTCTGGGATCGCGTTGGAGGAACCTATCGGAAAGCCCGCGGCGACGAGTTCAAGACCATCAAGAGTCAATAGGATGCACGCGCATAAAATTGCTCGCCTATAGGGGTGCAGCACTGCTATATGACTCGAGTTCATACCGCCGGTCGGGAAAACCGGTCATTGAGCCTAATCGTGTAATATTCATGTTAATAATGTAAATAATGGATAGAATGGTCCCTGATCTGTACATAATATTAGACAAGACGTATCGAACTATGTCCTGTTGGGGCCTTTGATATCCCGGATGAAATTATTTAAACTTTCCAGGTCATCGGTTGCGGCGTTATCCAGGTATCGAAGGTTTACGTTCCGGCCACTGGCGCGGTCAAGCGTAGCAGTTAATAGCCACCAGAGCTCTTCAGCATGCTTAGGATAGCCCAAGTGGTGTATTCCTTCCTTACCAACGATGCTGGAGACGGAGTCCCAAATGCTTCGCCAATTTTCGGCGGCCCGTTTTATCGAGTTCGTGGATATCCACCCGAACAAGCCGGTCCTAGCCTGGAAAGCGAGAGAGTGCATTGCTAGAGACATAGTTAGGTCGATGGTATCGCTTGTAGACCGTGGACGGTTACACAAACCATAGATCAGAATCAACAGATGTTCGCCAACTAGTGAGCGACTCCATTGAATCAGGTCATCCGTAGCATTTTCATCAAGCAGGCGCGTAATGAACTCCCTTAATGAAGGTAGCGGGCGCCCCATCGTATAAGAAGCAGCCATCTCGTTAAAAGACGATGCATTTTCAGCTTCAAATAAAGCGGAACTCCAGGGGAATTGACAGTCCATCTCGAATATCGACAGTGCAGGATGATTATTGAAACAAACTGTGAGGAATCCGTCCGCAAGGAAGGCCCAACAGGCGATCCTAAAGATTGGTGAGAAATGTCCAACATTGACGCTCTTCTAGTAGGGTCTTACCTTATACAGACTTCCTCGGCTATCAATGCTCTCCATGTCTCATCGTTACACATATCCGGAGTCAAACTTCTCTTAGACTGGAGAATCCCCAACGATCGTACCGTAGAGATGACACATGGATGTCTAATTATACGAATTCGTCGCCTTGTGCCCGTTTCGCCCTGTCCAAACTGAAGCATCTCGATTATTAAAGCTCCCTGAATGACTTCCAATGACGGTAGGAGATAGGGAGCGCTGCTCGGAAAGGGTGTTGATGATAAATTAGCCAACTGACGGAATATGTACTCCTCAGCTACGTCAAGTATTCTACTTGCGAATACCGGGCCATCTTGCGAGGTAGCATATGTTGCTCCAGCCAAGAATATTGCAAGGAGGAGAGGGTTTGAGACTTTTGCAGGATCGAATGTCGGAAAATGTACAATTGGAAGATGCCAATGAAGAGACTGGAAGAAAGCCGAGATAAACACAGAAAGATTGCAGGTCGTGAATAGTGAGTTTAGCTCGGCCATGTCGAGTTGGTTTTGTGGGCCCGCGTTCGCCAGGCCCATAGAATTCGAAGTATCGACCAGAATCATCATCATCTCGCTGAGTCTATTGGAGAGTCTTGAAGCAAATGTGCTTTCAGGAATAAACTCCATAGAGAGTTGTCCAATCGGGGTAGACAGAGGCTGAAGAAACAGATCAGCAACTGAAAAGCCTGGCATGTAAGCCGATAAAGAGTCGTGAGGCAAGAGTGGTTCTTCCTGCTGGAAGTAAATTGGGTCAAGATGCCTTCTAGTGGAGCATTTTGCTGTCTCTGCGATTGCAAGTCTGTCTTGCTTGATGGAGGGATCAGTGAAGTGTGCTAGGAAGAAGAATGGGTCGCTTCTTCTTTGCGGAATTTGCGAGACAGATGGTGATGGCGATGGGGACATTGAGGGAATGTTCTCCGTAGAAGGGGTCTGGGCCCCAAAGGAACATTGTTTCCCAAGGGATTGGCAACGAGAGCATGGTGATGCTCTGTCGCAGGCTGTCTTCGCAAAGAAGCATTCGTCACAGGACTGCTTCTTCCTCCCGGGTTTAGCTGCTACCGGAGGAGGCTGGTTGTGTTTTTTGGCACAGATCTTACTATGCCTTCGTGCAACCTCCCTAGACAAGAATCAGATTAAAATGGCTTTCTGTAGAGTTGTCTCGAGGTTTACACACTTCTTCAAGAAAGATTTATTGCAGAAAGGGCAGCTTGAACAGGAGGCGCCGGTATCTATCGGGCTGTCAGCACGTTCCGCGTACCTGAAAAGGCATGATGTTCAGGGGCCTAACGTGTTACTTCATGTCGAAGCAAATGGCTCTTTCGCTGGTAGGACTTGTTGCATTGCGAGCACTGAAACATGTTGCTATTGCCATTCTGTCACCTTCGCGGGTTAACAGGGGGAAGTGGATGAAGATGGCTCGACTCGACTGATCTGGACTCCGAATGCTCCGACCGTGCCGCTTAGTAATTATCCAAAGCCCTACCGATGGTCATCTTCTTTATATTTTCTCCCACGTTTTTACTGGAGAATAGATACTCTCTGGAGACGACTGGGATGTGATAGACTTCATGGAGTCGAATCAGTATCGTGGATCTAATGGCCGATGGCGTTCCTGTTTGTTGATCGTACAAACACCTAGACGTCCCCTTCCCACGTGGGGTCATGCGTTCCCCTCTTCAACCACTGACTTTAGCCATTATTTTTTCAATAACAAGCTATCCATTGTTGGTTCATTGTTAGTCCGAGGCTGTACCTCTTCTGGCATGACTCTCACTATGATCTGATTCTAGGATCTCCTTTCGGATACACCAGTGGGAACAGTGGATGGCACTTGTGGAGGCCTGCTCGGACAGCACGTCCACCACTATCCCGGTGTCCGTGAGAGAAAGGAAAAGAGAAGAATGAAGGATACAAAAAGAAAGGCAGTCACGGCATTCGTGAGTATGCGGGGGTCCTAGTGCGGTAGCGAGAGGGGTCATAAGCCACTCATTGGACTATAAACTGCATTCCTGCATTCGCTATGCAATGTGTCGTGGAATTATCCCTACCAGGGATGAGCTGCAGGCGACTCCGCACTGATCATCCCCGCGGGGAAATGGCAGGTTTCCATGGATTTAATCAACCGGGGAGGCTTCTTGTTTACTAAATGCTCCCCTCGCTTCGTGTTGATCTTGAAGCGTCTACTGCTTGTTCTCTATCGTGCGAGCTGTGACTATGCGCGTACCGAACCGGTTGTTGCTCCTGGCCTTAGGGGTGTCTGACCTTATTACCGCCGCACAAGTGGACTATTCTCAATATGTCAATCCTTTCATGGGATCGGAAGGCCCAACTCCCGGCCAAGGTTACGGAGGGGGTGACATCTTCGTTGGTGGTGCTCGACCCTTTGGAGTAGCAAAAGTGGGACTCGATACAACAGCCGCAAACTGGAGTATCGCAGTCCTCAACGGTGGCTGGACACCTGATGGAAACGTCACTGCAGTCAGTATGTTTGTATCTTCATAGCACTGTTGTGCATACTCGGATTTGTGTCTAACCTCAATCTACTAGCCATGATGCATGAAAGCGGCACAGGAGGTGCCCCCAAGTATGGTCTTATACCGCAAATGCCTCTTACCTCCGTTGAATCGCCGGTGAATCTACTAGATAACCTTACTTATAGCCAGCCCAGGGTATGTATGCGCCTATCCTTGAAACTCAATGAATCCAGCTCACAGAAAGTAGGTTGGCAACGACTCCGCAAGCATTGGATATTTCCGGACCTTGCTTCAAAATGGTGTACAGATTGAACTTTCAGCCAGTCGTCATGCTGGTATCATTCAGTATTCTTTCCCTGACGGAGAAAAACACGTTTTGGTCGATATATCCCACGTATGGCCATCCTTCCTCAGAGTAGATGAAAGCTAACACGGCTAAAGTATCTTCCCGGTTCACCCGGCGATTCAAATGGACAATTCTACGTTGGTGGCGAGATTAGTCTTGAAGATGATGGAAACGCATATAGCGGTTATGGAACATATGTCGGTGGCTGGAACAATGGTCCGCGTTTCCTCCATAGCACTGAGCATGCGTTCTAATGGTACTTTAAGGCGCCCCTTTTACCGTCTACTTCTACGGCGAGTTCTCTACGGCGCCGAAGAATGCTCGTACATTTACTGGGGCTAACACAGACCCGATGCCACGTTACCAGAACCTGGCAAACGGAGGCATACCTCAACCGACATATGGCAACACCTCTGATAAAGCGACATCGGGACCTATGAATGACCGCATCGGGGCACTTTTTAGTTGGGATACTGAAACAGATGCACAGATTAGTTCTCGGGTTGGGATATCTTTCATCTCAACAGAAAAGGCTCGCTCATACATTACATCTGAAATCCCTTCTTGGACGCTGAATGATACCGTGCAGGCTGCTGTTGACGAATGGAATCAGGATGTCTTCAGCAAAACTCAGGTATCCCTCGATAGCACGGCGAATATGACAAATGTGCGACTACTTTATAGTTCGCTCTACTTCATCCACTTGATGCCGTCCGATCGCACGGGTGAAAATCCGCTGTGGCAGTCAGACGAGCCTTTCTGGGATGATTTCTACACGCTTTGTTAGTGGTGAAATGCGTGCGACAACTGGAGAGTGGTACTGACTATAACTAGGGGATATATTCCGCTGCACAGTCAGCTTCTATCACGTCTATCAGCCCACCTACTATGAGTCCATGATCCGGGGGCTTATTGACATCTGGAGGTAGGCAATAGACCAATGGGAAATGAAAAGGTAGTATATCACAAGGCTAATGCACTAATAGGCACCAAGGTTTCTTGCCAGACGGCCGCTCAGGAAACTGGAACGGATTGGTTCAAGGTGGCTCTGATGCGGACAACATGCTAGCAGATGCCTATGTTAAGGGTCTGCGAGGGGCAATTAATTGGACGGATGGCTACGCCGCCATGAAGACTAATGCAGAGGTTATTCCATACAACACTTGGGACGCTACTGATCTTTCTGCAAGTACAAAGGAGGGGCGTGGTGCCTTGGGTGACTGGTTAGAACTTGGATATGTCTCGCAAGACCGAAACACGCGCTGCATTTCTAGGACGGTGGAGTATAGTCTCAACGACTTTGCTGTCAGCCAAGTGGCTGCAGGGGAAGAGCCTAGAGAACAGGAAAAGTATTTGAATCGGTCTGCTGGGTGGCAACATATCTGGAACCCAGATGTGCAGAGTCTGAATTTCACTGGTTTCTTGGCGCCGAAATTCTCCAACGGGTCGTTTAACAACAGCGGCTATGATCCTCGTTACTGCTATGGGTGCGAATGGCTCGCGTATACGTATGAAGGCGTTCCCTGGGGTAAGTGACCATCCGCAATTTATGAATTGGTCTGACAAGTATGATGTTCCAGAATACTCTTTTGTGCTACCGCATGACATGGAAACTCTGATCGACTATATGGGTGGTGCAGATACATTCGAATCCAGACTGGATATCATGGTACTGACACAATTGACAACTCCTGGCACGCGTACAGCTAACGCTTCCTAGTTTGAGCCGAACATGTCAGTCCAGAACCTTGGAGCAAATGGTGCAGGTATTACGACGATCATAAACATTGGGTAGGCATATTTCCCTATAGGGATACACGTGTGAAGACTGAAGGTGATTGAAAGAAACGAACCCGATTTTGCGACTCCATACCTATACAACTACATCAACAAGCAAGCCAAGAGCGTGGAAAAGTCTCGGAACCTGGGGTATCAGTAGTAAGTGGGCTGATATTCTCTAATACGCACCGTGGCTAAAATCAAATAGCTTCAGAGACGAAGCCTACGGAGTACCAGGAAACAGCGACGCCGGGGCCATGAACTCGTGGCTCTTGTGGCAGATGCTGGGGATCTATCCTGTCGTCACGCAACCAGTGTATCTTCTCTCCTCGCCCTGGTTCCCAGACCTCAACATGACAGTCAATGGCAACCAGACACTCCGTATCATCGCGAATGGACTAGACAAGGGCTACTATGTGCAAAGCGTGAAAATCAACGGACAAGCCTGGACAAAGAACTGGTTCGAGCACGAGGATGTAATGACCCAGGGTGGAACCATTGAATTTGAGCTAGGCGCGGACATGACGGCCTGGGATACTAGCAGTGTGCCTCCCTCACCGGGACATCGGAGCATATGAAGGACATATTGTGCCAGCTACATTACACAGTCTTAGCCAATAGCCACTACTGATGGAGAGTAATTCACATGCACACTGTGACCTAAGCAATTGACCAAGCGGCAAGATCTCATCCCTCGGTTACCCCATTCAAAAATAGCCCCATAACTGTCCAATCGATAACTACTCTGACTACTTCCGCAAAATTCAAACCAAGAATTGCAACAATGACGCCGACAACCCTCACCAATCATCGCCATACCCGCACCCTCAACACAAGGCACATCAAACCCAATTGACTCTTCCACGGACACTCATTGGCAGAGTTCCACGCGTCGCAACAAAAAGTATCCAGAACAAGAATCCGGGCCGTGGTGGAACGGAAAATCGCTGCTTCATCTGGCATCGTCGGGACAAAGACGTGTGGTTGACGTCAACGGATAAGATTCCCGCACACAGAGTAAGACAGACAGCTCTGATGCTGTGAGTAATTGTTATATGATGAAGTATCCCCCTCAATCTAACCAATTCAGCAAAATACATCTCATTGCATTTCTATCATTCTTTTTCTCCATTTCAATTGACATTAATCCATTAATCTTACAACCATGGTACGTTCCATTCCATCCTCATCCATGGATGAATACCATCCCAGACATAAGAAAAAAGCGGGTCCCATCCGAACCAAGAGAACCAACAATTCCACCATATCTCTACCTACCATCTTATATCCAATTTTTAACCACCAATCAATCACTAACACAACTCCAGGCCCCCATAATAAACCTCCCTCTTCACCAAACCCGCAACAGCAATAATCTCCTCTCCCCCCGCGATAACCCCGACTGCCCCAACACCATCTCAGGCGGCGGCATCGCGGGCATTGTCCTCGGCACCATCGCAGGCACACTACTCATCCTATGGCTATGGCATCTGTGTTCCTTGCCCGGGGCCAGTTCAAGCGGAGGGTCGGATTACGGCGAGGCTAACTTAGCGACATCGACAACACGAAGAAGGCGGCGACGCCATAGTAGTCCGACGGTGTATTATCTCGAGAAGCATCCATCTGGGCATGGTGGTGGGGGCTCCGTGAGGAGGCCGACGAAGGTGTATCTTTCTTAATTATTGGGTGGGATACATGTGGGTGTATAGCTTGGGTCTTGGTATGGAATGGGGTGGGAGGCTCTGTGTGTTGTTTATATAGTATGATGATTTATGATTATGGCGTCATGTGATCTATTGAAGTAATAATCTTTGTGGTTTGGATTGCTTGTTTGTAGTGTGTTCGATGTGACTTACTATATAGAATAGCGATCCTTCAGAGATGGAAGAAGTAATCCAGAGCCCTGTGGCTCATGATCAGAAAATAGCAGAGGCAGAAAGTGTATTTTAAAAGTGAGCAGGTTACCCAAAGAGTAGACATTCATTCTGGGAACTGGCAAAGAGCACTTTTCTCGAATTGATCTGGGCCAACTTGCACCTTTGTTATAAGACTGGAACATGACCTGAATATAGAAAGAAATCAATAGAAAAGTCAATGGCATGAGAATCAAATAACCTTGAACTTAGAATATATATACATTGAAGAAGTACAATTTAACCGCTATCTGAGATTTAAAAGAAGTATCTAAGCTCGCTATTATGTATATTCTATATTAAGACCGAATTAATATTTTTGTTGGCTTTACTTCACATTTAATATACTATTTTATTGAAATATGTATGACCATATTACTCTGCCGTGAAATATTGATCGATTAGAACTCGTAGATGTTATTCAAATTGGTGCTAATCAATGAACTGACTAATAAAACATATCTTATTCTATCAATAGATTAATATTCGCTCATATGAAATAATTATACCCAACTAGCCAGGAACAGCAGACTGTATATAGATCATGTACTGACACTACTTATTACTTATTTTCATATAATATTGTTCTGGGATGGTCTTAGTACGTGAATAATGAAAGCTGTATGGAGTTTTACTGAACAAGCCAACAAGACATCATGGTGGAATATAAGGAGGCCGGCGAGAGTGTTGGAGCATCCAGCGCAAATCCACCATGTGGTGGAAGGCTGAGCCTATCTTCCGAATACAATTAGTGGCCAGTTTAGACGGAGATAAGGCAGGGGGGCATCGGTGGTATTTCGAAGGAGCTGCAACCCAAACACCCAATCATTGCTAGTTGGCAAAAAACCCCGCTTCTCAAGCGTCTGGTCATTTCAGCACGCTCCCAAGAGGCTGTCGCTCGAGCTATTAAAAGGTAGAAGAAAGACAATCAGTCCGTTTGCTTCTCATTTCCAAGCCAACATTCGAAGCTGCATTTTTCCACTGTATTCTCCGCTCTATTCAATCATGGCCTCGAAGGTGTCTGTCCTCTCAAACGAAACCCTGCGAGATTATCGAAGCGCAATCCACCAGCACAATGACAAGTTCATCAAAGACATCCCCAAAGTCGAAATGCATGTCCATATCGAGGGCACAATGACCCCTGAACTCCGGTGGGAGCTCGCGCAACGGCGCGGGGAGTCGGTGCTCAATATCAATACCCAGCAGCCTTGCGAGAGTTTGTCGGAGCTGAAGGGTACGTATGAGCTCCTCAATGACCTGGAAGAAGGGGGTGTAGATGGTGGAATGCGCCGGTTCTTTGAACTGTATTACGGTGGCTTCAGTGTCCTTCGGGATGAAGAAGATTTCTATCGTCTTGCAATGAACTACTTCAGAAAGGCAGCATCCATGAACGTACGTTATTGTGAGCCGTTCTTTGACCCGCAGGGTCACACACGAAGAGGTGTCCCTTTTGAGACAATGATGAATGGATTCAAGAGGGCGCAGAGTGAGGCCTCTCAGAGTCTTGGGGTACGCGGCCTAGACTCTCTATATATTCTAGGACCTCTGGCTCAAAATCGTTATAGGTCCACTCTCAGTGGATAATGTGCATGCTGCGAGATATGTCCCCCGAGTCTGCTATGGAGCATTATTTTCAAGCACTACCATATCGCGACATGATCGTTGGAATTGGTCTGGACTCCCTAGAGGTGGACCGTCCGCCATTGCTCTTTGAAGATGTTTTTCTCCGCGCTCGCAGAGATGGCTTCCGGATTACCTGCCATTGCGACGTCGGCGACAAGGATACACTGAGGAATATTGGACAAGTGGTTGACCAGCTGGGAGGAAGCGGAGCGGACAGAATTGATCATGGTTTACATGCCGCCGACGATTCTTCTCTTCTTCAGAGGATCAAAGAAAAGGACCTTGGAATGACGATATGTCCTTGGGGCTATCTTTGCTACTCCGGAGAAGCTGAGATTATTGATCGGGTTCGCACATTATACAACGCTGGCATCAAAATAGCGATTGGCAGTGATGACCCGTCATATATGGAAGATATTTGGCTAAACAATAGCCTCTACCTCCTTCGTTTACTGGGCAATTTCACTGATGCTGAATTCTTCCAGCTACAGCGGAATGCGATTGCTATTTGTTGGGCCCCTGCTGATATTAAAGCAGCAATCCTGAAGGAACTCGAGGGGTTTTGGCCGAAGGAAGGAGCGGAACATGGCAGCCATGCAGATTAGCTGGAGAGAATGTGTTGCCCTAGCCTGACAATATGATCATGTCCTTTCCATTTGTCTACCTATCTCCGGCAGGTAAATGCACTCCAGCCATTCCGGGCCCACATACAAGATTGGCAGGGCTAAGGACAGAAACAAGGAGTGTAACTGAAGTATAATGTGCTATTGAATCACTTCAAACCTCGGGGATCTCTTCTGCTATTCTGTTACGTCACCGCTAGCGATCAATTATGGGACGACAGGCAGAAACCCGGGCAGGCTTGTTGATAATGGAATTGCACTGGAAGAAGTTAATTGGCCAGCGACCGACAACATTTAAGGTTTAGTACTTTTAGTGAGCACAATCTGTCGGAAGCCCCGGATTTTAGATTTGTTCTCCGGCCCTCGAAATACCGCCCATCCCCATCCCAACCTCGCTCGCCTCTTTCTCTCACTTGCAGCCCCAAGAGAGGTTCAGCCTCCCGCCACTTGGGTTATAGGCTTTAAGCGCCCCAATAACCTCGCCCACCTCCTTACATTCCACCATAATATCTTTATTCGCCGGCCCAATAAATCCCCGTTGAGCAGCCTTAGCAATCCACGCGACAAGACCATCCCAAAACCCATTAACGTTCAACAACACAATTCCTCTATCATGAATCCCAAGTTGGTTCTCTGCCACTTCCTCCAGGGTCCCATAACCGCCCGGAAGGGCTACAAATCCTGACCCAGGGCCACCGGCGAGAACTTGCTCGGCCATTTTTTGTTTTCGCTCATGCATGCTGTCCACGACGGTAATCCTCCCGTATTCGCCCTCAGCCAGCGAAGACCCTGGAGCTTGGATTCGCTCTGGTTGTTTCCCGTCATTCTGGGACTTGCCGACGTCCGCATCGGGATAGTATGCTACCAATGCCCGGGGTATGAAGCCATGCACGGCAGATGGGCCAGAGAGTGATACTAGAGTCTTCGCGACCTCGCCCATCAATCCTTTGGTTCCACCTCCGTAGACTAGTTTCGCGTTTGCGGCGTGTAGTTCATGTGCAAGTGCTCGAGCGGCTGCCAGAAACTCGGGAGAATCGCCGGGCTGCGCGCCACAACTGAATGGGAGAGTTAGTTCGCTGATTATATAACTTCAGGGGAACTGGCGTTGACACATTCTTGTCCACCGTCGTAGGTAGAATGTACATCAGTACTGGGGATATCACTTACAAAACGCATATGACGGGCTGCTCTTCGTCCCGGTCGCTAGGTATATTGTCAGATATGGGAGATAAGTTGGCAAGAACTAGGGTATTCGGAAGCGTGTAAGAGCGTCGCAGTGCTTCGAAAGTAGAATTAAACTGCAGTCAACTTAAAGCTATCGAAAAGTAATGTTTGGGAGTCTAGGACTGAATCTGGAGGTGGGCCAGTTACGTTACGCCGATGGTATCCGGTCTATTTCTTGACCCGCTTGCCTCTGACTCACCCATTCAAACTATCCTAGATAACTAACTCGTAGTTTTGGATGACCTTGATGGAGTGGGCACTAGCTAAAATGCGTTTAGTTAGAATAGGAAGGTGGGCAAATTTTTCAAGTTACCATTGCATGTCTGTAGATAGACGATGTGCTTACCAACGAGCGTCTGATAATGCGGCTGACGGTCTTGTTGTGGTGCTCTACTGCAACTACATGGGCAAATCCGTACTGAGATTTTACGTCGTTAATTCAGATCTTTCTGTGGTGTGTGTGTGATAAGGCCTGAAGCTGTATATTCTTTTTTTCTCCGCTAGCTAAGCGCGGAGATGCCAAATAAAGGACTTTCTTGCCGCAAGTATGTAGATGTCGATGATGTGACTCGTTGTCCGTCCCCAGGCAACCCTTTTACTACATCATCAACTATTTCAAGGGTGCCACTTGTGGCATAAGAGGAAATTGACGCAATAGCTCTCTTCTAAGCCCCTCATTATGCCGAGCGCCAGACAGTAACCTCTGAGCAACGGGTGCGCAGCCTGCACTGGCAGCCACGCACAAGAGCTCGAGCCCCCACTGCTGCTGAACCATTTGATCCGTCGCGAGGTCAATCAATGCAAAAGCATCATCCCAGTCAGGTCGAGATACACTTGATTCACGCCATCTGCGGATAATCAGTCGGAAAAAGTCCAGGTTTCGTAGCTGATGACCAAGTCTCGGGTCCAGAAAAAGTGTGCTGAGCCTGGACATGTCTCCCCATTGCAGAATTTGGTCTGCCGCGTTTATAGCCGTCATGTTAAGGAAATGGTTATTGTCAAAATCCGAACCTCTAAGCATAACATGCAGCATATCCACAGAGCCATAAAGGCAGGTGATGCTGAGGGGATCATACAGCTGGCTGTCGAATTGAAATCTGGGTGGCATCGCACAGCCCGGACGACGGTTTTGTTGAGTCCAATTGCGAATTCGAATCGAATTGGCTCGGCACAACTTTTCTATGCTCGCTAGGTTGGGAAGTGCCTCAGCCGTGACGAGACTATAATATTTCAGCCAGTAGCATGATGCGTAGACAAAGAACTCGCCCAAACCAAGCTCAGCCGGATTGAACTGAATCATATCTTCTTCCCAAGCTTCCCACGAGCAATGAGTGTCGTACTTGGCCGGCTCCTTCTCGTCATTGAACAAGTCAGACTCTTGTGGAAGCTCCGACATTGCAATCTGCTCTTCGGAGAACAGGTATTGATCGTCAATTTCAGTCAAAAGGAGATAACGGATACATATATCCAATATCAATGCTTCTGGACCACCAAAGCGCTGGCCATCGTCTCTCTCGGAAGCTGGACTTCCTGAATACGTGGCATTGGGCTCCCAACGCCTCAGAATCAACTCTTTCATTGACTGATATATGAGCTGAACTTGATACCTTCTCAAGTTGCTAGGCTCAACGCATGCGATGAAGGGTTGAATCAGGCTCAAAAGCTTTTGGTGGTCCACTAGCTTGGAAAGGTAGTCAACGGTGGTAACATGGCGGGATGTATGCAGGGTGACGGCCCAGGACAACTCCAGGATGCTAAAAGGTCTGTGGGTAACGGCGAGAAGCTCCAAAGCTGTGATGGTGAGCTCCCAGTCCTTATGCTCGTTGGAAGCACGGCGAGAAAGGAGTGTATTGTAGAGTTCCGAGAGCTTGTCGGGGACCGGTTTATTATCCATCTTAGAATATAGGAACAACTGTCTGCTGAAACCAAATACAGCAGATCTAATATTTACCGATAATAAAGAAATATTCCTTCCACAGTAGTTCTGAAATTGGCGCTATCTCGCAAGGTGTTAGAGCTCAAAGTAGTTATAGCCGTGTGTCCAACGGCTCTAAGATCTCTTCCTGAAGAGCGTAAACAAGAAAAGTCGAAAGAACTGGGAACCGGGTTAGAAGCGCTTTCACATATATTCTGATTCTCAAACATTTAAATATTAGTCAACTGGCTGCTTCGAGAATTAGTACTTTCGAAGTTCGCTTCTTTGTTTACGTGTGCCAGAAGCTTGCGCCCGTCTATACCGCTCGACAAAGGGGATTTTTGTACTTGAGAGCCATGTTCAAAGCAGAAAATATGGCCATGGATATCGATGCCTTATCTCCATGGAAACAATGACAGTAAGCCTTGGACCGAAGCGACTGATACTCATATCTTTTGCTCGGCTCGAATCTCTGTAGATGAACATATTATTGAGTTTGGCAGCACGTTCTGCCGCAACCTATCCATCAGCCTGGAGACTAAGAAAAGCTCAAGTAGAAGAAATTGAAATAATAGTAGAAAAAAAGAGAAAAAAAAAAAAAAAAAAAAAAAAAAAAAAAAAAAAAAAAAAAAAAAAAAAAAAAAAAAACATCATGTTCCGTTGATCAATTTTTCTCCGTAAGATAAATCTGTTCTCCAGGATTCTCCAGGATCTAGATGCATCCAGTGGGACCGATGCAACCATGGAATCCAGGGAAGCAATCCCATGGGCTGGGAATTCCCGGAAAGAAGCAGAGCATTGAACATCCCCCGCTTCCGCAAGTCACATGGTCTCGATCCTTTGTACTATAGTCAGGGAAGTAGTGACTTGTCGATCGACCATGTCCTCCGGTTTTCAAATGGCAGACTATGGCAAGCGGGGAGTTGTCGTTTGGCTAACATCTACCAGTGAGTCGCAGAGTGTGGTATATCCCTAAGTGAAGAATTGGCAAATTGTGAGTCGCCAGAATTCATTGCCACGACGTCATACTACCTTGTGGCTAAGCTCATGAACCCAGATCAACACTCCGACGCTAAACTTTTCTTTGTCCGGCTTGATAAAGAAGGATTTGGATTGAAGACAGCTACTGAATAGCTTCACTCACCTACCATAGTCGCTTGATAATTTTACACCATGTCCTGTTCAGCCATCGCAGACACGCTGACAATACCAGCATCGACGTTGTCTCTCGGTTTCTTGGATTTGCCTCTCAAGATTCGCAACACCATATACAATCATGTACTCGTCATACCCCATCCACTTCATATTTTCCAGGACCCAGGTTGTTCATTGGAGGTTTTTGCACCCGAAAGGCCCTGTTCATGGCTTGCATTGACCTACGTCAATCGGCAGATATCGGATGAGACCAGGAAGATTCTGTATAGTATGAATCGATTTATCTTCCAGGAGATGGAGACGGCCCGGCGTCAAGGCACTCTCCTGGAATCCTTCTTGATCTGTATCGGTTCCTCAAATTCTCGGGTTCTGTCCCATCTATGTATCAACTTTCCGGCCATCGAGAGGTTACCGGGCCTTTCTTCAGAAGCAAGGCTCACAGAGGATGGCTTGCGGAGATTGCAGCTTCTACGACAAAGCTGTACCGGTTTGAAGACATTGGAGATACTCATTTTTGGCCATTTTGCCAACATTCTGGTCGCAGATCACCAGCTAATAGATAAATCCTTTCGAAATATCATTCTGGAGGTCGATGCGCAGATAAGAGGAATAACTCCCCTGGAGGCTATTGTTGTCAGAATAGTATATTCTCGCGGAATTCCAGCCGCAGTACGAGGATATTTACAAGGGCTTGGGTGGATCGTCAAGTTTGGCAACGCTTGATGTCTTTTCTTACATCATACAGAATGGGTGAAATGGAACACAGCCGCAATCATAATCTACCAAACACTCAGTTCTTGCGAAGCTCCCTCGTCAATTGCTTGAAACTAATGGCGGGTTTACTCCGTACTTTGGACTGTGTCAGCAGTGAACGGGCGCTAAGCCCGAAAAAAGGGGCCTGGAATTTTTCCCACTGGTCATGGGCCGACTATCTCCTGAATGAGGTACAACAGTCTACCAACTACACGGGCATACGGGACAGCACACAACTCCCCTGATGATGATGTCCAATAATATACGGGGACAGGCTCCCTCTTTGCAGTTCGGCATCTTGGCCTCGCGCTCATCCGAACGGCTGTTGGCAGTGGGTAAAGAATGCTTGGCAAACCCGAAACTGCAGACTCTGCATAAGTTGGGAGGTAGGTAGGTAGCGGTCTGCAACCTCACCTTGAAATCGCTCCGCCTATCTACATGTTCTGCCTCTGCAGCACTGAGACCTCCTGCTGATCCTCATATCTTAATCTTTGTAGGGTGAAGAATCATAGTTCATGGGCCTATCATATCCACAAGGAGGCGAACCTTGCGGGAGGTTGCGGTGTCTCTAGTGGCTCCTGACTCCAAAATTACCACCCCATTTAACGGACATAAAATTTGCCGCAGCGGTGTCCACTGTTCAGTGGCATCCACCAAGCCACTGCCACAGCACTGGCCTTGTGCTGAGACCTTCCCCAGCCGGCCCCGCCACTAGCAATTCGCCTGCTGAGACTGCCTTTGGCTTCGACAGGCCAAGGGTCTTGGCCAGGTGCAGGATGTCGGTGCCTGGGATGCCTCCGAAGCAAGGTCGATTTGTTTCATCGTGTGAAAGGAGAGTGTTGGGAGCAGTCGGTTTACACGGTGGGTGTCAGTTGGACGGATTATTCCTAGGACCCTTCCCCAAATATCACACAGTGGCAACTGTTATCTCTGGCCGGATCAAATCAGACTAACCCGTAACTCATTTAATCTTCAGGAAGATCCAACGACCCTCCCCTAGCTGATTGGATTTGGGTGCCTGAGCGTTGCTTATCGCCCATCTCGGCAGGGTCTTGGCGGGTACAAGCGACCCTTTCCAGAGCAGGCTAGCGTCAGGGTCAGGGACCACACTAGTGGCCAATTCAGGGTGGATTGGCAGTCCGCTAGACCAGATACAGTTTAGCCATGCCCTCTTGGTCGGGCAGTTTCCTGTTTCAAATGTGCCCCTTAATGTTTAGGGCCAAACTAGTGACATCCAATGCAGGGAAAGAAAAGAGAGACATGCTGGTTTAAAAATAAGCACGACTCGGACATTAGTTATGAGGGGACAAAAAAAAGGGAAAGCGAAGGGTTTGCCAACGCCCAAGAGTGGGTGGGATGGCCTTAATTTAATTAAAAGGAAAACCGTCATACCCTCTCGTTCTTCTCCTCTCCTGTCGTTCGTTCTCCTCCGCTTCATCTCGTTCCTATCCTCCTCCTGCTCCCCTTCGTTCCCTTGCCGGTGGGCATCAAACACACCTCGTGCGATTTGATCGCACTGCCATTCATTCAACAATCGTCACTCTTTTTCTCGTGGGGAGCCATCGGTTATTCGACACCTCCGCTATAGGGTTCATTCTCTTTTTCCAGAGCCCTCTATCGCATCTTATCACATCCGAGAGCGGTGTTTGACTCGCAATCTGACCACAACTCGCTCCGTTCATTACAACAAAACCTCTACCGGGGAGTGGTGACCCTGGGCAACACTATTTGCCATCATGTCACTCTTTCATGTCTTGGCGCTGCTGGTAGCCAGTCTTAATCTGGTAACCGCTCAGACTTTCACCAACTGTAACCCTCTCAACGAGACATGTCCCGCAGACGCAGCTTTAGGTACCAACCACACCTGGTATTTCAACACCACCGTCGATGACACGATCTGGAATGTCACCAACGGCAATATTGGCATCACGGATGAGGGTGCGGAATTTTCTATCGCCCAAAAGATGGATTCGCCCACCATGCAATCTAATTTCTTCATCTTCTTTGGCATTGTCGAGTCCCACGTTAAAATGGCCAAGGGTGGTGGCGTAGTGAGCAGTGTAGTGCTCCAATCGGATGACTTGGACGAGATTGACTGGGAGTGGGTGGGATACAACACCAGTGAGGTACAATCCAACTATTTCGGCAAGGGTAACGACACATCTTTCGACCGGGGTGGCTTCCACTACGTTCCTAACGCCGACACGGAATTCCACAACTATACCACCTACTGGACGAGTGAAAAAGTCGAGTGGTGGATTGACCAGCAATTGGTACGCACACTGAAGTATGAAGATGCTGTGGGCGGCAAGAACTTCCCCCAGACCCCCAGCAACATTCGCTTTGGAATTTGGCCTGCCGGCGATCCCAGTCAGCCTCACGGTACCATTGTATGGGCGGGTGGTGAAATTGATTACTCGGCTGGCCCGTACACCATGGTAGTTCAAAAGGTTCGCGTGCATGATTTCCATACCGGCAAGGAGTATTCATACTCGGACCATTCCGGGTCTTGGGAGAGCATCAAGGTCGTTTCGTAAGTCTTCCCATAGCCAGCTTCTCTCCCCTAAACCATGTCTACAATGCTGACTCTCGAATCTCAGGGGTAATTCAACCACCGTGGAGCAGCTCAACAAGCCTCCTCCGAAATCACTTTCTGAGAGATGGAACGAGCTACCAAGTGGCGCAAAGGCTGGCATTGGCATTGGCATAGCAGCTGTTGGAGCTAGTTGTCTTGCCGGTTTCATCTTCTTCTGTTTGAAGCAGCGCAAGAGGGGCCGTCTCGAACATGCCCTGAACGATGCCCAGTGGAATTCCGAAAGGACGGAAATGAACAACTTCCAAGCCGAGTGGAAACAAAGCGAATGGAAACATAAGGGCTACCAGCCAGTCTCCTAGCTGGCTGAAGTATCCAAATCTAAAAGACCTTTGTGTCCATGACAAAAACGATGAATCCAACCTTTGTTCCAGGGGTGCCATTGTGCCTCTTTCTGTCGGGATTCGTACTTTGCTTTTTCGTGCCCATCATACCAACGCGGCGAGCAATTCATACCAGCGCCTGCTTTGCTGGCCAAGGTCGCGCTGGAGTTGCTCTTGAATCACTTTGAGTGAGCACCACGATGGAGTGAGAGGCGCACCATCCTATTTTTCCACATTTTTTTCTTGATCTTGTTTATATTGTTCCTACCCTTTTCTCCAGTCCTATGGCCCTAGGACGAGCGTCCCTCTCCTCTTGTATATATACCAACTTGCATTCAACCGGTTTCTTTTCTGGGCCATACAGATTATTGTGTCTTAACATTCGGGGGGCGTCAGCTAGGCACTTTGACTGATAACTCCAAGAGGGCTGTCGGTCTATCTTTTGCAGTATGATTCTTCTATAAATGTGACAGACTGAGAGTCATATCAAGGTCGGTTGCGTCCTGTAGCGCGCCTACGACTATTTACGGTGTTCTCCTAAAACCAATCATGGGTGTCATATCTGCGCTTTTGTATGTGAGACGTCTTCAGCACGGTTGACAGTCCTCGAGAATGAAAGATAAGGTTGAGACACAGGAACTAGGACCAAGCCGGAGATTTGATGACGCAACGATGCTTATGAGTGAAATTGGATAAAAAATAAGAAGAAAAAAAAAAAAAAAAAAAAAAAAAAAAAAAAAAAAAAAAGAGGATGATGTCTTACACAATCCGTCAAATGGCAAAAAGGAAAGAACGATCCCGGTGCGACTCGAACGCACAACCTCTAGTACCGGAAACTAATGCGCTACCATTGCGCCACGAGACCAGTTCGATAGAAAAGTGGGGGCGGTGTTGGCCTATCATACGCACAAAACTACACCTTATTCACCAAATCGGATAAGCGGCATGACGGAGAGGATCCATGGATCGTTGCTTCTACTATCTACTTCTGGCATCGGTCCGTGATCACCGAGCCCCGAGTCCGATTTACCGGTGGACGGATCATATGCATTCCGTTGCTAATCACAAGTCCAGCCACAGTTATGAATAGTAAACCTTCATCTCTCGCTGGCCGGGGCCCCCACTAGTGCTTACAGGCCGAGGTACATGCGCTGAGTTTTGATTACGATTTGGTACTCTGGACTCATTGATCTACAAAGGACCATGATCCACTCTCATCAGCCCCATGACGTTCGCCTCTATGATTGTCCTGGTATGCACTCGGACGGCCTTCTGACTGGGGAATCCCTTTCGCATATGATGGCGTGGAGTGATGACGCTCCATTTGCAGTGGACTCATGCACCATCATCGGGAATGCGACCCCTCCGACCGCAGCGTTCTTAGAATCCACGGAGTATAAAGTCTCCTTCCTGCATTGATCTGTTCACCATTTCATTCATCGAAGTGTGACCGTCAGGTGATCTATGGTCGCTGAGAGAAATTCAAATCCCGTGTTGTTCCACCGGACCTTGTGAGAACTAGACACATACACTGTCAACAATTCAAGTTCAATCGGCACCAATTCATATCGATATACCATCATGGGCAGCGTAAAGCCTGTTCCTATCCCAGGCCCCAAGGGCGTTCCATTTCTTGGAAATGTCTACGATATTGACCAAGAGATGCCAGTCCGAAGTTTTGAGTTGATGGCAGATCAATATGGTAACCCCGCCCTTACCCCTCCACGATTCCCTGTGTGCTTTTTTGACCCCTTTTGATCCCACCGTAAAGGATCAGTTAGCTTTTGCTCTTTCCCTTCCCCATTGAGAGTATTATATATGCTAACTGCGATGTATCGGTCAAGGCCCGATCTACCGACTGACAACTTTTGGCTTGTCGAGAGTAGTCGTTTCTACTCAAGAACTCGTCGACGAAGTATGCAATGAGGAGCGATTCGCTAAATCGGTGGATGGGGGTTTGGGCCAACTTCGGAATCTCCTCCACGACGGTTTATTCACGGCTCGGTACCCCGGCGAGGAGAACTGGGCGCTTGCGCACCGTGTCCTTATTCCTGCTTTTGGGCCCCTGTCTATCAGAGGCATGTTCGATGGTAAGCAACCCATCACCATCCAACCCCTATCGCACCGGACTAATGAGTTATCGCTCTGCCACAGAGATGCAAGATATAGCCAACCAGCTCGTCATGAAATGGGCTCGACAGGGACCTGAGACTCCTATTGTGGTCACAGAAGATTTCACCCGCCTGACTCTTGACTCCATCGCCCTCTGCGCCATGGGAACCCGCTTCAACTCCTTTTACCACGATAGCATGCACCCCTTCGTCGAGGCGATGGTTGGTGGGATGCAGGTAGCTAGTTATAGGGCACAGCGCCCATCGTTCTTGAACCAACTGCCCACAAGCGAAAATAATGCTTTCTGGAACGATATTTCTTATATGAGAAACTTAGCGAAGGAGTTGATCGAAGATAGGAGAAAGCATCCATCAGACAAGAAGGACCTGCTCAACGCTCTCATCCTTGGCCGAGACCCTCAGTCAGGGAAGGGCCTCAGTGATGAGTCGATCATTGACAACATGATCACCTTTTTGATTGCAGGTAAGTACTTTGTCTTAGTTGGGTCGTTATTATCTATCATGTTTTGACGCTTTTTTCCTATAGGCCACGAAACCACTTCTGGAATGCTGTCGTTCGTTTTCTACTATCTACTAAAAAACGCACATGCGTATAAAAAGGCACAGGAAGAAGTCGACAGGGTGATTGGCCGACGGAAGATCACCGTGGATGATCTCTCCAAGTTGCCGTATATCAATGCAGTCATGCGAGAAGCGCTACGCCTCAACCCGCCAGCGAGTGTCATGAGAGTCCATGCGCATCCGACTAAGAACAAAGAAGACCCAGTGACCTTGGGTAATGGAAGATATGTTCTGAACAAGGACGAGCCAATCACGGTTCTCCTCCCGAAATTACACCGCGATCCCAAGGTCTACGGTGCGGATGCCGAGGAGTTCAAGCCGGAGAGGATGCTAGATGAAAATTTCAACAGTCTCCCTCGGAATTCCTGGAAGCCTTTTGGGAACGGCATGCGCGGTTGTATTGGACGGCCATTTGCCTGGCAAGAAGGCTTACTGGCTATTGCTTTGCTATTGCAGAATTTCAACTTCCAGCTGGATGATCCAAGCTATGACCTGCGCATCAAACAGACACTCACCATCAAGCCGAAGGACTTCAAGATGAGAGCAACTCTCAGGCATGGGTTGGACCCAATAACTTTGGAGCCAGCTCTGAACAGTGGTTCTGTGCCTCGTGAATCCTCCACGGTAGCTAGCAGGGAACGTAAGAAGGATGCAGCCCTTTCCGAGGGAGACATGAAGCCGATGCACATATTTTTTGGCAGTAATACTGGAACCTGCGAGGCTTTGGCTCGGAGACTGGCAGATGATGCTGTCGCATGGGGATTTAGTGCCAAAGTCAATTCGCTAGATTCCGCCACTGAGAATGTTCCGAAAGGGGATCCAGTGGTTTTCATTGCTGCATCTTACGAAGGCCAACCCGCTGATAATGCGGCTCATTTTTTCGAGTGGCTTAGCGCAGCAAATGATAATGAACTCGAAGGGATAAATTATGCCGTATTCGGTTGTGGACATCGTGAGTCTCTCATTTTCATTCATGTGTGCTCTTTTATGTGTGACTTCGCTGCTCACTAATTTTTCAAGATGATTGGACTGCCACATTTTACCGGATCCCCAAAGCTATCAACGAGCTGGTGAAAGAGCATGGTGGGAATCGCTTGTGTGATATCGGATTAGTTGATACCGCCATTGCAGACATGTTCACTGATTTCGATAACTGGAGTGAGTCGGCGTTATGGCCTGCCATAAGCTCGAAATTTGGCTCCAAAAGTCAGGGCCAGGCTGGTAAAAAAGCCAGTTCGGGCCTACAAGTCGAACTCAGCTCAGAAAAGCGAGTGACTACCTTGGGCCTTCAGCTGCAGGAAGGATATGTGATCGAGAACAAGCTTCTAACAGCACCCGACGTTTCAGCGAAACGACTGGTGAGAATCAAGCTTCCAAGCGACATGACTTATCAGTGCGGTGATTACCTTGCTGTGCTTCCCGTGAACCCAACTAGCATCGTCCGTCGAGCAATGCGTCGGTTCAAACTGCCTTGGGATGCCTTTTTGACTGTTCGCAAGTCATCCCAGACCCAAAATGGACCGTCAGCCATTCCCACTGACACCCCCATTTCCGCCTTCGCACTCCTCTCCTCCTATGTTGAACTATCCCAGCCCGCGTCCAAACGAGACCTGACTGCCCTGGCAGATGCAGCCGTGGCCGACGAAGAATCCCAGGCCGAGCTGCGATACATGGCCAACAGTCCTAGCCGCTTCAATGAGGAGGTCGTCACAAAACGCCTCAGCTTGCTGGACATCTTGGATCGTTATCCTTCCATCGGTCTACCGCTCGGCGACTTCCTAGCTATGCTCCCGCCCATGCGAGTACGCCAGTACTCTATATCATCCTCACCCCTTACGGACCCGACAGAATGCTCTATTACAGTGTCCGTGCTCAACGCACCCTCTCTCTCCGGCACAGACGAGCCGTACATGGGCGTAGCTTCTACATACCTTTCCATTCTCCAAGCTGACGAACGCATTCACATCGCCGTCCGCCCGTCCCACTCCGGCTTCAAACCTCCCGCAGACCTCAATACGCCAATGATAATGGCCTGCGCAGGAAGCGGCTTAGGGCCTTTCCGCGGATTTGTCATGGACCGGGCAGAAAAGATTCTCAGCCGAAGCGACTCTATCACTGAAAAGCCCGCCCCGGCTATCCTCTACGTCGGCTGTCGCACCAAAGGCAAGGATGACATTCACGCAGAAGAGCTCGCTGAATGGTCTCGCCAGGGCATCGTCGACGTCAGGTGGGCATACAGCCGTCCCTCTGACGGCTCCGTTGCCCAGCACATTCAGGACCGGATTACAAGTGATCGCGACGAAGTGGTCTCACTTTTTGAGCAAGGCGCTAGGATCTATGTGTGTGGAAGTGCGGAGGTAGGCAAAGCGGTGCGCCAAGCGTTTAAGAACATTTACGTCGATGTGAAACAGGAGCGTCGTCGGGTAGCGTTGGAGACGAAGCAGGAAGAAGTCCCGTCTGAAGTGAATGACGAGGATGTTGAGAAGTTCTTCGATGATCTCAAGGCAAGCATGCGTTATGCGACGGACGTGTTTACTTAGATACGCTTCGAGAATTGCATGCCTATGTCTAGTGCCTTGCTAGTTTCTGGATAGTCTTTCATTTCTCATTATTTAAAAATCAGAACGCACCCCACTATTTTCTTTTTTCTTGGTTAAGATAACCTATTCATATTCATAGTTAATGTCTGAGAAATACTAGATTACGGAAGTGCCTAATGCCAAATCAGTTATGACTGCTAAACGTCACCTACCCGACAGCTAGGGACGTTGCTACTACCTCACCTTGGCTACTCTCTTCTAACCCCACCCAAGATATCGTGAAACAACCGAAACAAATCACATACGATATCCTTCTACACTAAACCTACATCAATAACACATCCATAAACGAGCGACTAACCATCTCATTGACATTCTAGGTACAGCACAACAAAATCAACCAGGAACCAGACAACAGAATTCATATCCTCATATTCTGACCAGCAAACATGACATAACCACATTTAGGTGTAACTACCCCATATTCCATCACAACTCAAATCCTCCACCATTCATCCATCCAGTCACTTTGACCCATTTGTTATAGGACCAAGTAGTCTACGATCCCATATAAACCATCCTAAGCCATAAACTGCTTGAACGAAGACGGCGCAGTAGGCACAGCACCACTAGGAGGAATAGCAGAGCTAGTAGGGATAGCCGAGCTAGACGAAGGTGCAGGGATGTTCAGACCACCGGGCGAGAAAGCCAAAGGAGTCGGGAGACTGAGGGAGGGCTCGGACTCGGACGCAGAGGAAGAAGAGTCGCTGGAGTCGGAGGAGCTGCTGCTGCCGGCAGGCTCGGGGAGGCTGATGCTGGGGAAGGCACCGCTTGGCTGAGCGGGGCTGGAGGAGTCAGAGGAAGAGGAAGAGCCGCCGAAGGGGTTCGGGAAGCCGCCGGAGGGTTGGCTGGGAGCAGCAGCGCCGCTAGAGGGTTGGGGTTGAGAGGAGCCGCCGAATGGGTTGCTGCCACCACTGGGCAGGGAGGGACTGGAGGAGTCTCCCGCAGATGAGGAGGAGCTGGAGCCGCCGCCAAGGAAGGGCTTCAGGAAGTCGGGCAAGCCACTGAGACCATCGCTGCTGGAGGGCTGAGAGGAGCTAGAAGGACCGCTAGAAGACTGAGAGGAATCACCCCCGAGCGAGCCCAGGATACCGGAGAGCCCGCCGAGAGGGCTGCCGCTGGAGGGCTGAGCAGAGCTAGAAGAATCGCTGGAAGAGCCTCCGAGGCCGTTGAGAAAGTCGGGGAGTCCGCCGGAGGAGGAGGACGAGCTGCTGGAGGGTGAGGGAGAGCCACTGGACTGGGAGGAGTCACCACCGCCCAGGCCGGGTAGGCCTCCGAAGGGGCTGGAGGAGGAGTCACCTCCACCTCCACCCAGACTGGGAAGGCTTCCGAAGGGACTGGAGGAGGAGGAGCCAGAGGAGGAGTCACCATCACCCAAGCCAGACAGCCCTCCGAAGGGACTAGAGGATGGGCCTCCAGAACCACCGCCCAAGGATGGACCACCACCGCCGAATTGACGCTTCTCGAATGGCAGCCCGGTGGGAAGGGTGATGCCGAGATCGGACAGGTCGGGGAGACCAGAGGGCAGGAGCTGAGACAGTCCCTTTGAGTCTGTAGGGAGTGCAGCACCAGAGGGCAGAGAGAAAGGCAGATCCCGCCGCTTCAAGCCTAGGTCGGACAGATCTGTGGGCAAAGAGAAGCTGGGGAGGCCTGAGGGAAGGGAAAGACCAGATGGAAGGGAGAGACCAGTTGGAATGAGATTGCTTGGGATAGGGAACGGAAGGAGGTCGGAGAGATCCTGTCTCTTCTCGACGGGAGTCGGCAAGGCCAGGGCACAGCCCGCAAGGCACACCGGAGCGACGTGTTGGAATTTCATTGTAGTGATTGCTTAAGTTCCTAAAATGATGAAAAGAAAGATTGAAAAGATGTGAAAGCTACAAGTGTCAGTTTGAAGGAAAGGAAGCGTTAAAGCCTGATAGACAGTCGATAGGGAACACGGATCACGAGGGTCCTTTATATGTCTGCCGAATGGCGACGCTCTCGATGATGTGATGTGCTGAAAGCATGGGGATCCGACGTGCCGTCCACGAGGGTAAATCGAATGAGATCATCGAATAACTAGGTTGTGCAATGGAAAAGAGCACGCACTCAAGATGATGCAAGCAACAATTTGCTGCTGTGGGACAAGACCAACATCGAGCCGCTTCATGAGCAAGTTTGTTTCGGGGCCGGTTGCTGTGTCTGCTTAGATGCTTAACTCTAAACTGCAGGGATCTTGAAACACTGGCGAGCTCGGGGGTTTTGTCCAAGACAGAAATTGATCGATGCTCCCAAAAATGAGGCCGAACCGTTGAAGCCAAGGAACGGACCCATCCTTGTTCGATAGATCTGCCATGGCATCACCAGCCACTGTATGAAATTGATAGCTCATCTACCCCAGACTAGCCCATGAAACGTTCTGTGTGCGATGCATACTTACAAATCAGGGTCTTGGGGGAAAACCAAAATCACCAGCAAGTCCCTGCCCATGTTGGCGCAACAGCCAACCTGGAGAGCCATGGGTGGAAAGTCGTCTGTCGGAACGGCCGTGGATTATGCAGGCGCCAATCGGAGCGAATAATTGTAACCGTGTTCCTGATCAGCGTTTCAAGCATCCAGGGCACTTGATCAGTGCCCGAGGGACTTTGTGGCCTGTTGCGTCAGCCCTGACCCTGTCCTTGAAGAGTTCACGGTCTATTGGCATTTGTATTGAGAGTCCTTGTGGCAGATGCCAAAGAGTGTTGGGATGAGATCAACTGCCTAAGGGAATTACAGAATCTGGTAACCCCAGCCATAAATTCTGAACTAGGCAGCCCAACCGCTTGTAACAGAATCAAGTTGAAGGAGTAATGCCTGTCAGACCGTTGCCCGCCAGCTATAGTACTTGTGATGTATCAAGGATCAAGGGCGTGGGGAGACGGCTCGGTATTCCTTTCTGTGATGGATGGTAGATAGGTTATCCGCCATCTGGGTCGAGTACGTGGCTTGCAAGGACAATGTCGTTTCCAAAACTTCTGGAACTCCTATCCCGCAGACTCAAAAAGAAGAACAATTTGGGGACGGGCAGATGTGGAGCAGTTCCAGGGTCGATCGGCGGATTCCTCTCCCACCCTGAGTGCCTGAGGCAGACAAGGCATCATCCATGACTGCGCTGGCACTGGCTTCATTTCATTCTCTACCTTTCCGACGCCGCATATTGCTCGAACACTCTACCACCTTTCTGGATACCTTACAACATTTGATATCAACTAATTTCTAAAGTATACACTAGACTCGAACTTGGGTCCAGGCCCATATCGACTACCACTGACTTTCGTGGCCGAAACAGTCGAGAAGGAAATCCCGTCTCTCAATCAGTATTCCCTGGATTTCAATTCATCACTTCATGCAATCGAGTATGGCGCAAGATGGGGTCACCGTGAGCATACATTGGCACATAACCCTTGGTTGCGCAGGGAACCCCTGCCAAAAGAATGTAAAGCATGAAACGCACCTGGGCTGGTGATGCTTCGGAATAGATTGCAATCATTGGAAAACCGCCTGGCAGTAAGCATTTGGTCTGTCAGAGACATCAACCCATGCTGAAGGGGTGAATATCATGTTGGTCCGATGAGTATGACCCGGAGTATCGCAAGATCAGTAGCTCATAATTCGACCACGACCAATTGATATCCCATACCCAAGAATCTTTGAGTGCGGCGCACATACTTCCCATTGGTTCTTCTATACTTCAATACAATATAGGTCTCTTAGATCAAGCTGCTGAGCCTTGAGTTTCATGTTCATCCCGCCTACTAGGGTCAGTTGCGCCGTGACTGTGTGCCAAGTGCCCTGTGAAACCAACTGAGAACCCAATCAAAGGGATGCCCTCGTTGGCTGTAGGACAGCGAATACCAAAAAGTTGACTTTCGACCCTAAAGGCTTTACGTACCTAAGCTGGCTTATCACTACATACGCCTTTGGAACCCTTATGGCATGCTCCACACGTGGATGGATACTTTCCCTCTATCTGGCATCAGACTGAGTCTGATTGCGTGTCTTCTTACAATTGAGAGGGAAGACTAAACCAACGGCTACATTTATCGAACAGGCCACCGATATCAAGATATGCCATATTCTAGAACTTTCGGTTTTGGATTTTACTTGTTATCAGGAGATCTGTTGTAATTAGAAGTACACCAATCTTGTCAAACCAAGCCTTTCAGACGTCACCAGGTACAAGTTCATCGAAGGCAAGTGGAAATTCGCTCAAGACCAAATTTTAGGCCCCGGGAACTGCCATGAAGGCCGCAGGTGTTTCAGGTTTATTGAAGAAGGATCATCCTCACGTGCTGGGGACCAGCCCAAACAGCCTTCTTGGCTAATCAAAGGCAACAAAGCGCAACAGTGCCCAAGTGTGATGAGCGGCTGATCTTCTTCGGGCCTAGTTACTCTAGTTGTGACTACGGACAGGCTTACGATAGCATGAAAACAGACCGGACTGTCGGGCTTTGTCAGCGGATAAGTCATTTCCTTGAGAATGCCTGAAGATGATAGTCATTCAGGAGGTACTGGGCTGGCGATGATGAATCTTTTGCGACAAGGTTGAACCTCGGAAGTATGTTTAAAGTACCAAGGGTTAGTGGCCAGTCCACCTCGCGGCATACGACTGTTCAACTTAGAGGGGACGAGGTGCAATGTAGTCCACAATTCTGCAAATCCATTGGTGTTCATCAGCCAATGTCGCCATGTTGCACAATATTCGCTGATATCTCAGTTTACCTTTCTCTGGGGTTGTTTTAACAGCCCAGCGACTCGCAGCAGGTTTCGTGGAGCCACACTATGTTCACGCATCTGAAATGCTGGCTCCACTACCCGGGGCAAACATAGCATGGTGTACTATAACAAGGGGATCTGCTAACCCTACTAGGAATCACTTGTGCTTGCCAGCTCACTGTTATACGGCCTTTGAGCACACCCAATGACGACGATTCCACTCTATACAAGAGTCGAGTATAAAAAGAATAATCAAAGAGCACTGATATTGCGCATCGCTCCACACGGCCTGGTGAGCTGTGATCCAAGAATCGCTCTTGAGAGGGTCTCGGAGTCTTTCCGAGGTCAATTAACTTCCATCACAATTGCAGATGGAGACTGAAGAGACTCACAGCCATGCCATAAGCTGATTGGCCGCGTTGCTTTAAGAGGGATTGGTCATGTGTTCGACTGACCAATGGAAGTACTTATTTCACTGACTAATATTGTTCACGTGATAAGAGGCTGAGATGGACCAGTCAGCGTCGAGGATGAGGAAAAATGCGATAATCGAAAAGTGAACCGTGCTTCGGACCCCCAATGATTAGGTTTCGTCGCTTATAAGCAGCAGGAAAACAAGATTTGGGATAGGAGCTTCTGTGAGTACATACTTGCTGTATAGAGATGAGCAAAAGGATGATACGCGCTCATGTCGGTTTGTTACTGGCCTCTGCTGACGCCATCCGCGCCATGATTGGCATCAAGATAGCCGCGTGGAATCAGCAACTAACCCCCTGCAACCCAGAATAACTTGAACCACCAACCCTGAGGGTGAGCAAATCCTATAACTATAAAACACCTGGTCTGCAAACCACCGACGCGTTAGAGTTCAGCGTCAGAATGTCCCCAATCAAAAGCGTGGCTGTCATTGGCACGGGGCCTGCCGGCGCCATTGCCGTGGACGCCCTGATGCAGGAGAAAGCATTTGACAGGGTCCGTGTGTTCGAGAGACAAGAGAAAGCTGGTGGGTGCTGGTATGTCTACACAGCTGCTACCAGAGGCTTTGGGAGCAACCCTTTCCTGGTTCTCATGGCCGATAGTTAATCGACACTAGGGTATCGCGAAACGAGAAACAGGTGCCCTTGGATGTCGATAAGCTATCCGCAAGGACGGCGGATGCTCCTATCCCTATTCCGACCCAATTTCCTGCATCCACACCAGCATTGGCCCAGCATCGCTATACTGACTCCCATATCTACCCGAACTTGCATACCAATGTGGATGCCTCGACCATGGAGTACTCGCAGGAGTCGATCCCGGCTATCCGGTCGGAGATGTCAATTGCGCTGCATGGACCTGACACCCCTTTCCGCCATCACACAGTGATCCGCCAGTACATTGAGGATCTCCTGAACCGCAATGGCTATCAAGATCTTGTAGAATACAACACGACCGTGGAACGTGCGGTCAAAGACCCCAAGACCGGTAAATGGGAACTGATCCTGCGCCGGGCTGGCAAGCCTGGTGGGTATGATTACTGGTGGAGTGAGAGTTTTGATGCGCTGGTGGTTGCCTCGGGGCACTACTCTGTGCCTTTTATCCCCTCTATCCCCGGCCTGAAAGAATGGATCGACAAATACCCAGAGAATGTGTTGCACACGAAGCAGTATCGCGGTCCCGAACGCTATCGCGGAAAGGTATGACGATGCCTAGTCGCCCAGTTCTGCAATTGTTATTAATAGCGTATAGAAAGTCGTCACTGTTGGAGCTTCGGTGTCTGCCGCAGATACCGCGGTCAGTCTGATCGGCTCCGCGCAATCCCCCATCCACGCTGTGGTTCGCGGTCGGTATAACCCTTACTTTGGGGATTGGGCGTTCAGACACCCTTCCATCAGTCGTAAACCACCAATTTCACGCGTTGAAAGTGGAAATGGACAGCGGACGGTGTACTTTGAAGATGGAACCTCGGTCTCGGATGTGGACTATATCATCTTCGGAACGGGCTTCACCTGGGCATTGCCATACCTGCCGGATATCCCGACTAGAAATAACCGTGTTCCGGATCTGTACTTGCACATCTTCCATCAAAGCGATCCCACCCTTGCATTTTTGGGAGCGGTATGTACCCCATCTCGCAGTGTTTTCGCATACAAATAACTCGGGCTAACATCTGACTCAGGTTGGCGCTGGATTGACTTTCAAGATTTTCGAATGGCAGGCCGTGGCTGCGGCGCGAGTCCTGGCTGGCAAGGCCCAATTGCCACCCTTGGAGGAACAGCAGAAATGGGAACAAGATCGGATCGCAAAGAAGGGTGATGGACCCGCGTTCAGCACCATCAACCCGGACTTCCGGGAGTATTTCGAGACTCTTCGTCAATTGGCGGGCGAGCCCAAGGCAGGCGAGCCGGGGCGTGTCCTGCCTCCGTTTGAACAGGAGTGGCTCGATGTGTTCAATGCTGGACATGAGCGCCGGATTCGGATGTGGCAGAAGGCCAATGAAGCGGCGGCGAAGAGTAAACTGTAATACAAATCTGGTTCAGGATTTGGTGAAATGGACTGGTCTTTGACACTAGCATAGCGCTTATTGTTTATAGACGCGATATTTAGGCTATATACTAGACCGGGTCACATGGATCCCCGCATCTCCGTTTCGTATCCTGCTTAAACTCCGTTTGCATCCTTCCATTAATCAAGCACAATCATGCCACAATATCCCCGCATCACCTCGTGGGACATTCGTCCAGTCCTGCGAAAAGCAAGCATTTTATCGGAATCCGGTTCTGCCGATCTGCAGGCTAACGGGGCTACTGCGGACGATTTCTATCCTCCTGAGAAAGTCCTCCAATAGAGGCACAGTCCACCTCGGTTTTAAAGTAGGTAGCTGCAGCTAATATATTTCTTCTCGGCTCTTCCCCCATCATTTGACAGTTTGATCAACTCATAAATTGCTGGGTCGACCATGGCGGCGATAAAATGGCTCCCTTTCCCCTTTTCCACTGCACTTCAGCACTCGATTCCAAGCAGCCAGCTCACACAGAATGCTCATCTCTGGATCATCAGCGGCCCTCTGTGCATTGGCTTTGCCTTTTGCGGCGGCCAAGTCGTTATGGTCTGATTCCCCAGGAAATTATAGTAGCTTCATAACCACTGCATTTCCTCTAGGAAATGGACGATTGGGGGGTAAGCGCTTTAAGCAAGGCCTCAGGAAATTATTACGATCGGATACTGAGCTTTCCAATAGCCATGCCTATAGGTTCCTACGACAAGGAAATTGTCAATCTCAATGTCGACTCGTTATGGCGTGGAGGGCCCTTTGAAAGTCCGGTGCGTGGGAGCGTGTACCCGCGTTTTCCTCCTAAGGCTATGAAAATACTGAGAACAATATAGACATACTCAGGAGGAAATCCAAATGTTTCTAAGGCAGGTGCACTTCCTGGTATCAGGGAATGGATATTCCAAAATGGGACAGGCAACGTCTCTGCGCTGCTGGGCGAGTATCCGTACTACGGATCGTACCAGGTGTTGGCAAATCTGACCATCGACATGGGCGAATTGAGCGATATTGACGGATACCGTCGGAACTTGGACTTGGATTCGGCTGTTTACTCGGACCATTTCAGCACCGGCGAGACCTATATCGAAAGGTAATAAGCTGCTTCTACGGTCCAATGGATCGATTGCTGACAGATAATAGGGAGGCTTTCTGCTCGTATCCGGATAATGTCTGCGTCTACAGACTCAGCTCAAACTCATCACTACCTGAGATTACCTTTGGACTGGAGAACCAGCTTACGTCGCCTGCCCCGAATGTCAGCTGCCATGGGAATAGCATCAGCCTTTATGGCCAGACTTACCCTGTTATCGGGATGATCTACAACGCCAGGGTGACGGTCGTCGTTCCCGGATCAAGCAATACGACTGATCTCTGCTCTTCGTCAACTGTCAAAGTGCCAGAGGGTGAAAAAGAGGTTTTCCTTGTATTTGCTGCCGACACCAACTATGAAGCCTCCAACGGGAATTCCAAAGCCAGCTTTTCGTTCAAGGGGGAGAACCCGTACATGAAAGTCCTCCAAACGGCGACCAATGCTGCCAAAAAGTCCTACTCTGCACTCAAGTCATCTCACGTCAAGGATTACCAAGGCGTTTTCAACAAATTTACCCTTACTCTTCCAGATCCCAATGGCTCAGCCGACCGTCCAACTACCGAGCTTCTGTCGTCTTACAGTCAGCCTGGAGACCCCTACGTGGAGAATTTGCTCTTCGACTACGGTCGCTACCTGTTCATATCATCATCGCGACCAGGATCCCTGCCGCCAAACTTGCAGGGTCTCTGGACGGAGTCGTATTCTCCTGCTTGGAGCGGTGACTACCATGCCAATATCAACCTACAGATGAACCACTGGGCCGTTGACCAAACAGGACTAGGGGAGCTGACTGAGCCCCTCTGGACATACATGGCTGAGACATGGATGCCTCGAGGCGCGGAGACAGCAGAGTTGCTGTATGGCACCTCGGAAGGTTGGGTGACGCATGACGAGATGAACACATTCGGACACACAGCGTGAGTACATGGCAATACATCAACAGCATGAACATTCCAACACTGACCAAAATAGCATGAAAGACGTCGCCCAGTGGGCCGACTACCCTGCCACAAATGCATGGATGTCACATCACGTATGGGACCACTTCGACTATTCTCAGGACAGTGCCTGGTATCGCGAAACAGGCTACCCCATTCTCAAAGGAGCAGCCCAATTCTGGCTCTCTCAGCTTGTGAAAGATGAGTACTTCAAGGACGGCACCCTAGTTGTAAACCCCTGCAACTCACCCGAGCATGGGCCTACAGTAAGTTCCCAACAAAGTCTTTCAAACTAAACAGCTAACGCCCCAGACCTTCGGCTGCACCCACTACCAACAACTCATCTGGGAACTGTTCGACCACGTCCTCCAAGGCTGGACCGCCTCCGGCGACGACGACACCTCCTTTAAGAACGCCATCACCTCCAAATTCTCCACCTTAGACCCAGGCATCCACATCGGCTCATGGGGCCAAATCCAAGAATGGAAGCTCGACATCGACGTCAAAAACGACACCCACCGGCACCTCTCCAACCTCTACGGCTGGTACCCAGGCTACATCATCTCCTCCGTGCACGGCTCCAATAAAACCATCACCGACGCCGTCGAAACAACCCTCTATTCCCGCGGCACCGGCGTCGAAGACTCCAACACCGGCTGGGCCAAGGTATGGCGTAGTGCCTGCTGGGCGCTCCTCAATGTCACAGACGAAGCATACTCCGAGCTCTCGCTTGCAATTCAGGATAACTTTGCCGAAAACGGATTCGATATGTACTCCGGATCACCTCCGTTTCAGATCGATGCTAATTTCGGGCTTGTGGGAGCGATGGTTCAGATGCTTATCAGGGACTCGGACCGTTCTAGTGCGGATGCGAGTGCTGGGAAAACGCAGGATGTGCTTCTTGGGCCAGCGATTCCCGCGGCGTGGGGAGGTGGGAGTGTTGGTGGACTGAGACTAAGGGGTGGTGGTGTCGTGAGTTTCAGCTGGAATGATAGTGGAGTGGTCGATTCATGCAAGGCGGATCTTTCTGCGAGAGGCAGTGATGTCTCGCAGGTGAAATTCTATGTTGCGGGTGGTAGGGCGATTGATTGTTCGTCATGAGAGCTCCCTTCCGTACTATCTGAGTGATAGGGACTGGGCGCTGGTCCCGCTAATGTCAACCATGAGTACTAGTCTATATGGTAGTAATTCAACAGGACCACCCTTTCTCTAATCAAACAGAACCACGAGCGGGGTACTTAGCAGCCACAACCCGCCTCTTATCCACGTGCAGATTACTATAAAATGGGCCTAGGTCAGGTGCGGGATATGATACAATATCCATAGCAGACACTTGGATCACTCTCCACAACAGAGGTCCCGTGTCAAACCCCGGTCTGTCGTGGCATGAACAACTCAAGTGAGGATCGCCATCATGGATTAGCAGCTTCGCACCAATCTGCCTTGGGGCTTATCCCCGCTTGATCAGCGGTGCAGGGGAAGAGAGCTTACTGTAAAAACGAGCCAACAAGTAGTACTTTAGCTGTCACTAGTGCCAGGTATCTTGCAGGATAAGCTGCATCCGGAATGAGGGGAAGTCGAGTGATTTGCTCACCATCAAGTCCGCGAGGAGGGCGGATTCTTTTTAGATGGGGCGCGCTGGGCAAGTATAACGTGGCTATGATACCAATGCAAACGAATTAGACTGAGAGCGAGATCACTTGTTGATCAGATTTTTGAATGCTGGTTGCAGGTTGTTGGTCGTGGTAGATGTGGGATGGAGGGGAGGGGGTTATTGATTTCTTTTTCTGGTGGGGCGAATTGATGTGCAAATGCATGATCACATTGCAGAGACAAGAAAAAGCAATATGTCACTCCCCTCATGTTCTTTATCTGACATGGCTTTCAGACCCGTCGGATCTGCAGCCACAGCTGTAATGGGCGTCTTCTTCTTCATGAAAACCAGCCCGTGCTTTGATTGAAGCTCACAGGCTTATTTCCAAGGATGCTCGCAGCATCATCTCAGGGGGTCTTGGCCAGTATAGGATAATGAATTTCCGTAGGCATAAGCAATTGGTAACATTTTATGGCTTCGAAATCTGCACCCAAAGGCGGTTATCTTAACGAAGAAGGGTCACAGCGAATGATTGAATATCCACTGATCCGAAAACGTGAACTGCGGGGCTCTAAGTGACAAGTCGAGCCTTTTTGGATATCAAGATTTACTAATATGTAGAATGTGCTCGATGCAGGCATGAGCAAGGCATGGATGATCTGCCGGAGTATCTACTCGGGCAAAAGAAATACCCCACACCAGTACCAATACCCCCAATCCTAGTTCATTAACTTTGAAATCGAATTTAAGAGTCATGAGTGACATTGGTCTTCATCCAACGACAATCGTGTCTCATCGAATACTAAGTGTGTTTGTTCGCTGTGCGTGACGTGAAAATCAACATCATGGATGTCGCAGGAAAACTGATACCAGAGACCAATATGTTGGATGACTACACACACAAGCGCTTCCGCGCCATCTGGGAGATGGGTCGCCTCCATACTCGCGAAGCCTGGCTGTCTGTAATCCCAGCTGTGTGGGGAGCGAGTATCGGTGCAAAGGCAGGCTGGACGGATGGATGGTCATTTGCCTGGGTTCTGTTTGGCATCTGGGCAAGTGCAACGGTCTCCCATGCCGCATTTTGTACATGGAAGTGAGCATAGCATACCCCTCCCCCGAATTGTTCTATGTAAATAGCTACTAACCAATGCGACCAGTGACATCTGTGATGTCGAATATGACAGACAAGTTGAACGATGCAAAGGCAGGCCGCTACCATCCGGGCTCATCTCCGTCAAAGAGGCCACTTTCTTCTTTCTCTGTTGGATACTTCTCACCCTGGGGACTACCTGGTATACACTAGGACCACAGGCGACTCTGTGTACCACACCTGCGTGGCTACTGGGCTTGATCTATCCCTTTATGAAGCGGGTCATGCCCTTCCCTCAGCTCGTGGTGGGTCTCTCTGTTGCCAGTGGTGTTATGCCGGGGTATGTCTCTGTTCGGGGGATTCTCGAGTTCAACGGGTCGGTTCTAGCTCTGTTTGGGGCAACCGCCTGCTGGATTATCTTTCTTGACACCGCCTACGCCGTTTAAGATATGCTCGACGATGCGAAATGCGGAGTCCAGTCGCTTGCGGTGTTCCTGGGAAAGCGTGTTCGGATGTTCCTTGCCCTAGCTGCTGTCATTACTATTGCATTCTTCTCTACGGCTGCTTTACTGAGCAATCTCTCTCTATTTACCTGGATCTTCGGTGTTGGGGTATGGGCAGCCAGCATGATACGGAGCATATTTCTATTGGATCTCAATGTCTGCGCGTCTGGGGGACGTGTGTTCAAGTCTAACATTGAACCCGGCTTTTATCTTACGGTAGTTACACTTGTGGAAGGGTATCTTCAAGCGTGCTTTTCTTGAGAGATTGCAGCTTAATTCTCTCATTTCTATGTCTTTTTAAATAACAATATCACTGTTGCTTGCGAAAATTGGACGTGGATGGACTGGCTCAACCCGGTGTTTAGCCTTATCGAACACGAAGACTTTTCTGCTCAATTCCATCATGGTCTTCGCCTTATCTGCTCTTCCAGTCTAAGTTTATACCAATTCTTCTCTCACTATCGTTGATCTAGCGAAATGTCAATACTAGCTGAACTCTTGAAGTATTTGTTTCTTCCACCAGATCGTGCTCCCGGGCTGAAAGCCGGTCCTTGCACAATAACAGGGATGCTGGAAGGAGAGGAGGTTTGTAGAAGGGTGGAGATCTGTCCGGATTTACGGACAGTCGATATGGATTCACTGGTGAAGTAATGATGAAGTCAATATGAGTGAAGTTGAAAGAGTGCCATTACCCTAAGCTGATGATGAAGACTTCATCAATTGAGTTAGTACTATCATCAAGTGATGGAATATGGAATTAGTGTTGAGTATCATGGATACTCCTAGTGCTACTTTCCATATGGATATCTACGCTGAAGTATGGAGTAGTAGGAAGATTTCTACACTGTCTACAGGCTTATAATAGGGAGTTACATGCCCAATACAAATTTAGATCTTAAGGTCGTTTAGATATTCATAGATCTTCTTTTTAATTAACTGTAAATATAAGGCACTATTTCGTGCAGGATCTATATTTGGCAACCTGGTAACTTTTTATGGATCAACGACTAGCAGATCATCCAGCTCGAATTCCACCTCCCGCCCTTGGGCCTCCAGCTCCAGATATCCAGGTGCACTCTGCTCGATAATGCGGACCCAGAGGTCCCGACATCCGTAACCAGGGAAGAGGAACTTGTTGTTCAGTCGGGTTGACTCCAAGAGCTCGAGGATGGGAAGGTTCATGTCCAAGCTATATCGATCTCATTAATCAAGAAAGGTCTCATCAGAAGACGAGAAGTCAGCAGCAATGTTTGGGAAAGAAGGAACGTACGGTTCATTATACTGCGGCGGGCCCCCGATCCCCGACTCGGCAATCTCGTCCAGGTCCTTCCCCAGGACCTGCTCGAAGGTCATGGTTTGCCCCATATTCCAGGGTCGACGGAGGGTCGAGACGCGGACGTCGCCATTGGAGCCATACTCCACCAGGGTGAGGCGCCCCGTGGCCAGCCCCGGCGCATCGATGACGAACCACGTGAGGTCCGGCCCGTCGGCGAATACCACCGTGCCCTGGCGGGTCATGGAGATGGCGCGGTAATCCGCCGGGGCGAGATACAGCGCCGGGAGGACCTCGCTGAGGGTGGTGGTGGCTGTGGCCGCCGGAGGGCAGCCAAGCAGCTCTGGAATGTGGCAGCGGGGGGCGTCGCCCGCCCCACGCAGGTCGAAGGGGTGCCGCCTGCTCCATTCATCTTGGTGGACGTATAACAGAATAAGAAACTTCACGAGGTGGATGTAGCTGCGCGGATGGGTCTTCCGGTTTATTGGGGCCAAACACAAGAAGCGTTTGTTGGGTCTTGGGGCGAGCTGCGAGAGTACCTGGGCCGGGTAGTCGACAGCCGAGGTATAGCCTACGGAACGACTATGGTAGGACTGCGGCAGTGTTACCCTTCAATCTTCTTCTTCCTCTTTTTCCACTCATGCTCATTCATGCTGAAGATGAAGAAGGCAAGAAAGGGACAGATAAGAGGATGACAAGAGGAAGAATCTGGAGACTTCTGGGGTTATACGGACCTCGCGGAACTCCTGGCTTGCGGTAGCCCATGTCTCGATTAGGGCTCGTCGTTGGCGAAGCGCATCTTCGGTATTTGACGTGGGGTGGGATTCTTCCTGCAGCCGGCGAGAGAATGATTGGAAACCGTCAGTGCGACATATCATGATAGGGATGTGTGCTTCCGCAGAATCTCCCCTACCCGTACGAATAGCAACCATCCCTTGGCCTCTTCCGCGAGCTCTTCCGGGTCCAAATCTGTCAGATGCAGGCGGATTTGCGGAATTCCCGCCGGCCAGGATACTTCTGACATCGGCTGTGACATTCTGGACTGGAATTTCTGGGTGTGAGAATCGGATTGCGAAGCTTGTAGCGCGAGAAGAAAAGAAGGAAAGGGGGTGAAAGCATTCATCCCGCCAGTCCACCGAGTTTACATCAATTTCATAGGGAAGAAAGGGTCCATCAAAAAGGAATACTAAATATTACAAGACCCTTCCGGTATTTCACTAGTGCAATGTTGATTGTGGGTCCTGATTCTCGACTGTCCGAGGTCACAGAGTACGGGCTGGCCCCAGAGCATGTCTTTGGGTAGGCGCAGTTTTCGAGAAGTGTAGATTGAACGGGTGCTGTCTAAAATTTCTTAGGGGTTGGGGTTTGTTGCTCGGCTCTCTTAAAGTCTGTTAGAATCGACTCATCGTCAATGCCAAGCATGATGTTTGAGGGTTTGATATCTATATTCTCACTATTTTAGCAACGACTGTTTTGTGATTTGCTGGGAATGAGGGAATATACCGGTATGAACAATGTTCGCTTTCCTATGAAGAAAGCCAAGTGCCCGGAGGATACATTTCAAGGTTTCTTTAAGTAGAAACTCGCCCAGTCTTCGGGAGCTGGAAAGCATTCGCAGCTCGTGTAGAGACATATGCATTGGTGGATGCACCAAGCATAATAGATAGATGGATAGATAGATGGATTAGACTACAAGCTCACCGGGAAGAACCAGAAATTATTCCTCCAGTTCATACGATCAATGCTGCAATGGGAACCTGAGAGGAGGAAATCAGCGAGGGAGCTACTAGATGATCCGTGGTTGAATTCGGCTTCAAATTCATAGCAGCTAGTTGAATAGATGTACCGCCTGGATATGTACTAATTCAAGAAAATGCTTACACAATTAGTCAAGATTAGCATAGAGTTCTGGTCAAGGCGAAGCAGGCTAGAATGACAGATGTTGTGAGGAGCAGATGCCAGCATATATGATCGATGCGGAGTTTCACGGTGATGGATTTAACTCTTATCAGATAGAGGCTGCTGCTGCTGCTGCCGTATTGTATTGGATAAGTCGATGGGATATAATTTGGGTAGATTTCTTAGCCTACTAATTGTAGCAAAGTATGATCACAGTTAACGAGGTACTAACTATGCACTACGACCTACTTCATTGCTTAGTCTAGTTTTATCTCCGAATGTTACCCTCTCGGTTCGCGTTTATCCGATTTAGCCGGTTTGGCAATGCTGATTTGTGGCAATAACTAGGGACTGGCCCATGCTTTTAGACAAGTATATTCTAATTCTAGTTCTATCATGTGTTCATCCATCTCTTGTCGGAGTATTCCCGAGTCTGTAACTCCGAAACGGGTATATAACCCCCTCTTCTTCGCTCCGGATTCCGATGCGGGGTAAGAACTATAACTCTCAGAGTGAATCAATACATAAC